TAATATTCAGAAAAGTTGCTTTGAAAGTACGTTTGTGCGAACCTTTGGTCCTGGCCAGCCTGGCTTGTTCCATGGCTTATTGGCATCTGATTCTCTGGCTTTCAAATATTCTCGAAGACGTGAAGCTTCCATGTCACGATGTCTCTCAACGCTTTCCGTAAGGTAGTTACTCGTCGTGATAGGGCGAGATTCTACGCTCTTAAAAGAAACAACGTTAGAATGAATGAAAGCTTAGATTAGGCTTACCTTGAACCGTCTCTGTTCTAGCGGTTCCAATTTGATGAGACTGCGTTTTGAGTGTGAAGATGGAAAATCATCAGCAAGCTGGCGTTTAGCCTCAGGTAATGTGGATGAGCTATATGGCATATTGGCATTGGATTGAACTTTTGGATCAATGATTGTTTGCTTGTAATCTTCATGGCGCATGCTTACCTACAACAGGAAGATTGAGATACAATTAGTTCGACGAGGCAAAAAAAACGAAATTAAAATTTTTTTCAAATTTAATTTGAGATAAATGACTGATGGAGTCTTAAGACTCACTTTATAATCGCCTTTCTCATTCGGGAGATAACCAGTCTTTCCTAAGGTTAATTCCGATTTCTGTAAAGGAAGTGTATCATGATGAGCTTACAAAAATAAAAAAAAGAGTTCATTACCGGTTTTCCTTCTCCAATTTTATAATTTGGTGTAATTCCAATGACATTACCCTCACGAGCCTGTCCCTCTTTCGTTTGAGGATGATCTTCCTGAAATTTAGATCTTCACATACGGAACAAAGAAACATAAGGGTCTATTTTGGGTGATTAACTCGCTAACAAAGCTTCGTTTCTCAAAAACTTACAAATATCTTAAGCTTTTCTCGAAAGTTCTGCGAAAACCGAGGTGGTTTAATGGCTGCAGTCATCGGAAATACTAAACTGACCGACTTTCTTTCTTTAATATCTCAGATGAGAAGAGTAAGACAGCGAAAATGAGGTACGGAGAGAAGATAGAACAAGGCTTCTTGATTGGAATATATAAAAAAAGAGAAAACAGGTGAATTTTTAACACAATCTCAAACAGAAATGAAACAATTTGACAATAAGATGCATTTGATGAAATATTTCAATGCACTTCTGACGCCCTCATGAGTGAACGAAGATGTGACCTCGTAAGTAGAGAAAAGTTGAGCAGCAGGAGGTAAAGAGTGTGACAAAAAAATCTTATTTTTTGTTGTCATTTTTAAAACAACAATTCATAGCAGTTATAGGGAGTCTACGAAGGAGGGGGGGAGATGAGTATGAAGAGGTAAAATGGAATTAAAAGAAAACAAATATTTGAAGGAGGAACATGTTCGGAGAGCAAAAAAATGAGAATTTCGGATTAAGACGAATCATCTTCGTAATTAATTTTCATGCAATTCATAATGCGTACGAGAAACAGACGACGTAGAAGTCGTAGCCGAAACAAGACGATGACAAGAAACAGAGACAGAGGGAGGAGGCTGTCGATGGTGGAGATGAAATGAATTGCGAAAGCATAGGTAGGAAATATGATTTGCATAACAAATATTGTGAAGAAAAAAAGTTTTTTTTTCTCAACAGAAACAGTTTTTCTCTCCTTTTTTGGACATTGCTACTGTCTGTCCTCAAAAACCAAAAGGAATGTCCGATTTCCACTATTTAGACCACGATAGAGAGAGGGAAAGAGAGAGAGAGCGAGAAAAACATGTAGTGAGAGAGAGAAAGATAGATGCATATGAAAAAGCAGGTAAAAGCGGATGAAGATAGTCATCTATGGAAAAGCTGGCGCCTTCTATCGTCCATTGTTTGATACGCTAATAGCCCTCAGGCAAAAGACTGTTGAAAGAAAACAATTGAAATGGAGATGCATAAACGGAAAAGTAGAAGAAGAGGGACAAGTAAGAGGAAGAGAGAATGTTATTTCACAGCTTGTTTTCTTTGTTTTTTTCTTTATTTTATTTACATCCTCTCACATGCAAACCATTTCGTTCACATCGATTATCCGTTTTTTTTGTAAAATTATGAAAATTGAGGATGGGAAGGGGGAACAGACGGTATGTTACCTGACCACACCCATCCTCTTTCAACCCACACCTCGTGTATTCAATGATTCCGGAAAAAAGACATATTGGAATTTATGTTCAATATAGCATCGAGAAAGGATGCAGGCAGCGAACCTTATCTCATCTTCCCTATGCCGAAGAGAGAAGGTGCCAACTCTCTTGTTAGCGATCTATGAGAATAGATTGTTCAACACCGTTTACAGAGAGTCATTCTTAGCCCCCCTCGTCAGTTCAATGTCATACATACAACACTGATCATTTCCGGTAACTGAAGTACCGTTATCATATAAATAGCATAATAAGCTAATTATTCAGTTAGGAAATGAGAAAAAAAAGGTTTGATTGCTAATAGACGTTGCTATGATAGCCTTGTGATCAATCAACTCCACCCATTTTATTGGAATCGAATGTCAATTTGGCATTTAAAACCAGTCAAAGATGATAATCTTGATGGCAATTTGATGTAAAAGAACTATCACAAAACGATATGATTGGGGTGTGGTCTATAACATTCCAACAATCGCAACAAACAATTTTCCAGAGTTTCATCTACCCTCTCTCTCTCTTTTTCTCTCTCTTTCTCTCTGGTCTCTTTCAATCGTTTGACCTTATTGTATTCTCTCTTCTACATTCTTACAGCTCTTCATTATTTACAAAATTAAATGGGCGTGGTGTCTGTCTGTGTGTGTGTAGAATGGCGATTGAAATATGTACAAACTCTTTCAAGAATCCAAAAAAGGGAATAACAAAACTCTATTCTCATCAACCTCCACAGACATTCGAGACAATGAGATAGACAATAGTGATGTAAGAGAGAGTATAAGTGTGAAACCGGTTCTTCATATGAAAACTCAGAAAATCAAAAGGAGTATCAGAAATGATTGAGGAAGAGAAAGTTCACATGAATGAAACTGTAATCAGTAATCGATGAAAGGTAAGCTGAACGAAGCTTGCTTGATGCTATTGTTAATCGAGTCAAAGCGCATTCATATGCATGAGAAACAGGATGAACATAGCAAAAAGCGATGTAATCTGAAGCTGATCGAGACATGTCGATATTCGAATTACTGAGATGAGGAGAAATGAAAGATATCGAAGAATTCGGATAATTCATTCAATTCTCCAACCAATTATGAGGACAAAAAAGGATGAAGAGATTGAGTGTAAGGTATGATGAAGGTAATATAATGATATCAACAGAGAGAGAGAGAGAGGAAAAGAGAGAGAGAGAGAGGGAGGGAGGCAATGGAGTAGGTGAATGGCAATCTCATCAAAGGTAAGTACTTCTAATCAAAAAAATGAAAAAAAGTAATGAAAAAGCAAATAAAGCCTCACAAGTCATGTTCATACACAGAGTCGGAACACAAAAATGTTGAAAATGGTTTTCCATAATTTTCATATCAAAAGCTATCACAAAAACATTCGGTGATTCGGAATCAATCAATAATCTAACTGTTATATATTAAACTGTACTTAACTATATGTATTATATGTGATGTAGATGATGTGAGAGAGAATAAATAAAGTTATTAAGAGACTAGTCAATGAATGAATGAAAGTTGCTACATATTGAAAAGCAGCATGTCAATCTCTCACTACTCACAGGATACTGGATAATCGTTCAGATGGTTGATGTTGCACTAGGACATCATGCCATCCGGAGATTCATTCATTGCCTTCCCTTTTACTAGTTGAAAACAACATTTCCATTCAAATATGTAAAATGATAGGAAGTGGAGAGTTATTCTATTCACCTTGTAAGCTTATGCTTATCTGCGAATGGATGTCAGTTACCAGTTTTATCATCTCATCCTACCTCTCATACCTCCATTCTCTTTCATTCTCATTTCTCTTCCCCGGTTTTTTTGGTGTCTACTTTCACAGTCATATTTCCTTGTATTCCTTTGAATTTGCCTCTTCTTGCTTTCTATAAGCTTAACGACATTTTTATTTATTGCAAAACTGTTTGTAGACATCAAGCAAGATGACAGTTTGCATGTAGGAATCCATGTGAAGCCATGAATATGCAAATCAATCTGCACCTTTCATTTTCAATATCATCAAGGTTATAGAGGGGAATGCTTAATTCTAACAATTACAATCCATTAAGCATGTTCAAATTACCGTATACAACTTAAGCTCTTTAAACTAAATGAAATTAAATCATCAACAGCTTGTATAGTATAGAAACGATTCGTCCCGCTAACCATCTGATTGCGTTCTCTCTCTCTCGTCTTCACTTTCTATACAACAAGTGCAAAAAAGGTATTTCTTACTACCATTTCAAGGTCTATACAGGATATATATGATTCCATATTTGGAGATATATGAAATACTAAATGATAAGTCAAACAAAAACCAGACGCCATTTCAATCGAATTACCCTTCCCTCCTCTCCATGCCAGACTTTCCTTCTATTCTCTTTCTCATCTCATACTTCCTTACATCTTACATACACACAGATCTATATGTCACATAGATAATCGAACTATTTCCTATTCTGTTGTTTAAACACTAACTATACACATATAGTTAAGCATTGTCATTAATTATAAATGACCAAACAATGGAAGATGTATTGCATTCAATTATGAACGTAAAAGTAAGCATAATAATATAGTATAAAAGCCAGTTATAAATAGTAAAAGTAGTAGACGAACTGGAAATCTTTGCTTCTCTCGCTGTTACTCTACCTCCAATCTCATACCTCTCTCTCTCTCTCTCTCTCTCTCTCTCTCTCTTCCTCTCTTCCTACTCTCTTTGGACACTTTTTCATCTCAAATTATCGAAAACTGTATGCTCTGGAATTTCATTCAAGCTTTACGCAAGCTTGCAATCAAAACTTCCAAGAAAAAGCTCAAAATGAATTGTAATGAATAGAAATTATAATGAAAAGCCATTAACCACCAAAATCGAATGAGAAATGAAATAATTAGCATAAAGTACGTACCGGTCCTGGAGGTGTTCCTTCTTCTTTTTTGATCAAAGGAGTTGACCACCGCTTAACGGAAGTTTCAGATTCGATGACAGACGTCATTGTCGACCAAACGGTATTGGTAGATTTAGGTGGTGGCGGTGGAGGAACGTTAGGCTTAACGTTAGAACTCGATTGAGACTGAGCCTCGGAAGATGAAGTAAAATCGGCTGCTACGGTCACCTCAAGAGGGCGAACGAAAACAGAAACCGACTCTGCAAGTAGTAAACATTAGGAAAATTAAAAATATATTTGTATATTTGGGTTTTGAAAAACGAAGAAGAGCTGAACTTCATTAGGAAATAGGATAAATGGAGAAAAAGGAAGAAAAATATGATAATTGGCTGATAGATGGGGCTTGAACTGTAGATGTATGATATCAGAGACGAAGAACATAAATCACAAAAACTTTTTTTTTCAAACTATCAGTTTCGATCCGATGGTCGAGATCGAAAAAGAAAAATATCTTTTAACTTCGTATACGGCGAAGCAGAGATATACATGATGCGAAGAGACTTCCCAGTGATCACATTTTATATCACCCTCAAACAAAAAAAATATCAGATAAATCATGAAGTAATTTAAATAAATTAAATAATAAATATCTTGAGTATGTTGAGAGAAATGCTAATGCCAAGACCGCAAAAATGATTCAACAGAAAGGAGGAGGAGAAGGAGGAGAGAGAGGAGGAAAAAGAAAAGAAACGGTTGATAATGATGATAAAGGTAGTTGATTGGTTCCAGCAGCTTTCACTGTCAATTTTCTTTCTTTCTTCATCATTTTCGTTGTGGTGGCTGTAGTCATCATCTCCCTCTTAGTCTATCTCGTCGTATATGGGCAACGGAAGAAAAGATAGTGAGAGAGAGAGAGACAGAGAAATGTGGGGAGGAGTTGAAGAAAGAGAAGTTGTCGGTGATTATTAGTGATAGGAAGGAGAACGAGTTCTTCTAAAACAAAAAAAATGGCATTACTAGTGATAGAGAAGAGATGAGAAGACAAGAAAAAAAAGGAAGGAAGAGAGGGGGAGATGGAAACCTGATGAACGAGAAGATAAGTTGAAAAATCGTACGTATGATGGTTGATAATCAAGCAACATCCTTTTCATTCAATCAAACGCAACAATATGACGCAAATTTAAGAGAGAAATTCCTCCAGAGAGAGAATGATAGTGATAATGGCAGAGAGACAGAGATAGAGGTAGAGAGAGATTGCGAGGTAGCCAACAGTGATTGAGAGAAAACATCAAAACGACCAAAAGAGAGGCTTGAGGAATTTAAACACAAAAACCAAATCATTGACTGGAACGGTTCATGAACAGACCGTGAAGGTCTCTCTCCACCTTTTGTGCTTTTTGATCTTTTTTTTTTCGGCAAAAGTTTCAAAGAAGAAGAGTTGTAAGCTTAGAGGCTGATAGAGTGAACGATTCAATGAATATCTCCTTTCTGAACCATAGAAGGGGATATCCGTGAAGACCGTAAGAGTGAGGTGGAGAAGTTTCAAAATAGGAAATGGTAAAGGAAAAGCCTTTAATAGAAGGAAAGTACATGCTAATGAGAAGCGGAAAAGAAAAAGAAGCATTTAAGAGAGTGAATTCCCTCTGAAGAGTTGAAAAAACCTTTCAATCTAAATGAATATTCAATTTGAAACGAAAACGAAAGCAATCGAAAGACTTCATTCCGTACAGTTAGGAGAATCAACACGGAAAAAAAAGTGAGGAAAAAAGGAAAATAAAATGTTTGATAGCATGTGATGAACATGGAGAGAGGATGAGGAATTGAGGAAGAGAAGGAGAGAAAGAGAGAGAGAAGAAGGAAGAAGACGAAGATGAAGAAGAAGAAGAGACAAGTCCTAAAATAAATATCCAAAAATGATTTTTTTCAATTATTGAAAACTAGACGTTGATGAAATGGCAGCATCAGAGAGTGAGGAGCAGTATGTTATAAGCCAATAGAAATGATTCATGAGCTATGAACATCAACTTTCAGAAAAAGTTCAAAGCAATGATCATAAAAAAAATGACTGAAAATGTGTCGAGCGAAGTTGAAAGAGAAGACGAAGGTGAAGATGAAGTTACAAATGCTCGAAAAGCCTTTATTTGAATATGCTAATATTCGATAAATACAGTCTCATAGGAGTGGTGAAGAAGAGAGAGAGAGAGAAGAAGAAGAAGCTGCATATATTTGATATTGACATAAACAGAGTAGAATAGGTTGCAAGCTATAAGCTTTATCTGGGAGCTATTGTTAAACTGATTGTGTACTGATGATGTTTAGAGCTATTGAATGGAAGAGAAGAGTATGAAGCAGGGAAAAAAGGAAGAAGATGAGAAACATGTAGAGATAGAGATAGATAGAGAGAGAGAGAGAGAGAAAGAACTTGTGAAGCTTTCAAACATGAAAAAGTCATGGAGAAAGGGCGTCGGATAACTTTGACTTCATTTTTAAATGAAAAAAAAAAGAAAAAAAAGAAAATAAGATTTGAAAAGGTGTGTATGTGTGTGAAAAGATAACACGAAATTAATAGAAAAATAGATGAGAGAAGCAGAAAACATCAATGGAAGAGAAGGAGAAACAGGTAATTCATTTTGTGGTTTCAGCCGACTAAACATGGGTGTGGAGAGAAAGAAATAAAGATAGATGAGATTGCCTTCCAACACAACTTCGTTAAAACATTTAAATAAAATATATTTCAAACATTTTGTTTTGTAAAAATATTTTTTAAAAAAAAATGGTTTTGTTAATGTTGTAATTGCATTTGTATGATGAGAAGTGAGATGACATGGAAGCAGAATATGATCATGGGCCAATGAGAGTTATAACTGTGTTAACTGTACTACGTATAGGTAAACCGGAAGCAGGCAATACGAAAGTAAACAACCTTTTTTGGGCATACTGTTTCAACAACGCAAACTATTTTAATTAAAATATGAGAGAAACGAGAAAGCATTAAAAAGTGAAAAGATAGAAAGTGAGCCAAAGTCGACCCAAATACGGTGCACAATGAGTAGAAAATATAATGGTCGGATAATAGTATGCTACATCCCTAACTGAACAAAATTATGATAATCTAATTATTTGTTGGAGGAAAGCCCTTTCAAACATGATCGTAGTGAGAGTGATCCAACTGAATGCGAGAAGGTTTTTAACTAAAAAAAAGGAAAAGAAAAACGACGACGACGATGTCGATGAGGAGCCACGCCCAGCAACGTTTGAAGCAGAAATGTGGACAACACACATTCAGAATCACAAATAGCAAAATGAAGATGTCACCGGGGGCGTAAAAGATGTGAAAAGACAGAAGAATTCGAAGGGGAAAAAAGAGAAAGAAGAAGGTGGGAAGATAAGAATTGAAAATGGTAAACGATCAAGGTACTCTATTCTATTTTAACGGAAAAATAAATGAAATCACAGAAGATCATAAATCGTAAATCTTATTCGGAAGCATCTTTCACAACAGGGATGAGATCGGATTCGAGATGGAATAAACGAAAATTGAAATAAATTTAAGCTAACTTCGAAGATCTGACAAGTTATTTTATACGATTGTCAGGAGTATTCAACCGTGCAGCGTTATCCGAAAGGAAATGAACTCGTATCACATATGCAGAATCTTATGAACACCTGAAAGATCACAAAAGAACGCACTGCTTGTGTTTTCATAACAGGTGATAAAAACAAAAAATTTAAAAAGAAAAAGAAATTAAGAAATGGCTTGGTATCGTTAGAGCGTTCATTGGATTCTGATGACTCAGAGATTCTGCATTCTGATTTCAAAATTCTGAACTTGAGGTTGTCCAACGAATGTTAAAACGTCATCATACAAACACATACATACTTTCCGGATGGGAGTAGGCAGACGACATTGATGACGTCATCCGGGTACAATAGTTGACAAAAAAGACTTTTTTTTATATATTTTCTTGATATTCCGAGGACAATAGAAGGAAGTAGAGAGTGAGAATGAAATTGTATGAGCGATGACCAAAAATATGACATAAAAAACGATTTTGAACTTGATCTTGAGGTGTGACAGTTTGAGCTTTCTTGTGGGTGCTCCGCACTCAGTGTATCAACAAGTCAAATGCAGAAATGAAGGTAAGAACTAGGAAAAGATGTCCTTCTAGAAGTGGATAGAGAGAATGAGAGTTAGCAAAGGAGGAATAAAAAGAGAGAGAGAGAGAGAGAGAGAAAGAGAGAGAGAAGGCATATAAAATCTGATTGAAATTATAATGTGATGAAGAACAATAAGTTCTAATTGAGACTTCTACCAAACCAGATTTATGTGAAAAATAATTTATAAAATCATAAATCACTTATTTAGGCTTAAAATTGTAAAATCAAGAAGATGAAGAAGGAGAAGAAGAAGACATCAGCTTGTTATCAGCTTTGCTTAATTTCACCAAACTAACGCTCACACCACACAACCTGCTTGTATGGGTTGTAAGCATACAAATGGAAAATATAGAAATTTGAATAAGAAATGTCTTTTTCAAGAGGACAACGATGATGAAAATAGGAGGTGAAAATGACTTTTTTGTGATAGTGAAGGAGAAAACGATAGAGAGGGAGAGAGGAAGGCAAGTACGAAGATTGGTGAATACAAGGAGAGTTTGAGAGGTGTGAAAGTAAAAGTTGCCAAAAGGATTATTATTCGAAGCAATCAAAAGCATAAGATCAATCACTTATGTTGGATTAAAAGCTCCAATTCAGATGATGAAAGTGCCTGCAGAGCCGGTCACTTCGTTTCTCACCGTTTGTGAAGGAAAAAGAGAGGCAGAGAGAGAGAGAAAGAGGGAGAGAGGGAGTGAAAAGAGAAGAAAAAAAGAAAAATTTAAAGGAGAATCATAAACGTTTGTAGAGCAATTAATGGTTTGAAAGGAAAGTAGGTGACATTTTTTTCGTAAAAAAAAGGACTCGGAGGATAGAAAAATGAACAATTAAAGGCGAAGAAAACGAGAGAGGAGAAGACAGAAATTATTCAAATTTGTAAGAAGTATTACTTGTATAGTACAGTTTGTAAACAGAAATGAGATGGTGAAGGAGAGGAGAAGATGTAAAGAGATGGAATGATGGGATGAATGCTACTACTCGTAAGGAGTAGGGCGCATGCGGTAGTGTGTTAGAGTAATTCGACTGTCTTGCACACCCTTGTAAACTGTTCAATTTCACATATATAAATTTAAAAATGAAATTTTATAAAAAAAAAACAAATAGAAAAAAAGAAAATGAAAATATAAAAAATAACAAATGAAAAAGAAATGTTTGAGAAGTCAGATCGTAATTGTGGTCAGAGGCTATGCGAGACTGAGACGGATATGGCCTCGGGGAAGTTTGACCTTGACGTGGATGGAACGTAGTATGGCTAACAGAATTTAGGCTCTAGCCATCTATGGTTTTGTAATTTCTCTCTCTCAACATCTTTTATTCTCTATATCTCTCTGTTATAATGATCATTCAGGGCAACTGCATCTAAATGACCCAAGAGTGAGAAAACTAATTCCGTCATAATCATCATATTCATCAGTAGTATTTGTAAAGACAAGACAAGGTAAGAGAAATAGAATCAAAAAAATAATAAACATCATAAGAACAGAATAATTCGATGGATGAAAAGACAAATTCGTAATTGATGAAGTCAAATGAGAAAGAGATGAGGTGGCATGAGGCTGTACGATGTACGATGCATGTTGTATGCGAACGATAATGAAATTTGAAATGTACTTTGCATGCCGATTTTGAGCTACAATGAAAATTGAAAAGTTCGTACCTGTCTCTTGCTTCTCCTCTGGCTGTATTGATGACATGCTTGCCCTTCTTCACATAAAGTAAAAACAATTAAGCTGTTTGATTGTTTTGATTAAAAAATATATTTTCTTTTTATTATTCGTTGTCTATTACTTCTTTGAGCCTATGTGTTGTGTATGAACGTCTTCTTCTTCGGTTTCTTTCTTTCGTTCACACACTGATGCTGATGAAGAAGATCTTTTAACAGACGTCGAATGGCACACTAACGTTGACTATCAGGTTACTGTAAATAGAAAATTTGAAAATTGTTTGAATGAAAAAAAGAACAAATGAACTGAAACGTTGTTAAAGAGCATTCGTATATGAGAGAGAGACAAGAGAGAAAACGGAATATTTTCTTCAAAGCTCACACCATTCCATTGAATGTTGCAAGAGAATGCGCATAGTACGCAGAGGTGATTGGAACAAAGGTTAAAGAGAAGAAAAAACTTTTTATTTTATGAAACTTTATGCAAATTCAGACGATTTTGCACTTCTATTCATTTGATTGAGAAAATAACAAATTTTAGAAAAAGCTTTGCTCATAAGGCTGTTTGCGTAACGGCTTCTGCCTCCAAGCAGCTTCTACAGCTTAAAGCTTCCGAATTTACAGAAGAGTTGGAAATTAGCATATAATGGAAGAGATGGCATGGCAGAAAAAGAACAGGAAAATCAGTGATCAGTAAGATGACTTGCTATCGAAAACACTTCCCAGTATGAGGGGAGGAAGAAGCAAAATGACTTACAGATTCGAAGTGTTTGAGTGAAATCAAAATGCCCAGAGTAAATAAATTAAAATATATAGTTAGCTTAACTATATGCATACACATAACTTCTCTGACAGTAAGCAGAGTGGTAGGAATTAGAAGAAAAAAAAGAAGAAGTACAAGAAGAAGAGAAGGCACATGCTCTGACAAGCTTTGAGCCTTCTTAACACATCTTGTTGTACCAACAAACCGGACGGCATTGTTTCTTTTGTTTTGTTTTCGAATCAAAGACAAGAAAAATGAAAAGTCGAGGTGACAGAAGCTGACGGTAAATTCAAATTCTTCTAAAAAGAATTACAAATTATATGAACACATAGTTAAATAGATTATCAATTCACAAACTGTTGCAAACTTATAAAACAGCTCATGATGATGACGAACGAAAATAAGAGTGACTCTCTCCCTCCTTCTATCTCCCTCTCTCTCTGTGTCCCTCTCTCTCTCTCTTTTTCTTTATAAGGGAATAGAAAGGCAAATAGAAAAACTAACAACGAATGAATTAACGAAAATATCAAAAGAATATCCAATGGGCTCGCTTTCTCATTCCCTCTCTATGAAACATTTCTCTCTCTATCTCTCTCTGTTCCTCACTGTTATATTCTATTTGGAGCTCTCATTCAATCTCTGTACAAGTCTTTTCTTCCTTATTCTCTTTCACCAAGAGATTTTTGTGTACAAAACTCAATTGTCCACATTCATGTGACAAATCATTCCTATATAGAACCCCTTAATTTTATTTTTAATTACCATAAAGTATACGTGTACGTAGTTTACGTGACGTGAAAAATGAAGTTTCAAAAATTCATTGTTCATCTTAAAGAGAGCATAGAGCGGTTGCATTTTAATTTTCTTTTTTTTCTAAAACGAAACAAAAAAAATAAAAAAAAACAATTAAAAGAATGTAATGTATAATTAATATTATAAGATTAACAGAATACGGAAATATACCCACGTGATTTCATTTGAAAAGGACATGACGAGAGGTGAAAAAGGAGGAAAGAGGGGAGGAAGAAGAAGAAGAACCTTCAGTGATTCCATTTGTAGAAGGCGTAGAGATGACAGTCAGAGACATTCAACGAAACATTGAAAGAGTCGGAAGAGAGTGCCGAACAACAATGAAAGTAACAACTTCTTACTTTCGAATATATTCTTGTGAGCTTCAGAAAGGCAAAAGGATTTTTTTGATACAAAGATGAAGTTCAATGTATTTTGGAGAAGCAAAAGCATCTTCAGAAGAAGGAATACTAAGATAGAGAGAGAGAGAGAGAGAGAGAGAGAGAGAGAGAGAGAGAGATAGATGTGAAGCGGAAGCTCGAACAGAGGAATACGTTCCTATTCAGTCCTCTTCTCACACTCTTTTCATTTTTCCTCTTTCTCATAATTACAAGTTGAAACATTCAGCATAATATAGAAACAATCAAGATGTAAGTGAAAAGCCAACAAAAACTTTTCGTTTTCCATGGGCTTGCGCTCTTCAGAAACTTTTTTTTTCTCTCCCCTGATGTTGAAAGGAATTGCTTAATCTTTATAGCAAATAAGTCTTTCAACTAGACAAATTTTCACAAAAACTCTTTTTTTTTCTCTTCTTCTTCATCTTTTCAAAGAGAAAAACAAGAAATAAACGAATATTTTGAGTCCCATTACCATGTGATTGAATCGATGAATTGAAAACTTCTTTTTCAGATTTCTATTCCCATCATCATGAAGTCTCAGCTTCGATGATCTGTTACTCAGAGCTTTTCTGGATGCTTACTCAGAGACATCTTCGCTTTTTTTTTCTCCTTCTTCTTCTTCATCTTCCTCTTCTCCGTCTCCATGCGTATCCCCAATAGACTCCCATCCAGAAACTGTTGGGAAGAGGAGTCATCGTTCCCATGTTTACCCCGCATCATCTATTCCCTCTCTCTCTTCCCTCCTCACTCAATTTCTCATCTCCAATAGCTAGCTAGCTTTTATAAATGCTAACCATACTTACTCGTTAATTCATTCAAAATTAATTTTGCTTTGCCAGCTTCTGTTTTATAAAATTTAAATAATTTCAAGAAATTTATACTTTTAAATGTAAATGAAACGAATAGAAAATTTGTGGATGAAAGGAAGAGAAAGAAAAGACATGGGCATATGGGGAGGGGGACACATGAATGGACAAAAGTATGTCTATATGAATAAGAAGGGTGAGAAGGGGGGATGGAGATAGAACCGGACAAACCATGGCCGGTCCTCTTGGGTCATTTACTCTTTTTCTTTTTTCTCTCTTTCTTACATCCTCTTCATTATACTCTATCTATCTATTTTCACCCTCTTGATAGTACTGGGGGTTTCTTCCGTGTCCTCTTCTCAACTCTCTTGGGGTTCTTTCTCCTTCTTCTCATTATACTCAGGATTCTGTCTATTGCTCACAAATATTCTGGTATTCCCCCCCCTCTTTGACTTTCTCTCTCCCACTCTCTCTCTTTATGTCCCTGGTTCTATGGCAATCTCTTTGTGTTTCTCTTCCTATTTTCCATACTCTCTTTTCTGTTCATCCACTGGCCTTTCTCGCAGTTACCTTTATGCCTCGCTCTCAGGTTTTCTGAAGGTTTTCATCTTTTTCCTAATTTGTAAAGATTTTTCTCTGCCCTCTCATGTTCTCTGCTAAGTCATTAGTATCTCTCTTAACCTCCCTGTGATTTTCTGCAGTTTTCTCTATTTTCTTTTCCTCGATGTTGATTTTCACGCGTTTGACCAGACTCTCTCCTCTTTCACATCTCTATCTCTATTCTCTCCATAAAAAAACATTTTTTATGCGTGCAGCCTCCCTTTCAGCAAACTGAAAGGTTCAAATTATCATCTGAATATACTGAAAACATATTTTTACGTAACAAACTATTTTTTAAACATAAAACTCTTTGAACCATCTTCTATGTTGTCTGGCCTCCCAATTTTTGCCCTCTAATTCACTCCTCACCCTACCCTACTTTCTTCCTTTACTGCCTTCTCGTGTTCTGACCCTCTATTTCTCCGCTCCATTCATTTTGTGACTCGCTCGTCTCCCTCCCAATTTCCACTCCTTTTTCCCTTACCCTCCTCATATCGCTGTATCTATATAGCAGACCCATTTGTGTGTGTATGTGTGTGTTTGGCTGTCTGTATGTGCCCCATCGAGCGCCCATCATTTCATCTGTTTCTCTCATATACCCTCCCCCCCTCATCTGACACCCTTCAACATTCCCTACATCTTTTTCTCTCACACTAATATATCTCTCTTCCAGCACCCACCCTTGTCTCTCTCGCTTTTCACCCTCTGTTACTCTGCTCCTCCTCCACACCCCATTCGCCGCTCCAAAAACTCTTTTTGGCTTCATGATACGAAACTTTTACCACATTTTTCTCAAATTTATCCCATATAAACAAGTTTCACTCTTTAAGAATCAACTGAATTTCTTAACGGACTCCCACTGGTTCCCACGAAACGTATGTGTCTCAATCTGCTCTCCATAACCACCCAATCAAAACACATATCCATATTTCCTGACCTTTTTCTCCGTTTGCTGTTGACCCGTCATCCCATTGTGAAAACGATTGATTCCCTCCATTTTCCCAACGCCCTCCCATTTACTCCCATCCTTCCCAGTTGCCTTTCCCAGTTTCCTCCCGACGTCTGTTGTCTCCACTCTTTGTCATAAAAAATGTCCCTCAAACCCTCACATGACCAAAATATATTGTCTGGAAATCGCTATTTTTACTATTTCAAAACATTTATCCTCACATTCTTCCTACAATGCATGCCATCTTCATATTCGAGTTATATTTCAACATAGCATATTCATTAGAATAAAAATATATGAGCAGTTATTACCCCCTTACCCTCTTGATGACCCCACCAAGGGGAGTAATATCGATTGATAAAATGTGAAGGCGGGAATCGCTGAAAATATATTCGTTGGGACCAATGGGACAGAAACCCACTCTGCCCCATGCAACGCTTACACATCAATCTATGCATATCCAATTTCTCGCTCTTTTCTCTTTGCCCATCTGCATTCTTCACATATTTTTAACGTAAAATTATTTTAAGAAAATGGCTCGGATGTATGTGATTGTGAATGCGAGAGAAGGCGACGAAATGAACACTCTGATGATGACTTTGGTTAGTTTCCCGCTGTGATATGATTGGCATTCCAACAATCCTATTTAGGCTAATAAACATTATACCTTTTCTGTGACTGATAACATCAGTAAAATATGCACACAGTGTTTATCACAAACAGCTAATGATCATCATTCTGCGCAGTCATCATCAAAGTGTGAGGAAGCGCCAAAAGACCCCGATGAGGAGAAGCCCATGCTCAAAGAATCAGAGAACGAAATCATCCTCAGGCAATCATGTTCCACTTCACATGATCTCGTGAACGAATCAGAAAACTGTTCACCACCTAACTCTTTTGAAGTTTTACGTTTGTCAGACAAACAGCATGCTCATTCAGCTTCCGATATTAATTCCAGGTAAGTACTAAACATGATTTTTCTCAATTTCTTCTTATCATTTGTAGTGATGAGGTATTCGTCAACTCACCTCGATCAGTCTCACATCTTGAAATAGAGCCTATGGATGCAATAACCTCACAATCTGATCTCCAAGACCTACGACTATTTTTCAATGCTTTAAAAGAAGAAGCAAGAGAACTACCCAATGACTATTTCCATACAAATCATCCGCAAGAAGAGCCGATTGCAAAAGTAGCGAGAAAGAAAAGAAAAACGAAAGACCTCTCTGTCACAGAGAATGATTTCTACCCTGGCCATATTCTGAAACAATTCAGCGTAAGTTCGAGTACTTTTCCACCTCCATAGATAGGTAATAATTCAGGAGAGTTTCGAACACTCTTCGTTGACAGACAAGAAGTGCAGAGATGTTAATCGAGGCAAATGTAATGTGAGTTTGCAACTTGTCTTAATTGGAAAATCATTATCAACACCCTTCAGTTGTGTAAACAAGCCATATCGGTTAGAAATCATCATATGAAAAGACATGCTATCACTCATCTCGGATATAAAACGTAAACTCTGAAAAACAAAACAAAAAAAAGTTGAAAACTTTCAGATTCCAATGTCGTATCTGTAAAATGTTGTATAATAGGGGAGACATGTGTAAACCACATTTCGAAAGACATCATCCGGAAGCCGAGCAAGTACCGTTCGAAGACGTAATGTACGTTTGCTAAAATCATATTCATTCTAAAAATTTCTCATTTCTCTAGTACTGACGAACAGTCTTTCCAACTACAGCGCACACTTAAGCTATGCTTTCCAGACAATTTCAAATGAAACGAGCAATATGCAACTATCTTATATATAATCTCAGAAACGAATAAAGCTTTAATACAGATAATCTTTGCAATTTTCAATAAACCAAAAACAACAAAATTCAACAAGTTTTCAATGACCTTCTCGCAGCGGTAGACCAATGCCTTGAACATCCACAGATCCTATATCTATAATTGAACTCATTATACATCTATCTCTCTCTTCTCTTTTCTATACCATCATCTGAATCATCAATACAGATTACATCACTACCCACTGATGAATTTGAATCAGTTGCTTGAAGGAGAGGTTTTGGTAACAAATTAAGCTTTGGTATATAAGTGGCTTTTACAGGAAACAGGCTATCTGTCGTGAAGCATTCCCTCATGCATTTTTCCAAATCTCTCATATCTTCATTTGTTCTGAATAACGGTTGTAAAAAATTAATTGAACGGTTGATCTCACAAAATGTCTCGGACAACAGCTAATGTACCCATATGACACAGGCTTATATGATTGGAAGCAGCTACGTATTGGAAGAACAGCGCTCCACAATCAGAACATGAGTAGCTAGAAAAGAGATAAAACTTTGAGCAGCAGTAAACTCACCCCATCTTTTTAAAATGTGTACGAGCATGAATCATGAGAGATTTCTGAGTTGTATATGGCATAGCGATCCCACATTTCTAAAAAAAAAGCCAAAATTTTACTATAGAAAGACATGTGTTACCGCACAGCTAGTTGATGAGACCCGTGTATTCTCTTTGTTAATAATACGATTATTTTTGTTATTATTATTAAGATATTGATAAGACATGCTTTCATTAGAGTTGCTATTATATTTCAAATGGTCGGGTTCGTAAGTTCTGAAAAGTTATCCGAAAGTTAGTTGTGGAAGAGAATGTCAGATTCACGGGTATGTTTCCATATCGCCTGGTGTGAATCTAGGAACAAAAGGTTCGTGTCGAGCTTGACTCGGTGGAGCTTGACTCGGTGGAGCTAGACTCAGTGGAGCTAAACTCGGTGGAGCTTGACTCGGTGGAGGTTGACTCGGTGGAGCTTTATCTTTCATAACCTTAGGTTTCTTAGCAGGCTGGAAAAGAACGAGCTGATATATATATATAAGCTTGAGCTCTCACCTTTCTGCGAACAGGAGTTTTCTCTGGAGTTGGAAAAAAACTGGCAGGAACACTTAAGGGCCTATATATATCTAATATTTCCTCTAAATCCTGTACAGCTTCATAGTTGATTCCCCGACTCTTCTGCAATCATGACAATATAACTTTTCCGGCGTTTGACCATTCACGCACAGCTACGCATAGAACTTCTATTAAATCGGTATTGCGTTCAACTTCTAACAGTACATACATTTCTGTTCTGAAATTCAAAAATAACGTCTACGATGATCAAACCACTCTAAATATTATTTTGAGGCTTCGAACACTAAGCTTAGAGGACGGAAAAAATTAAAATTTATTTCTAAAACAACAATAACAAATAACGAGAAAACAGTTGTAAAACAGCTCATGAATCTATCAGCTATTACTGACTGCTGAAAGCTTCACGCTTCAAAGAGAGTTCTGACAAATCAGATTTGTCGGGATAAATAGAAATCAAATCTGGGCCGGAACTGACTCGAACCTTAAATTGTTTCGTTAGCAAATAAATTTTTGTACTTGTAAATACCTGATCAATCGATAATTCTGGTGAAATTTTTATTGTCTCCATTACCAGTGCATTCATAATGTCTTTACAGAGTTGTAAAGATACAGGCGATGACACCTCTACCAGCACAGAATTAGTAGACTCGGTCATCTGAAGTATTATTTTATGTCGAAACAACATCTGATTGTAACCTTTGTCAGATCGCTGTTTGTCATCGGTTGCAAACTTATTACTAAGCCATTGGCATCCGTTAAGCAAGGTAATAATGGGAGTGTTTGTACGAGATGAAGATATCTATAGCAAATGAAAATGAATCTTTTTTTCCAAATTAGCATACTTATGCAATGGATTCAGTGTGTTACGTTTGGTTCGTTTACGGGCGAACTCAGCATCCCGTACCAGCGCATCTAGTAATTCCTTTCCACTAACAGGAGTTTTCTTGTGGAGAGACGTTATCTATAAATGCCATAAATCGTGAGTTGTCATAACTAGATTCATCATTCTAATTAGAATACGTGAAGAGTCGTGGCGGGAAGAGTCATTTCAAAACATCTCGGCGCACGGAACGGTTGTATATCATCGTAGTCCCATAAAAATTATTTCACAACAATTTCTTACATGAATATTCTCAGCGGGTAGAGCAAGATGCCTCAATGGAGGTACGAATGATTTCATCTCGTGTGTTCCTATAGAAGCGGTTGTTCTATTTTCGCACATAGAGGCATGCAGAGTACTCTAAAATGATTTAACATTCGAAGTTGGGGGGTGTGAGACACAAACTTGGACACTAATGAACTTTTTGAAGTTTTGTCCAGTCAAATCCATATTGTTCAAGACACAACAAACCAAGTAATTTCGGATACTTTTGACAGATGGATCGCTTTCCACGGTAAACTGTAAGCTCTCGGGATGTATGGAAGATAACTGCTTCGAACTAACGTTTGGAACATCCGTGCGCACTTTAAGTGAATATGTATTATCCGCTAATAATTCTAAAACGGGAGAAGGATTTCCACTCCGACTAGTAGGTGGAGTTTTAGGCTCAACAGTTGCAAACTTGGAAATGTAGGCCAAAATAGCATTCGGCTAAAAAGTACGTATTAATGCGATATTGTAGATTTCAGCACCTTAGATCTTGGTTCGTTCGTTAACTTTTTGAAACGACTGTCTTTGAAAATATTTCCGGATAAGTTCAAGGTTTTGGTTTTAGGGAAGCTGAAACACGGTAACCACTAAGATATTAGCATTAGCACATACTTCGTAAGCACCACTGGGTAGTATGTTAACAAATTGTGTGAAGCATTCAAATCCTTGAGACGTGGAACATCGAAGTGATCACAGATCTAAGTAAGGATTCCTTTTTAATCTTTTGGATATTTGCAAACCTCGGTGATTTCATTGTGTGAAATATCGACCGTGTGAAGCTTTTCAGAAGGTGGAGCACACACACATGGTGGAGTTTTCGTCAACTTATTATAAGATAAATCAAGGACTAGAAGTGAATTCGATGACGTGAGATGGCTCAACCCCTCATCTGTTATCTAAATCGCGGACGGATGATCAAGAACTGAGTGATGACAACTAACGCAATTATTGGTTAAAATCAAAGACTGAAGTTTCGTCAAATTATTGAAAGACTTCGGGATGGATGTCAACTGATTATTACTAATATTAACATACAGTAGTTCCGTGGCTTGACCTGAAAAACAATTTCAACTGCGAACTGAGAATGAAAGAAACCCAAAGCTTCAGGTAGTGATGTTAGATTGTTGAAACACAAATCAAGTTTGGTCAAGTGTAGACAGTTCCCAATGTGCTCGGAGATAACGTTCAAAGCTGAGTTTTGGACGAAAATGAAGTTCAAAAGGTTTTTCTTGAAAAAACAAAATGTATAGGCTAGAGAAGAGACGATGCTTACGGGGAAGAAATGTTTTCTTTGCTCCTCTTCTTCACTGAAAGATGATTTCGACTTCAAGACTATTTCATATTTCTCAGTAGCCATCCTAATAAAGAAAATAGAAACACAGATGAAAGGAACAAGAGGAGATAGTCAGAGTTGTAGAAGAACATTCAACGCCACTACGACAGGAACAATAAAAATTTTTATTTTATCATACAAGTAACGGAAACATAACAATCCTAAACGACTAATTGAAGATCAAACCTTTTGTAAAGAACGTAGTTTATTCTTGAGACTTTCTCTTAATAGGACATTCAAGAGACTTTCCGAATTGACTTTCTGCTCGAAACAATCCACAGAAGGATATGGATGGCCTACAATCGCTCTACCTTACATATAATAGGAATGCAACTACAAACCGTCAATCTCTAAAACAGCAATATCGTATCTCTTCCAGTATTCTCGTTTATTCTGAATGAACTGCTGCAACCTTTGCGTTGGCAAACGATAAATGGATGTGAAAGGACCCTCCTTATCGACGAAACGAGGCACGATGACCTGAAGAGAGTAGATGAATCTGGACTCATGCTTCTGACTATACTTCATTCATTTTTGTTATTAAATCTTTTTCTGGTAGCCACCATTCCATCATTTCTACTGTGTATTCATCGTGCTGCCCTCTCTCAACTCCCAATTGTATTAACTGAAACATTTAAACGATAAAGGATTATAGCTCTTGTTCCATTACCCTTTCCAAGTAAGGTCTTGCTTCAACAGCCCTATTCCATGGGAACTCTGCTCTTTCTTCTCGCACCACTCGATTAACTATTTTTCTAAGAACCTAAGAAGCGAATTACGTTTTCACGCATTGTAACAAACCTCTAGTCTAGCTCGTTGGCTTGGCTCAATCCCTCCTGTTTTTAACTTTTGAGGAACATGACCAATAACAGCTTTAATCCTTGGTAAGGTATACGCAGCTCTTCCACTCATATTTCTTTAGAATATTTTAATATAGAGGACTTGAATACACAGTAACTATGCCAAGCGGTATAAACGCTAAGCACAACTGTTGACACAATCATTGAGCTAGGTAAGACAAGGGAACAGCCCGACAGAAAATAACACAAGCACATAAAAAATTATTAATATTTTATTTATACCCACGAAGATGATATAACTATGCGCTGACTAGATTATACAGATCAAAACAATGATTCATAGCTACGCATAGCTGGAAAAGAAGGACTCCGATCTAATCGCTTTCTAGGTAAGTTAATGAGTGCATTAAGAATTTCACTAAATGAAGGCCGGTCGCTTCCATAATAGCTCCAACATCGCATCAATAACTCCTATAAAAAAAAGGTATTAAATCGTGAATGCAACCGGTCTGAACGCCGAATCAAGATTACGAACCTTTACTTCACGAATAGCTTTAATATTATGCATAGGAGCCTTCATTCCATTACCGACCATCCACATAATCGTATCAGGATGTTCCCAAGCCCACGGAAAAGAGTAAGTAAGTAATTCATACCATATCGTGCTGAAATGACGTTTGAGAATAAAACATGTAAAAAGAAATGAGAACCTAAATGCGTACACATCAGTGCTTTCGGAGAAGGGGAGAGTATCGAGATCACTACTTAGAGAGCGAATAAGCTCAGGAGCAAGATAAGCCAACCAGTGGCTTGGTACCAGAAAAGAATTATTCCTGAATACAATGTGAAGTTTCGAAAATAAACTAGACAAATACCTCTTAGGATATGCAAGGCGCTTGGGGTCAAAAATACCGCTATCGGTAATGACGACTTTATTTTTACTTTCTATGAATATATTTTTAGAACGCAGATCTTTATGTATTATGTTTTTGGTATGTAAATATGATATACCCTTAAACAGATGTATGTATAAGCGGAAGTCAACAATCAACAAACCTGACACACTTGAGTTGCTAATTGAAGAACGACGCTTATTTCGAGACGCTCATTGAATTCGTGAATTGCCTGATATAAGGTCCGACCTTTACATAAGCTCGTGACAATGCCGTAACGATCATTTTCCTGGCAAAAACCATAAAACAAAACGATGTTATCATGCCTCGTATTCTGTAAGATAACATGTTAGTGTGTGAATACTAAAGTTACGGCACACCTTATGAGCAACAACATCAGCTTTGAACTGTTCCAGTCGCTTTCCCTCTTCTACATGATCCATGTTCAAATATTTAACAGCAACATCTCCGAAATAGAATCCATGTCGAACCTAACCGAACACATCAATATCTTCAAACACATAATACTTACAGTTCCAAAACGTCCTTTGCCCAATAAGCAATTCCTTTTAAATTCAATTTTCCCGATTGGAATGGTGACTTCATTCCAACTGGCCTGTGTATTAGCACCTCTAATTGTCAAATTTTGCCATTGATTTCGATCAAGACGATTATCAACGCTTTTGCTTCCTGACTCATCACTATTTACAAAATCTGTCTGAAATCAAAAACATTTTAAGTCGAGGTGAATGAGAGAAAAACGTACATTAGCACTACCCGTAGAATCAGCAACCAGTGTTCCTTCACTACCATCTCCAATAATACTAGTGGATTGGGTAGAAATAGAATTAAGAAAAGGATCACTTTAAAAATATATGATGAGTGATAAATTGACAAACAAAACATACGAAGTAGTATCCGGGAGGACAATATCCGGAACTTCAGGCACGGTGTCAGGGAAAGTGAATTTCCGCTCAATTGTCCGTGATTGCCCAGACACAGCATATGGACTACTCATTCCCATATCTATGACAGACAATGAATTGATGAAATAATAATGCAACAAACTTAAAGGGAAAGCTGGAGTACTAGGAGCTGAGCTGTTGGTTGAAGACGAACTATCTACTACACCAGCATTTTCAGGATATTGAAATGCAGGCTCATTGAAAGATCTCGAAGAAGGAATACTGGCGGATGGTGGATCATTCCACATATCCTAATAACAATCAGAAGCTACATTCAGTCATACACGAAAGCTCTTACGCCAATATTTTGTTCAACCATACGATCGAACACTAAACGGATATGTTCAGTAGTTAATCCACACGTGTCACCAATTTTACTTTTACATTGGGTATGTACTTTTAACCTGTCAAAAGACGACTTATGAAATATTCTGGATGGATAAACATACTTGCAGGCACGACATTTCTCCCAAGAGGTGAGAAACCCGAAACCTAACGAACGTTTGCATAGTCTACATACTGAAATAAAAACAGGATTAATTGAATTATTGCAAAATCAAGTGATTACTTCCGTCACCACCACTACGTAAGAAATATTTAGTCGACCGTTGCCATTTATGCGGAATGTCATGCTCCAATCTCGACTGTTTAGGCAATTTCACTGAAAAACAACCGTTTGGAATAAAATGAACGACAGGAATAAAACTCTTTTACGTCATTCTCACGTAAGAATTACAACACATGGGGGGGACATAAAAAGTGACCGCGAAATAGAATTTAAAATCAATAATTGAAGGGGAAAAATACTAATTTTGAAGAAACAGGAAGAAAACGAATGATTGACTCACTATTCAATTGCATGCTTGTAGATTGAACTATTCGCCCTCCGGATGTTGAAGTTGGGGCAGAATGCGCTGAACTCGTCAAGGGAGACGAGGGAGATAATGTAGATCGTGTGGACAACACAGATAAAGATCCGCTCCCAGAAGCTGTTCGGCTAAAAATAACATTGGACTTTATCACAAAACTTGAAAGTCATTTTTCTTATTTCATGTTTCCATAACTTTAAAAACGAATGCTTACCTGTGACCACTTACTACATTCGGGGTACATGGGAAAGAACCTGCAGTACATGGATCACTTTCAAAATACGGAGATTCTCGATCTTCATCACCCCTAAAGAAAACTGATGGATGCGTAGTGAAACTTAGAACAAACCTGGAGGATCCTTCAACTGGAGCTAGTAAGAAACGCGAACTTGGGGGACTCGCTGATTCAGCGCTAGTATCTCTCCAAGCACCTGCTTCTGAAAGATTATAAGAAAATAATAATTATTATAAGATTATTAGCATACTTGATGACTTCGGGGAATAAACAGACCACGATAACTGTTTATCAGTGAATGATGATTCTCTACGTCCTGGAAAGCAAAAATTACAAAAAATAGTCACTTCCGCAGAGGGGAGGGAGTCACCTATGAATGAGCAAAAACATTGATAAAAGCATCCACCCATGGATAATTAAAATAACCGAAGTTAGAGAATGTGACGAAATATAGCAATGCGCTGCGCGAATGAATGGTGGAAATGATAAATGATCAATGATAAACAGATCAGGTTGTACGTATCATAGTGATTGATAAGAGAACCAAATGTGAGAGGACTGCTAAGAAATGTTTTTATCAGAATTTGGTTTTATGCAAGTCAAAATAAACTCCTCCTGCTGTTGCCACAAATGTTTGAAGCTTCAACAGGAAAAAAGCAAATGATTAGTCAGGGTGGGTGATAGGTGACGAGAGATAAGGAATGCCAAAGTCAACGAGAACTACCTTTTAGTGCTTCCAAGTAACTGTTTGCTATGTCGCATGAACGAAGTATTTTTCTCTTCGATTCCGGAGAGTAACGTCCTCGCTCGGCAAGGAGATTAGTCTAATGAATATGGAGATGAATATTGAGCCAAAGAAGGTCAGTTACCTCTTTCTGCGGTTTTTGAATCATTGCTAGAACATCATGAACTCCACATAATTCAAGGTGCCTGATATTCGTCGGAGATAAACCAATAACTTTCAGCCAGTCCGTGAGCCGTGGTTTAAGAGGAGTCGACCGAGATGGAGGTGGGCGTGAAATCAAAACACGGGAAAGTAATCGAATTAGCTGAGCCTGAATGTGCGACAAATAAAAAAATAAATCCGGAAAGTCACTAACCTCAAAAGCAATCAACTCTCCTTCTGTTAAATCACCTACTTGACTCTCATATTTTTGAGCCAACGATTCGAATTCCTGGAGAGCAGCGTGATAATCTGCATGTGCTACTTCAGCTCTACTCGTACTCGCCTAAACATCGGGTCAAAAAAACAAAAACTTAGAATCAGCGAAAACCTCGGGAGATAATGCTTCATGGTCACTTTGAAAACTAGTGTGAGCAACTTCCGACACCGAACTCCCGTCCATACCCAAAAAATCAGAACCGCCTTTTATACATACGACTATACATTGATTATTAAATAATTTCTACAAAAAACTATTTATTATCTTTCTTCTTTCATATGAAAAGAACGACAGCTGCTCAAGAGAGCAGATTTGAGGAATTCATGATGGCCAAGAGAAAACAGAAGCAAAAGAGAAGCTCAGCAAGGTTCAGGAAACTCAATCAATAAATTTTTGTTATGCATACTATTTCTTAAATAATAAAATAACATGTAAGTTAGCAAAAAAATAATTGATCTTTGAAAAAAAGAAAAACAAAAATCATTCTCGCTTCTTGTGGGCGGAGCCTCAAAATACAAATGTTATGCAGCGCATGGAAGCTGCGTAAACATCAAGCAAGTCATTGAAAGACTTCAATTTTTAATAATATGAGGTGCTGAGAAGCTTTCCGTCGAATTGAAAAGTAAAGCTGAAATGTGGCGGCAAATTAAATCGGTCGCATTAAACTTTGGACAGATGATGAACTAGTTGAGAGAAATGGATTTATATGAGAAAGACTGTAGGACAACAATGCAACAAATACAGAAGGAAGCCGGGCTTGGCAAGTCGAAAGTATCTCAAAAGCCTCCAAATGTGACATCTAGCCTTATGTGGACTAATTACCTTTCTTTATATTCTAGATGTGCAAAAGGAAACTGAGACCTGTCTAAGGTATATAATTGATTCCATCTCAGTCAGATCCATTAGCAACATAAATACTCTCACTCAATGTGGCAGACAATTGTCTTGTCCTTAGCCATCTTTTTTTTCTATGAGTAAATTACTTCATCAAAATACACTAATATAGATATGTGCTGAATGAGAACTTAAGAAATAAAATGAAATGAAAAAGTGGAGAAAACTGAATCGATTTCCTCTGTAGGAATCTAATTAATGGAACTGTCTTTGTGATCACACCTACTACCTACTACAACAACTCGTTCCAATAACATCATCTGCATCATTTTTCTTAATTTTTTTTCCTTTCATATTCATTTCCTCAATTTGAACTTACATTTTGGCGCATTGCGTGCCGATATGTCATTTAAGCTCATTTATGCTAATTACCGGCGTCATTTACGAACTCAATTCATTTTTTGTTGTATGTAAATGTTAGAGCAGATCGGTTGCATTCAAGTAAAGTCAGATGAACCTTTTTCTATTTACGGTCATTCAAGTTTCATTTGTTTGTAAAGAAAATATGTATTTAATTCGTCATTTTATTACTGCGTGGTAGATTATAGACTGATAGGCTCATCCAAACTCTTTATTATTACATTTCGCTAAGAACAGAAGAATAAGAAGAATGAACAATGAAATTGACAATTGAGCTTGAATAAGATGCTCATATGAGAAGGGGGAGAGAAAAAACAAAAAGTTGAAGTCATTCACTTCATCTACTCAACATCGAACATCCGGAAAAGAGATGCTGGCGAGTTAGAATCGAATTGGATGAATCCATTGACTTCCCGTAATTATTGAAAAGCGAAAAAGAGATTTTTGTCCTCTCCCATTCCTAATTTCTATTCTTCCATTTCTATTGAAATTCAATTGAACCTTTCTCTTTTTATAATTTATATATTACCTCCTTCTCTCTTTCTCTCTTCATTTCTCTCTCTCTTCATCTTCACAGACACATTTCATTCCTTTCCCTCCACCCCTTCTCCTTTTCACTCTCCTTTTTTTTCCGGACTATAAAGGAAAAAAAATTGTAAGAAGAGAACCAGATGAAAATCTTTATGACCACTGTTTTAATAATATTATGTGTGTTGCTTCTGCTTCATTGATGCTTCAACCATCGCTTTTCATTTTCGTTTACTATTCGCCTTCCTTAACTTCCTTTTTCAATCTTTCATATCCTTCTGATCGTCGGGCTTTTCCTTCAAAATTCTTCTTTTATTTCGTTTCATCCTCTTTCCATCATCTCACTTTCTATTTCTCTCCTTAGTTTATTCATTCTCTTCTTCTCTGCTTTTCGTCCGACAAATTTTTCCATTTCGTTATTCTGAAACTCTCTCTCTCTCTCTCTCTCTCTCTCTCTCTTCTTCTTTCTACATTCATTGGTAGTCGAGAAATGACTTACTTGAACGAAAAATTCTTTTTTTCTTTAGAATTTTGAAAAAAAAAATTTTTTTTCTTCTTTCCTTCTCGTTTTCATTTGCCATAAGCCTTCTCATCTATAATTGACTTCAGATATCTACATATCATTATTCATATTTACATATTCGTTGTTATCAAACTTCAACAACGAAATTCTCCCCTTCTGCCCTTACTCCCTCTACGTGAACCTTCTTCTAGCTGGATGAGATGCTTTTCATTTTTTTTTCTTTCAAAAATGGCCTCATGGAATAAGACGAAAATTAGAAGCGTTTTCACATACTTTAGGTTGGAAGAGAGAGAACTATTCTCGAAAAGAAGTTCTTTTCTTCCTGTTTCCTCTCATTCAACGGTTAGATCATCAACTTGTTACTGTATCAACTACGGATTATCCCTCTTATGGTTTAAATGAAACCTTGACCTTGCTTTTCTTCCTCTCACTTGGAAGCCTCTACTCTATTCTACCTCTTTCTCTCTCTCTCTTTCATTCTCTATCTCTCCGTCTCTCTTCTATCTCTACTCTAAACCAGAAGTATTATTGTTCCTCTTCTTCAAATACAATAAGGAATGCGATAAACGAGGATCAACCATAACACGGCTTTGCACCAATACATGACAGAGAAGGTTTGATGACTTAAAAAGTGACAAGGTCAGCGTCAGCAAAATGCCAACAAGAAAAATTTTTGTTATTTCCTCACTGGTAATCTTCACCTCTTATCCTCAATGGCTTTTTCCACTTCTTTCACAACTCACGGACCCTACATTCTCAGAAATAAAATTCTCATTCGTTTAACTTTTTTTCTCACATAGTTGCCTATGAATACTCATACACACACCATACATAGACCTACACACATACACAGACACACACACACATCTAGATCGCTATTGAAGTTTATTCTGAATTTTTAATTCAGTTTTTTCAAGACTCAACTATCTTCTCTACTTTCTACATTCACAAACTTTTTCAAAATTAAATATTTTTTTCGAACAAAAAAAAATCTCCATTTATGGCATAACATTGTTCTTGACACGACATTGTGCCTGAGGGCTAAGTGTTCATTTCATCTCTAGCGCCGTGCACGTCACTTCTTGCAATTGTGTTATATTTTTAGGTTCAACTTCAACCTTTTTTTATATTCTTTCCTTTCCTACATCTTCTCCCTCTCTCTACCCCCTCCTTTTCCTTTGAGCAATACGAACCAGATTAAAAAATAAAATTTGAGGCAGTTTCAGGAGTTTTTCCCGCTTCATCCTATTCCATAACAGAAAGTTCAAATCGCTCCTGTCTCTTCATCCTCTCAAACTACTTCATTCTCTCATTTGACTCCTTTTACCCAGTGCAATTAGATGTCCTATGTCTGTTCTCAGATTTTCAACCCTGTTCACTTGCAAGATTTCGTCTTTTACATGTAAATCTCTCGATAATTGACTTTCAGTTCTTCCTCTTCTCTATCTTCCTCTCTCTCTCTCTCTATACCATTCTTCTCCTTCATAATCTCTGATTCTATGCGAAAGAGTTGTCGTTCTATTTCATATTTTTGTTGTTTTTGTGAAACAAAATTCTCTCAACCAATCATCCGTTTGGCCTTTTAACTGAAAGAAGTGGGCCGTATCTTTAGCCTTAAATGGGAACGAATCCTCTTGTTGATTTTGTATGTATTTTTTGTGTCTTCTCATCGTAAAAAATGTTGAAAACGTCCTTCTTCTATCTATCACAATCAGCGAAAAATTCTTTTTTTTTTCTCTTTTTTACTTTCAAATTTTTTTTTTCAGAGAAATTAGCATTACATTCAGAGAGACATGCTCCATGCGTCTATTGCATTCATTTTGCAATTTATTTTGATTTTCCAGGTATTTTGATTACAATTTTCTTTTCACCAAAAAATTTTTGTCGAAAAATGGGATTTTCTTTTTTTGCTTTCAATTCTATTGATATCAAATGAGATATGAAGAGCTAGGACACTGCTTGGTGTCTGGGAGATGATATATCCTAATGAAATTGCCCTTTTCAGATAAAGTTAGCTAATGGAGAAGATCTATTACAAGGTAATATTATATAGAGTTGTTGACTATAACAATATGCTCAATCTCATCAGATCGTTCTGTTGCTTGTACAGCTTCAACTATGGATGTCTCGTTATCGTTTAGTAAAGGATTTAGTGGAAGTATATTTACGGAGAAAGGCTTCTCCAATCCATCGTGCAGGTATTTAATAACATATTTCTCATCACTTCAACCATATCTCTATTAAGATGGTCTGGAAAAGGAGATACAAATATGGATTTAAAAATTCCTTTAATGAGCAACACAACAGACTGTGGTGTAGCATCTAATGAGGTAATGAAATTGATAGATCGTAAATGAGATCATAATTATTTTTCTATCATTAGACGAATGGAGAATTTACTGTAAAATTAATAATAAGTCCAGTCGAAGGATTAATTGTGGATGGATTCTCAGCTATAAATATTCGTTGTATTTACAGCACACAAGATATTACATTAACATTACCTCCTGGACTCAATGGAAATGCATTACAAATAAGGCAAAACTAATAGTCTATGGCAATCTGATAATAAACCACAAAATTATTTTTTTAGTGGTACACATGCTGAAGCTGGAGGGGTTGTTACTGGTAGTGGAGGGGCACCCATATTATCCATGCAGATATTGGATGGACATGGCATTAATGGTCAGCCTGTAGCTCGTGCTGCTGTCGGACAACGAATCACCTTAGATCTTGTACTCAAAGACACATGTATGATGATAAAACAGAAAACTTCCTTAGCCTTTAAAATATTTAAGCAATTTATGATTTTTATGTTCATTCCTGCTATGCGCACGACGGTACTAACACTCCAGACGCCAGCATCAATATTGTTGACAACAATGGGTTAGTTTGTATGGTTACAGTCAAACATATGAATGAGAACTGTTTATTTATTGTTGATTTTAAAAATATTTTTCAAACGTTTCTTTCGTTCAAGCTTTGTTTCAAACGAGAACGATGTGTGCTCCACGTATATACGTGAATGACGTCAAACTCATTTTGATCATTTGAATGTTTGATAGCGGTTGTAGATAGCTGTGACAATAGAAATGATCATTAAAAATCACCAAAAATTATTTTCTAATTTTCAGTTGTGGTGTTCGATTATCTCGAGCAATTGATGTGCCGGCGTTCACAACGGAACCTGCTAATCATGGCCCAAAACATGTTTATCTTCATATGTAAGTAGTTTTTTCCTATTATTTCGTAGAAAAAAAAGAAAATTCATTGGTAGGGAGAGGTACTGAGCATAGGAACGAGATAGAGAGAGAGAGAGGGAGGAAGAGGAAGAGAGAGAGAGAGAGAGAAAATAATAAAATAAAAATATTTATTTATTGTTGTTGTTGTTGTAGGTACGGATTTCAATTTACTTCATCGCAGTTTGTGCATTTTGAATGTCAGGTGAAGCCATGTGTTCATTCATGTCATCGTGAGGTTATCAATGAGTTAGCTTAACAGCCATCATCAATCATCTATATTTCAGCAATGTGAGCCAGAAAAGGAGGAAAATAAGATACCATTGATACCAGCTGCACGTCGTCGTCGACAACAACATGAAGATAATCTTAAAACGCTACGTCTTCAAACTGTCCTTCATATAGAAGAACAACAATTTCAAAAAGCTGCATTAGGTTAGTCAAATATTTATTTTTCAAGTATATTAAAACATGAAGTGTTAAGCTTTCAATAGAGACGTGTGAATTGATGATTGATTGACTTGTCTAACATGTTAATTACTCAAACTTTCCATTTTTTTTTCGTGCGCCTTATAAGGCTCATTGATTCATTTCATTGAAACTTAACTTATGACATCATACCCATGTATGATGCAATTCAACAATGGAAGAGTCAACATGACTCATGTCTTAGCCAAATGTGGATTAAAAAACCTTTCATTTTCTATATTTTCATTTCGGTACTCAATCCCACACACACACATACATTAACAGTCTGATAATAACGTTTTCAAATATATAAAAAAGATTTTTTATTCCATATTTGGTAAGCTTAGAAGGTCATCGCATACTTTCATGCACATACCTAAGACTCTATAATCCATTTTTACTACCGTTTAACGGAAAATAATTACACAAAAGCTTATCATCGCAACAGTTTAACTTTGATATTCTACTTTTCAGTGTCTGCTGAAGAGCCCGCAGCTACATCTGCATGCCTACAAGTTAATTCTGTTTTATTCATATGTCTATTCTTTGCATTAGCCATCATATCTATTGTTACGGTAATATTATGTATCTGTGCTTCTCGTATTCGTCGATGTGATCCTACATTCGAAGAAACTTATTGTTCTCATTCGTCTTTCAGCCAATAACTTCTATATATATATATATTTATATATATGGAAGGTTAATATACAATCATATCAAACTCTTTTCAATTCTAGATAAATCATTTTTCATTTTCTTACTTCATATTTACCAGCTTTGTGCCTTTGTGTCTCTGTGTCTATGTCTGTGAGTCTGTGAGTGTGAGTGTGTGTGTTTGTCCATGAATATGAACACCCTTAGAGTACGCTCTCTCTACTCATCCATTTCACTTAATCTCTCTAATGATAACGGGCTACAAATTTTTCATATCTTCCACATTTTCTTCGTCTTCTCCTTCTTCCCCTTATTCATATCGCAGATGTTTTACTTCCTTGATTCAGCCAAATCCACTTATCATTAATGTCTTCATTCAATCGAACTTTCATTTGCAACACACATCTCTTCATTAGCATAATGTTTATGAAAAACATATTTTATAAACAAATTGATTTTAAATTGATCAAGAAACAATACGCAAATATCATATGCATTTCTTTATCTGCTCTATGAACTAGGTCAGCACTAACGCGTCTCTGTTAGACAGCCGCTCACTATGTTCTATGTCACAGTGTGTAGTGGTACTTTGGTTTGACTGCGCCATCTACACGTAGGGTGCTGTGTTCTATCCCTACCAGAGACAATGACGAATGTATAGTTCAACTGAATAGGATGTTGACAAATTTTCGCCCCTATCGGAGTTTCTCTTTTGCAAAATGTACAGAACTTCTTTAAACATGGTTTTACTTGTTTTCATTCAAGGTTACCTTATCTCAAACCAGTAATGTGGTTATAAGAGTAATTGCGAACGCAGCTTATGGTGCTAATAGGTTGAGGGTTCGAGTTACCTGTGAAGCGATGACGAGAAAAAGCATAGTTCAACTGATCTACAGGACGACAAAACGCCCCTATCGGGAGCTCACATTTTGGCTCAACAAACTCAAACTTGAATGAAATAAGTCATTTCTGATAACTAGGTACAGATTTATTCCAGTTGGATAAAACTAGGTGATAAATGGAGTAATGGGTAGTGAGCATCTTACGGTAACAAGTATAGTGTTCTACTCAGCTCTGAGACAGTGACGAACACTGAAGACTACTGAATGTACACATGTCGACAAGATAAAACTTTCATCCAAGTCTCATCTTTTCTTTTTTTTTTAATATTTAAATACGATTAAAAAGATTACCTTCGTTTGCATTTTCAGCTTTGTTTTTTTTCTAAAATTCAAGATAAGAGCTATACTTCTTGAATCCCTGAGTGTTACGAGTTTGAGCTTTGCAATAGAAGACCACTGCTCGTATATTTCATTCTTTATTGATTATTGCTCCCTAACTTGTTCATAACAGATAGTTTTCTTCTTCCTCATGTGAATGATAGATTACTGAAGCGATGAGGTAATTGTCAGCGGTATCATTGTGCCCTGTATTGTGTTGAAGTACGCTCTAAGATGATGGAGATCAAAATAATATTGAAACCAAACTGATTGAAACGGTATCAAGTCTCGTGAGAGTTGTCTGTTCTTCTTCATTTGAGAAGTATTTAAGGAATGTCTCGTATATGATATTAAGCGTCAATGAACTCATATGAATTCGAATAGATATGCTCGTATAACTTTGGTTACTCTGCTACTGATATCTAATAGAAGTTATAAATCTCGTTATCATCTCCTTATATGGTAAAGTGCAAAAAGGACGATGTGTTCTAACTTACTCAGATTTCATCTTTTCATCTTTTTCTTATCAATATGAACGGAAGTACAGTTCTGTTCATTCATAATTACATTACACAATACAGACTGGTATGCCATCAGCTACAGCTCTTGGAAGTAATGTTGCTGATCCTCCACGAGGACAGCCGCCATCCTATAATGAAGTTGTTCTTGGCGTATCTCCTCAAATGTCATCCAACTGCCATTCTCTATATCAATCATATTATCTGCCTGATAATGTGACAGGTAATTTTCATTCATTTAATTACATATTTTAATAGTCATCACAAATTGTTATTACCATATTTCATTTTTAATTTGTTTCAGTTACTCGTTGTCGTCCACGTCGAACATTCTTCTTTCAACGTCAGATAAGTGGACGTCAGTGGTGCTTGATATTCACAGCGTTCTTTATTCCACCAATCATCATCACCATAATACTTATGTGTACCGTTTTTACCATGTAAGCTTAATCTCTATATATGGAAGAAGCGATTCATATCAATTCCATTACACATATCCATATTGATCTATCTATTTATACTGTGCATAGTAATTGGTTAATTTACAAATGATGAGACGTCAAACAGAAAATAGATACAATTGAAATTATTATTTTTGTGTGTATGGAACTCACTCAAACCCCTCCATTCCCCAATTCATCATGAACCCCCCCCCCCCTCTCTCTGTACCGCTTTGCCTACTCGTTGATGTTCTTCGCTGCCCCCCTTTGCCCCTCTCTCTCTCCAAAACCTCATATTCTTATATTGTATTATAAATATGAAAAAATTGAATGAAAAATCATCAGTAGGAAGTTGAAAACATCAAAAAGGTCATTAGTTTTAAAAGCAGTTTTGCAGTTTGCTCACCCTATGATCTTACTCTTGGCTGTCCTCTTCCATCGGCCCATTAAACGTACTTATCATCTGTACTTGACAATTATGATGAAGAATTTTCTCATTTATGACTGTTTAAACTATAAAAGCTTGAACAAGAAAAAAAAATATTTCAATTTGATTGGATGTAATGACTTGTTGTTGAAGAGACACACACACATACACACACACATACACATACACATCATTGTATACACTCAGAACGAGTGAGTGAGGTAGGGAAGAAGGCAATTATGGTATTTGGATTGGCTTCATTCCTTCCATCCATTTTGACATTTAGATCCAAGCAGAGCACAATAGCTTTTTCCTACAATTTCTGTGTCTCTTTTCCCATTTTGTTTTGGGCTATATGAGCATATTTATAAATATATATATATATATAGTTATATATATCCATCTATAGAAGCTTATAACAGTCAGGTTGAGATGAAGACGTGATACATCTTCCTCATCTTACTCCCTTTTCTTCCTCATTTTTGCTTAAGTATGAGATAGTAGGAGATAATGAGAGATAGAGCATTCGCTACAAGTTCCATATGCTGTGCTCATTTGATCTCCCCTCCCTCGTAGATGGAAGAGACTAAGCAATGCATTTATTCATTCGTTCATGTGATGTAAGACTATATTTAGAGTTTCTGTGTGGTGTTTATCTGACATGAGGAGGTTATTAATCTTTATGTACAGGATGATGTCTCTGTGTAAGTTTCCATATCAGAGAAGTTCATGTTTGACGCACACACACAACATGTACACACACACACACATACACAACGATTGGCTGCTGGCAGAGTTTCGAATAGAAGTCGACGAAGCAGAAGCTGTGTAGATGAAGAAGACATAACAAGAATGTTTCATTTATCACAAAATGAATCAAATATATTTCATTTTTTTTATTTATGGTATAATAAAAATAAAATTATTAATGTTTAACTACAGCTATATGTGATCGGTGATTGCATATACATGAGATAGAGAGAGTGAGAAAGAGAGGGGAAAAGAGAGAGAGAGAGAGGATGAAGTTAAAGAGTTAGACAGTCAGTGAAGGAGGCAAATGATCAGAAACAGTATATCATATAGAATGGATAACGTCATGGAACTATGCACAGAAGATTGATATACAAGCAAAGGAGTGAGAGAGAGAGCAAGATAGAGCAAGATTATGAGAGAGAAAGAGAGAGTAAACTACAGAAGTTTCAGAGAGCACTACATGTGTATGCATGTATGGAAGCAGTAATCCAGGAGGTGTTTGAAGCAAATAAACGATGGAGCGCGCAGCTTGAGAATAGTAACAACTACAAGCTCAGATTGAGTTTAAAATAAAAATATCTTTAAAAAAATATTAAAAAAATTAAATAAAAAAAGAGAAAAATTATGTAAAAAACTTCGTCAGAGATACGTATTAGATGATTTCGAATCAAATATGTGCGTTTTTTAATTTTATTTTTATTATATTTAAATTAAATAAAAAAAATAAATAAGAGGAAGTAGACGTAGAAGAAGAAGTAGAAGAAGAAGAAGAAGACGAGATGAGTCAATGAAGAGAAGTAAGAATCATTGAGAGAGAAATTGTGAGAGGACGCAAGTTCGCGTTAATCAAATTGGCCAAAATCATTCTCTCTAATCCCAATCAGAAATGAGATCGTTGTAGTTGATGACTTCAGTAGTCTCCAGCTTTCATCATCATAATCATCTTTCATCTTCTAAAATCAAAACATAAGCTTATCATCATAACACGTTTTTTTTTTCTTTTCTTTTTAGAAACGGAAGGAAAAAAAAGAGAAAAGAAGAAGATTGAAAGTTTCAAGAGAGCATGTTGGTATTACCTTGGAAAAGCTGCTGATAAGCTACCATCTGGTTGATAGCTTTTCGCCAAGAGTTTCCATTCCACGAATTGATTTGATGAGGATCGCGGAGCATGTTGACAACTATAAACTCTTACACAACAAATAAAATGAAATTTGACTACTTTTATGTCATCGAAAAGGTCACTAAATTTTGAAAATTGTACTCAAGCCTCCGCCAACATTGCCTTTTTCAGCTCGTTAATTCTGATGAATACGAGAAGCAATTAGGGTGATATCACCCGAAGCGAATGTTTTTCACGTACTGTTGTGTTAGCTGATTGTTCTACAACTTGCTTTCCCTCTCTCACTCACTCCTTCTCTCTCTCTCTCTATCTCCCTCTCTCTCTCCATGTCAATCATTCTCACGCTCATTATTCTCGCGTTGTTTCAATATAATCTTTTCATCTGTTTCATTGCTTTGACACCGTACTCCGTTCAAAAACTCACTTAAACAGTTCTCGCCTCCAGGCCATTTTCGGTTAGCACACATGTAGCCAGCTTTTGGACGAGCTGACGTGCTTGGCAGGAACATAAGAAAAGCACAAGCAGCAAGCATACAGGTCAGAAATATTGTTGATAATCGAGACATTCCTTAAATGGAAAAGAAACAGTTAGATAAGTAAGTGACGGTTGATAATAAATATGAAAAAGGAAAAAATCATAGAAATTGATGTACGATGATGGAGAGTGGGAGGAGAAGGGTGTGAAACAATATGGGAATGAAGACAGTAAAGATGAAAGCTTGTGATGAAGCATATGAATCGAAGAGGCTTACACTTTTAGAAAACAAAAATGAGACAGAAAAAAAAATTTTTTTCTGTTCCCCATCTCCTTGTGTTCAGCAGCAAGAAACTGTTCGAAGAATTTTGTAAAATAGAGGGAGAGAGAGTGAGAGAGAGAATTTTGAGTTGAAAGAGAGAAATGGCATAATGGAAACGTCAATGTCCAAATAGATATCATGAGAATATTCTCCTGAATATTCCGAAAATAGCAAGTACATCAAGTTGAAATTAAAAAAATATTGAATATAGTATATACTCTCTGTAAGCGTTAATTATGTATTAATTGTATTTTTGTATGATATGAAGAGATAGAGATAGAGTATGAGAGAGTATGAGAGAGTATGAGAGAGATAGAGATAAAGAGAGATTTACAGTGGTAAAAATGAAAATGATGAGAAGAGACAAGAAAACTAAATGACAAATGCCAAATATTGAAGAGGAGACGATTAATCTCAACAATGAATTGTGGTGAGGGGATTGAGAGACGGTGTTGCAATGGGCTTTGCTACACCACTTTGCTTTTTCTTTCTTTTTTTTTTCTCCTTTTCATCGCCTTTTTTTATATATTTATATTCTAAAGCGATGTTTTTGCTGAAAATAACAAAGAGGCAGACAAAAATCTTTTTTGGCAACTCCAGGATCTTCGAGATGGAGAGAAGGTCAAATTAGCTATTCCAACAACTCAAATAAGCTTGACGTCAAGAAATGACGTTCATAGATTGTCGATGAGTTATGAAACTAATAGAGTTAATGTCGTCATTCATTGGAGATTTATCAATTTATTGCTATAAAAATAGAATTTAGAACAAGTTGGGTGGTGGTGGGGTGGGATGGGAAGGAAGTTTAGATAAAGTTCAAACAAGTTGATAGATGAAGCTTTGAGCTTGTATTTGGCTCTGTTAATGTCAAAGTGTGTGTGTGTGTGTGTGTGTGTATGTGGATGTGTGTGAGGGGGTTAAAGAAAATCAAACTAGCAATGATCAAGAAGTCGCTTAAGCTCCAATAAGAAAAGACACAAGTCCATAGTTGAAAAAAGGCGGAGCTCAAAGAGACAACAACAGAGAGTGAAAGATAGTAGCTTGAAGGGAGGAAAGTTGAAAGAGGAAGGGAAAGAGAGATAGAGAGAGAGAGATAGATAATGAGAAAGAGAGAGAGAAAAAGATAGAGAGAGAGAAAGATAGAGAGAGAGAGAATAAAATGAGCAAAGGATGAGACAACCTCTACAATAGAATGCGAGAGAATACTGAACTAAGAGGGAAAATGTCATTTTTCATGAGTTTCATTAGCCATATGACTATAAGATCATTATAAAAGTTGAATTATTGTTATTATTATTATTACTATTATGCATTTATCATCGAAGAAGGCCATAGAAGGAGATTGCATGAACAACGACAAATCTACGTGGGAAACATCCGGAAATAGTAAAATTCTAATTCATGGCACGACGTATTAAGCTACTTTCTGACTATTCCTCCTCCTCATTTAACAATCTTCTTTCTCATTTTTCTATTTTTCTCTCTCTTCATCTCTCACACTGTCTCTGCTTAAGCTTGCTCTCTGATTCTTTGACTTCTCACTCTCTATCATACATAAGAAACGACATCGTTTATGTCTTTAATGATACTATCATAGGTAAGCGAAAAATGAAGGAAGAAGCTCAATGAAATACGATATTCAAATGGATAAAGAGAAATGAATGATGACTGCGATAAATTGTTTTATTGATAAGGCTGACATCGAGACAGTAGATGATCGTCTTTGACAGATAAAATACTCCAAATCGGGCTGTAGTAGATACTGGATGAAGAAGAGTAAGATGAGGAGGCTCATTGGCTTAGACAATCGAGAAATATGACCAACGGAGGAGGGAAAAGATAATTTTTTATGCATTCAATCGTTTCAATAGCAAAATTTTTGAAGCAGAAGCCTAGATGATCCATTTGATGTCATAAGAATCCGAATCTCATCCGGACCATTCTTCTTCAACAGAATGTTGAAGGCGACAAGAAACAAGAATTCATCATCATCATCCAGCTATATAACTATAGAGAGAACATCAGATATTATAACTATGGAATCACTGAACCTTAAATAGTATAAAACCAAATTGTACACCCTCATATGGGCTCAGCCAACACTTTACGAGCGGAGGTGGATTGGCCGGAAAGTGATTTGACTCAATCTTGCATATAGATAGAGAGGGAAAAGAAACAGAAAAGGAAAAAAGAAAATTACGGAGGTAAAGCTGTTAAAGAGCAAAGAGGCTGCAGATGTGGGGGATGACTGCACGGGAAGAGGACAGGAAATGAGAATAAGAATAAAATAATACCAGGGGGCACAGAATTGGAAGATATCACAACGGAAGAAGATCTCGAGCGTATACGAACTTAACATCTATCTCTCTCTCTTTCTCACTCTCTCTCGCTATCTCTTTATAACTATCTTTCTCTCTCTCTCTCTCCCTCTCTCTCTCATATAATTCACCTTCGAGCAAGTCAACCAAAATATATTTGAAAACTGAATAAGAAACAAACTATAATATTTATTTCTCCATAAATCTAAGGATGAAATACAAACTCACAGATGTTGTTGAGCAAAATAAAAAAAAAATCCAAAAACAGTTATGAGCAAGCAAGAGAGAAGCGTATGGGCAATGACAATGAGTGAGTGAGTGTGTGAGTGAGCATATGAGTGAGTGAGAGATGGAAAGTTGTATGAAACAAGTTTGTAAGAGTCCTCAAAGAACGAAGTAAAGGTACACTTTCTTTGTTTCAAACAATTTCCGTTTTCTCATCATTCGCCGCATTCCGAAAATAGTGAAAACGAACGAACTTTCCGAAAAAAATATTGTTTTTTCATATTAATTTTTCAATATTTTTGTACGCATTTGTGTCGTCGCATTAGCTCAGTGGGCGTAAAAATATTTTTTTCCTTAATTACATAATTAACTAATTATTACAAAAATTCAAATATATAGATACGGCGATAGAAGATGGGACGAAGATGTTGAAGAAGGAGAAGCTAGATGAAGATGGCAGAAAGAGCAAGTGAGACGTAAGAGACAATGGAAGTTGATTGAAAACTGAAAAAACAAAATTCGCTTCAAACTACCTAATAGTTTGTACTTGATTTGTCGTTTTCGCACATCTCCCACCAAATCTACAAAGAGACTGACTTTAAATTTTAAATTTTAAATATATCAAAACATATTTATATATAAGTATGAGGAAGAGGAATATAAAATGAGCAGAACTATAATTGGTGGAAGACTACGTTCAGAGCTACTTCCTCAAAAATGAATCAGCGTTTATCTATTGGTAGATATAGGCAGCTGGTGAATTGCATGAATGTACACATATCATCGCATTATAACAAACTCATTTCATCAGCATTTTTTTTTCGAACGAACAAATGTGCATTCAACGAACGCTGAAGAAGTAAACATTCAAATATATTCGGAATGTATCATTGCGTACAAAGTTTAGAAAGTTCACGCCGATCTTAAAATACGTGACGAGCATTTACATTCATTTTGCAGCATGCATGCATGAGGAACGGTTGTATTTTCAAATTTCATGTCATTCATACACTCTTTGACCTTTGCTACCTTAATGTTCTAACGAACTTTGTTGACTTTCAAGTTTCTCAAAACTTCTCGTGGAACTTCAACTTTGAAATTCTGAGATTTCAACTCATGCATGCTGTCAACTAAGGTTTTGAGCATTTGAACTAGATGATCTTGATTCTCTTTTTTTTCGGTTCTCTCTCCTCTCTTTCTTCTGAGACATTACAAATTCAAGTTTGTTTCTTTCTTCCTTTCTCTCACTCTTCACGTGTCTATCTATATCATTCATCTAAGCTCAAGTGCTTGCAACTAATTTACCGACACAAACACTAACCCTCTACCAGATTTGAGATAAGTTGGTGGACTCAAGTGAAAATATCTTCAGCGTTTGAAATGTAATCTCGGAAGTAATATACCTCTAGGAAGATTTTAGCAATCTCCGTCAAACCCGGATGAAGAATGTTGGGAAGTTCTTGAAATCTATTTTAAGCTAAACAGCTCGTTAAGCTTGTGTTACCATCAAAGGAATCAATGTCTCAAACGAAGTAAATGATCGAGAAGAAAATGAAAAAGAGGCGTGAGTGGCATAATAAGATGCGTAGTAGTCAGTTCAAGAACTTTCTGCTAATAAGTTGATATGAAATATAGCTAAGAACTCATGAAAATATCGAAGACGTCATGTACGAATTCTCAGTCAACTTGACTAGTACAGCAGACACATGACTGCAAGTATGGCTGCGTCCTCTCGATTAGATAATTAATATAAACTGTAATTAAATATGATGAAATGTTATTGCGACCGTTTGTTTTCCTATTCATCCTCATTTTGACTAAAGAAGACGACGACGTCATCATCATCGCCAACAGCATTTGTCTATGTGTAAGAGCATGAAGTTTTCATGAAAAAATTGTAAATTTTCTTCACGACAGCCTCCGGACAAATAAATCATTGAAATGGCAGAACATTCATTATGTCAAAATGAGCATATTACATCATAGGGATTATGAAGATCGTACAAAGGTATGAAAGCATTTGAAAAGAAGAACATTAGTGTAAGATTTACAAATAAGTTCAATTATAGTTAGATAAAACCGTATAAGTTGAGAAGGTTTAAAACAGCTCTCTTGAGCTTATTGCTGATCATTGTTGTTGAGCATCGAGGTCGCATAGAGAAAAGTCAGTCGTTTCACCGTAAAATATGAGTGATCATCAGACTCATCCAGTAAAAATGTTTTCTTATGGATACGAGATAATCTGTCGTACACCTGAAAATTCGTCGAAAGGTGAAAGGAAAGCATTCAATTCATACTTCTCTGATTTCACTTGTTCGTCTACAGAGCTCCACAGGAACAACATCGCACCATTCCTAAAACTGAAAGTAAGAAACAGAGGCTTGATGGTTCTTCACTCACCGTAAGTGGGATAGGAACATCAAATTTCAAAGAAGCAGTACGCATAATGATATCTTTCTCGTAATCTTCTAATAGCACTATAGAAGCATGAATCGCATCCTCTATGTCATTGAATCTATAGGTTGTGATACAATTCAAACACTTCAAGCTGTTTTTCAGCATCATCGCACAATAGTCTTTGAATCTAAATTGGAGTATGAATATCTGATTGTACTGACAATCTACCTCTCGCAACTTCCATTCGAGAGTTTTACTAGTTTGGAGAGAACAGCTGGGTTTCCCGAGCTGAAATCAGCCGCTAACCGAACAAACGCATCACTATTCTGAAGTTGTTCTACATTAAGTTTTGATTGGCTCAATAACTGAACCATCTCCAATCTATAAAGTGTGAGGAATTTGTCGAGATACGTCGCTACTTCATTGTTTTTGAAGCCTTGGAGAGGAATGATCGAAATGTGGGAGCTGACGGAATCGAAAATTTCTATATTCCTAGCAGTTGCCAACACGTTCAGCTACAAACAGTAATATCATATCATATTTAATAATTATGGGATTCTTACGCCTAACTGATCCAGCCAGCGAACCGTCTCAGCAGACCTAACATCATCGACGAAAACTAATGTGTAGGGTTTATCTATCAGAGCTTCTCTTAACTAAATAAATTCCAATACACGGAAAGTATGAAACCCAGTAATACCAATTTCATGAGAGCTACAGTAGACAAATCCTTAACATGCGGCAGATTGAAAACGACTTGATCACTGGAAATGAGTACCGAACGATTATGAATATGGTAGAGGACGCAGCCAACCTGAGCATTAGCAGAAGATCAGTCATCAAATGTTTAATTTGATTAGGGGTTACGCGAGAGTCGTCTAGATAGTATACATGATGAAAATTCCTAAAACAAAATCCTAGGGTAATATATATTTCTGTAACTTACACTCCTATCAAATAAGGATCATCCATCAAAGTTTGTGCAGCTGCGTATGTTTTTCCTATGCCGGCCATTCCATGAAGTACTGTGAATGAACTATCTATATAAACTCTGGGATGAAATTATCGAGTAGAGAATGATACGGAACCTAGCTTTGAGTTCGATCGGAGCGCATCAGCAATCTGTTTAGTAATTCCTTCTCTAACGCATGCGTTACGAATAGCTGGTACCTACATAAACCAGACTGTTAAACTAACTCAACATAAGAGCGATACCTGGCCGTCTAGTAATAGGCTTAATCTCTTCTCTTTTTTGAGAGGAACGACGGCTTTTGGATTTGGAACATCCGGAAAATGCCTGGAACAAACGAAAATGAGTAACATAGCCAATCTAAAAAGCACACAGAACTAGTGAAAATAAATTGGACTTGAAGACGTGCAGTGAGAACCATAAACATTCATTTTCATAGAATATGGTCTAGATTGACTTATAAGATGGAGAGATGGAAAATCAACCTACCTATTGTTTTCTACCTCTTTCGCCGCTTTCAATTTCTCGTTAAGAAAATCACACAAGTGAAACTGGAGGTTGTAATCGAAGTATTGAATCAAAGGTAACAGACTTTCAGCTCTTCGGGAATAAGCTCTTAACAGCTCACGAAGTTTTTCTAGTCTGGAAGGCTACAGGAGAACAATTGATTAACATAATTGATGATCTACTTGTTTTTCAATTTTTTCACATTGGGATCGTGTTAGTATATCATGAACTTCGAGAAAAATAATAGAATCCTCTGGATCAAAATCGTGTACGAGAAGCTCCACTGACTCGTACAAGATGGCCCGATCCTTCTCTGACAACATCTTAACATCATTCGAAGTTTGCCTGACACAGTGTTCATATCAAAAAATATATAGGGCCAAACCAGTACTCTCTTTCTCAAGTGTATAATTAACATTTATTACATATATGCCTTTTTCTTGGGGTGGCTTACAAAAGAAGTAAGAAGAGTTACCGATTCTCTCTGTATCATATAAAAATTAAATCAAATAAATACAAGGACCCAAAGATGAACGGTCACCGGCTGATACACATAACAAAAACAGGTAGAAATATAACAAAGAGGAGAAATATAAATGCTTAAACTGATACAGAACAATTTTAAACCCGTTGAATTAGTATAGTAATCGGCATATACAATTCAAAAATTGAGATGAGGTAATACTTTGAGGAAACAACAACAATGAGTTACTATAAATATGTCTATGAATGAGAGGATGGTCCACTTCCAGAAGATGATGGAGGTCCAGTTTCAATTGATGAGTTCGCATTAGGCTGAAACAGAAAATGTTATGCTTAATAGAATATTATAAGCTTACCGCTTGTAAAGTTTGTTGTTGGGAAGAATGACCGTGCTGGGCTGGGACTTGTTGAACTTGCAATTGTGATGGAGGTTGCTGAGAGGGAGCAGACTGAGAAGACTGGGGTGAAGGGGTAAAACTCTGAGATACTTGTGAGCCGGGTTGAGATTGACTATTCTGAGAAACAGGACTAGGAATTGCTTCAGAAGAAGTAACAACGACTGAAGGTGTTAGTTGAGGAGGTTGAGATGAGTGCTGCGGAGCTTGAGCCATAGACGAGGGTGGTGCAATAACAACCTAAAGAACAGTATTAAAAAGCAAATTATCAGAAACCTAACCTGAGCAACGGTTTGCGGCGAACCACCACGAGATGGGACGTTCATTCCACGTGTCAAGAGTTGTCTTGTCATCGGAGCTCCAGAATGACCTTGAACCAACTGGGAGCCACTTCGAGAATTAGGAGCCATGACCATAATACGAGAACCAGGAGGGATAGCTGCATTGCGCTGCACAGCTCGAACTTGTTGGATGTTTTGTCGGTTAGGCATCACCATGGCAGTAGTCATCTCAAAATGAGAAATAATCAGAAAAAAATTGAAGGTGTCATCATACCTGTCCATTTGGATTATTTGTTACTGTTGTTCGCCGTTGTGGTAGCCGTTGAGAATTGGGTATCATACGTACGTTGGATTGCACAACGTAGCCACGCTCCGGTATTGTTGTTCCATTCTGCGTCATATACATTCTTGTTCCCGCTCCCTGAACACGAAAAATGAAAACTTTGCAAATAAAATTAACTAACTCTTGATACAACTCTGCCTTGGACTTGTCTCTGAATTCCCGTGGCCATGGGTTGGGGACAAGACGTGTAAACGTTTGAAGAACTTTGGTTCGATGTGCTAAAACCACCTCCAGACTGCCCACCACCACTAGTAACGTATCCAACAGGAGCACGAGTAATGCCGGTTGTAATAGGAGTACCAGGCGGGGTACGCCTGGAGGGTGGACCAGTGAAGTTGCGGAACACTTGGTTCACACCTTGTCCTCCGGCCTCTTGGCGCTTCAAAAAAACATATTATGCAAATGAATTAGAAAGTGAGGCATACTCTGATTCCAGACACGTTATTCTCATGACCAACAACAAGATAGCCACTTTGTTGATTAGACTGTGGTTGCATATTGTGCGAAAAGTTGTTACCCATAGCTCCGACACGACGTTGAATACCCGGCTGTGAATAAGTCACCTGAATATAAAATAATATGAATTTCCCAGTTTCTAGTTAACTCACCACATTGTGTTCCTGTTGTAATGTAGTGGAATTGCTCTGAGGAGGAGGAGGTGTAGGTCGGATTGGCTAAGATAATAAAACAATAAATGACTAATGTTTTTGATATGCTTACTTGTAAAGCAAGAACTTCCAGAACGAAAGGAGCTTTCGAGACAACCGTTCCGGCTCCGGCTGTGACGGCGGGAGGTCTGACTGATACAATCATGCTACGATTCTGAGTGTTTCCTCTCTCTTCCGCTACAGGTTTCTCTTGAGCCTTCTTTCTCAACTCGGAACTGAAATGCTTCTCCTCCTAAAATGCATGAAATTTATATCAAGCACATAACTGGAAATCTTACGTGTATTTGAACAATGTCCTCAGCTTGAATACGATGCAAATTGAACTCATTCAGTTTGCTTTCATGATTCAGCGGAAGGCGACCGTTCAGTGCATCGATGGAAACGTTTTCTGAAGTTAGAACATGAACCTGAAGAGTTATTATATCTTACCTAGAGATCTGCGGAAAGGCTTAGCTGATTTTGCAGTTAGCGCACGAATGGTTTTGATTTTTCCCAATATACGGTTCTCCAAAATCGAAGTCACATCGAAATCATATTGAAGATCCGTTGTTGCACGACCTTTTCGTAAATGAACTACTTCTGCAGTCGTCAAGTTGACCTTTCTAGGCTTCTTGGTTAGTGGATCTATAGCTACAAGTTGTCCGTTCTCTCGAGGTCTTACTGCTGTTTGATAACGTATACAGCATTGCCGAGGAGATCTATACTTGCAAAAAATGAAGAATCCAAGATAGCTAAAAATTACCTGTAAAACCCGGTGACTCTGTTCACAAATCCAGAAATGAACTCCCAGTTGTAAGTCAAAGGAGATCTATTCTTTTCAAGCATATGTTTCAACGTGTTCTCGTTTCGCACAGCCTTCAGAAAATAATGTTACCAATAAATGTTCTTAGCAGCATTACCTGGAGTAGAGCGCGATCTTCGATAATATTCCATTCCGGTCCTTCGTAGTCATACTCTTCTCTGATAGGACGTGGAGGAGTAACAGCTCTTTCCAAATCTCGCTGAGATCGAGTATCCTGCCGTCCTCTGGATTTCTCTCGTTTGGGCACACTGATACCAGCAAAGGCGTCGTCTAAATAGATAAAAATAAAAAAAAAATAGACGGGAGAGGACGAAACCTGTCTTGATGTTACAAAAGTCGGCTCCAGCGAAGTCGTTATCTTCAGAATATGGCATGGGGCTACTCATATAATTCGAAGGAGTTCTCTGATCAGAAGCAGACTTGAGAAGCTGCATGACTGTTTGTTCAGTTGAAAGATTGCTTGTATTATGAGAACCTAAACGTTCATCATAATAGGTCGTCTCATCGAAAAACTCACGTTTAACAGGGCTGGGCGGTTTCGTGAATGGACGATGTAGTTCGTAAATGGTAGAAGGCAAACGAGCTTCACCCATGAAGTCAGGATCATACAAAAGATCAAGACATTCATCGTAGTACACATCGTTCTCAGAATCAGATATTGGAGGAGTTGGAGGCATCCAAGACTTCAAAAAAAAAATTCTCAAAAATATGATATTAAATAACACACCGGCATATCCTGATTGAAAAAATCTGGGCCATCCGCGAGGATCTGAAGTAAACGTGTTATTACTGCTTGTTCTATTTTGCTCTGTACATGATTATTTGTGATTTCGCACTGTTTTGTTATGGTTACAAGGCATGCAGCCTGCGGTCTATCGACGCCCGACCCGTGCCGTCTCGACACCCGGCGATCAGATTGAAAATTAAAAATCTTCTAGCTGACCGCCTCTTCGAGGCCGAGGTGCGTGGTCTGTCGAACGAATCGAACGACACGCCACAGACCGCAGACTGGCGCCACGGATCAGGAGACGATAAATAACAGACATAACATACTTCATATACCACAAGTCAACAATTTACAAAAACAGAAAGTTATAAATAGGGACTAAGGTGTGAACAATATTAAAGATAACAAATAAAAATGAAAAACTACTGTAGAGTAAATTAAGATTACCGAGTTGATTACCCGAATGATATACCGAGAAAATTTCAAATTGCGTAAAGTGGGTTAGACTTATGAGTTTCAAAGGCTGCATAATACCAAGGCAGTTGAGATGAATAATCACCCATTAAATAGGAAAGGAAATTAGAAATGTTTTAGTCTTCAATTGAGGACCCGCGCCCTTCGGATCGATCCCGCCTGAAGGAACGTCTAGGTCTAGCATAGTCTCCTAAGCTAGGACGCACTTCTTCATGATGCAGTACTCGACCAGAAGCTGGTGGTGAAACCACGACAAAACGAGTGGCCACAGGCCGTTGTACAGAGTTGGAAGAAGAATTGGATACAAAACCCCCCGTAGAGTTAAGTCGGAAACGTCCAGTAGCCCTCTGACTTCCATAGTGAATAATTTTTACTGGAAGCATCAGTCTTGGACTTGAGGAGGGTTGTGATGGTATCAGCCGAGGAACCAATCTACCCTGCATAGCTTTGGGATCATAACCCGACTTCTGGACATTCGGAGCTTCATTGGATGATTTAGTAGGAGAGGAAACTACATACTCGGTTTTAGTTATAGTTGGATGATGAGGACGTTTCACAATAGTGGTTTTTCTAATAGTTTTCACTGATTGTGAAGAGGTTGACGGTGGCGCCTCAACAATCTGGGCATGACCTAAGGTTTTTGGCACTGTACTATGGGACGGGCCACTTGGGGCGCCTTCGGTTTCAGAACGCCTTGGACGCCCTGGACCTCGTTTGAAAATCATACTTTTTTCGGGAGATTGAGAATGTGAACTGCTGTGAATACGTGCTTTGTTACGAACTACAACTTTTCTCACAGCAGATCGCACAGCCAATTGCTTAGAAGGATTCAAGATTGCGCGCCGTGCAGATTTAAGAGGGGATTTTTTCATAGCTAAAAGTTTTCGTGCAGATTGACGAGAAGGCACCAAACGAGGTCTAGTGTTAATATTTGTGGCGCGGTCACGACGACGACGCGACCGTACCTCATCTAATAAAGATCCGCATCCATAGAAGTCGTCTTCAGTGTTGTTCTCCTCGTGCATAGCTTTTTCATGAGCTTTCTGCCAATCATCCTTTTTCTGTTCAATCAACGCCTTCAAAACCGAATTGAAGAAGAGATTATCAAAATCACATACCTCTGCTTCCTTGACCTCTTCTTCGAAGTCAGGTTTGTATTCTGCTTCGAGGAAATTAACAGCATATCGCTCAATTGGTTTCAACTGGAAAAAAAGATTCACCACATAAAAATCATAGACAAGTACCTGATTGATTAACTCGATATACTTGTCATCCGAGTCTTCCGGACCAGCGAGATTATTGGTCGGAAGTTTCTCATCAAACTCCGCTGAATCAAGCTTAGCTTCGGCTGAAGCCATTTTAGCAGCAGCAACATCTTGTTCATCTTCCAGAGAAGACATCGCCTTATCCAGCTCTTTTTGATCTTTGGGTGCATCAATCGAGGTCGATATATCGTCAACAGACACTTCTCCGGCAAATAGATCTCTGAGAAAGGGATTGAATTTTTTCAAACACTCTCAAAAAATACCTAATATTGTCAGTCTGTTTGAAGAAATCGGGTGTGAATCCAGCTTCATCGATAGCCAGCTCTCCGAGACGTCTTTTCTGGATAGCTTTCTTCAAAATATTTTCTTCAATTGTTCTTTCCGATATGAGACGGTAAATAGAAACACTCCTTGTTTGACCGATCTAAGAACACTGAGATTACAAAAAATATCAAATGGAATAAAATACTCGATGGCATCTATCTTGAGCTTGGGCATCCATGGTAGGATTCCAATCCGAATCATAAAAGATAACAGTGTCTGCACCAGTCAAGTTGATTCCAACTCCACCAGAACGAGTTGAAAGAATAAAACAGAAAATCTTCGAATCAGCATTGAAACGTTCCATCATCGCTTGTCGTTGTTCAATTCCAGTGGATCCATCCAATCGGAAGTATTGATACCCGTGATATGATAAAAATGCCTAGACAGCAGCATGAGAATGATAATTCATCTTAATAGTAACCTGGAGAACATCGAGCATTTTCGACATCTGAGTGAATATAAGACATCTATGTTTGTAAAGATACAAATCTCTCAATAAATTTGCGAGAATTTGCAACTTTCCACAATCATACTCAATAAGCCTAAGTTCAGGGAACTGCAGACTGTTTGAGAGCATCACACGATGCAAGTTTGTTCTCGCATCTTGAAGAATTGTGCTGAAATTCCTATTAATTTAACAATATGACACTCGTATATTTACCGAGATATGGAAGTAATGTTCTTTTCACAAAGTATTGCAGATGGTGTTCTACCAGACGAAATAGCCTTCACAGAAGGAGAATCACTCAACGCAGGAGCAACATAGAGTACAAACCTAAACACCGAACTATTTGAGGATATTAAATGACCAAACAAACTTGTTGATGATAAAATCAGTATAATTATTCAAAACTTCTTCTATATCATCGTTATGAGCATTCCAACCATCCCAATACCAATGATCTCTCTTTTTTCTAACCACCTTCAATATGATTATATGAATAAGAATTGTATAAGCTTCATACTTCTTTACATTCTGTAGATAGCACTTTCAGTAGTTCGTGAGAAAAGATAGGCTTTGAAATTAGGCCGAATCGTGATTGTGCCTTTTCCAGACGTGCAAGCTTTTCCCTAGCTAAAGTATCACAGACCAGACTCTGAACACAGAATATATTCATGTTAAAACTTGTTAAGCTCACCGGTACGCATTCTTTGTAATCACCGCTGATCAGAGGAGAATCAGATAATTTCCGTCTTTTAAGTGGAGGACTGAACTGATAGGCATAGTTGACAATGTTTTCTCGCACGCCTCCTTCTGCCATCAAGTGATGAAATCCAGATTGTTCTACATCCTTACTTCCGTTTGGAGCACCGCTCAAAACAGTGTTTGTTCGTAGAGATGGCTATGAAACATTCGATAAGATATAAACAGAACCGATATATCTTACATGAACAACTGGCTTCAGTTTTACAGCACCATGCAAGTCACGCCCTTCAGAAATAGTATCAACTGTACTAGAAGAAACAATTCCCAAATCATGCAAAGAAGTCTCGCCATTTATATTCAACAACTGAACATCGAGATATATAATTTGGATTTTTAAACTCAAAGTTACCTTGTACATGCGTGTACCAACTCCAACAGGACCTCCCTCAGCAAGTACTTTACCGTCCATTATTTTCATCTTCACCATCCCATTCATACCTACATAATTTAATATTTTTGAAAAACGAAGTCAACACACCTTCGGGTCTGGCCTGCACTCGGACGGCTTCTTCATTATCCCTAACGACAATGAAAGTTTCTCCATCAGACAGTCCAAGCTTCTTGATGTTTTCCGAACCCAAGCTGAGTGCTGCAGCTTTCAAAGCATCATCAGATAACCTCTGGAAAAATGTTGTTGAAAAAGTAATGAAATTTAGAAGGAACCTCTCTTCGTTCCAATGGCGGTCGTTGTATCGAAAAACCATCTACTTTTGGAAGACTTGAAGGTTCATCGAACGAGTTCAACTCTTCAATAGTAGGCTTCTTTGACTTGACCTGTGATGAAAACGTATAACAGATGGGATATTCCAGAACTTACTGAAGTATTATAGCCTTGGAAACGCTCATTTAGCAAGAAACACTTAGGTATTTCCTTATCATCTCTACTATTTTCTCCACAAATATCGAAAATGATAGCAGGGAAATTGGTCTGAATCGACGATAATGCAAATGGGGATATCACAGGTCTCGGTTCGAAAAGGTTAGGATGGTTACAACACTAAAGAAAAGCATGATGAAAGGTTCTGGAACTTCTTTATACCTTTCTCAACTGCATGACGATATTCAGAACTGACATCATATTTCCTGACTTCAAGTTATCTTTGGTACTGAAAGTTAAGAAATGAAATTGTGCGCATGTTCAACTAACGATACCTTCGTCTACTCATGAAATCATCGTAAAGGTAACGTTGACGCTTAGAAAGTTGGCATTTAATGACATGTTCGGTCTTTTCAGGAAGTTGCTTCTCCACTTCGCTTTTTAAACGACGTAGAATGAAAGGACGCAATACCTGAACGATAAAATTCCAATAAATTTTCATATTTGAAAAAAATACTTTGTGAAGTCTTTGAACAAGCGGTGCGTTATACTCGACACTGCCTTCCATCATTCCTGTTAAAGGGTTGCTAAACCAATCCTTGAAGTCATCATGACTAGCAAAGATAGCGGGCATCAAGAAATGCATCAACGACCACAGCTCCATCAAGGAGTTTTGAAGAGGTGTTCCTAATATTACATAAGATAAACAGAAAAGAATCTGTAATCTAACCTGTCAGAAGCAATCTTCGTCTAGCCCTGATGTTAAGAAGTGCTTGCCAACGTTGACTTTTCCAATTTTTGATGTTTTGAGCTTCATCGAGTATAAGATACTGCCAGGCCTGTAAATTGAAAATTGAAGTTCTCTCCAATCTTGTTGAAAACCTTACCTTCATTTTGAAAGAACGAATATCAGTTGTAATTGTTTTGTAAGAGGTTATACAAACGTGGAATGAGTTTTGTTTGGACCAACCCTGCAATTTCCTGAATAATATCATTCCAAAATCGAAACCGCACCTTTCGCTTCTCTTTGCGATCATTGACACTTCCAAAGTATGTTAATATTTTAAGTGCTGGGCACCATTTTTTAATTTCCATCTCCCAATTTAGTATAACTGATGTTGGAACCACAATAAGATGAGGACCCCAGTTGGATTCAGTACAAGCCAAATGAGCAAGAAGAGAGATCGTTTGAATGGTTTTACCCAAACCTAAATAGCGAAGAAGTTAAAACAGTGAAATAAGACTGAATAAGCATACCCATTTCATCAGCCAAGATACCATTCAAATTTTTCTCATAGAGCGTAACTAACCAATCTAAACCAACCATCTGATATTCACGAAGGTTTCCACGAATTAGGAAAGGAACAACCGTTTTCACCTATTCGAACAAAAAATAGCTTTAATTATTGATATAATCAAATACCTGAGTTGTTTCCAGAGTGAAACCTTTCGGTTGGAACTTCAAAGCTTCTTCAGCTATGTTTGCAAGTTCCTGCTGACGCTCATCACTATTAACACTGTGGAGTTTAGCGTAATCAACATTTTCCAGCATTCCTCTGCCATCTCCGTTCCCTTCTTCAACATCTTTTTCACTTTTAGAATCTTCGGATTGCTCCTCAACTCTTCTTCGCTTAGGGCTAGTAGGGCCGTCTTCCTCCTGAAGCTTTTACATTTAAGCATTATCACGATGAATCCTATACCTTAATCTCATCCGACTTCCTAGAAGAGTCGATTATCGATGATTGTTCCTCGGCATCACTCGTACTAGCAGTATCTGGTTCCGTATTCACGCTTTCACCAACAGAAAGAGTGGACTCTGGCCTTGGAATGTTCACGCCTAATGAGGCAAGATAATCAGGTGGCAACTAAAAAGATCAAAAATATGCTGAAATTTGAAACAACAAACCGATGCAATCAAATCTTCCATGTCTTGATCAGCTTCTCTATTCAAGTCGTTAATTTCTCCAGCAACATCATGATTCCTCAAAGCTTGTTCTTCCTTAGCGATTGTACTCTCATCATCTGATTCATCGTCGTGTTTCAAATGGAACTCAGCATCATCATCTATTAAAATTTTGAAGTTATCACAGCAATGTTGACTGTCAAAACTCACAATCGTCTTTAGAGGCAATAGAAGGTGATTTTGAAGTTTTTTCTTGAACGAGACCTTCTTGGACTAAACTACTCAATTTATCAGCCTCGCCAACAATGAAAGCAAGATGTTGATCGAGTGCTTTCCGCTTCTTTGATTCAAGGATCTCCTTAACAAGAAAATATGAAAACATAAACTGATCATTCAATACCTGTGCTCGAAAATCGACAACCTTGTCAACATTCTGCCAGAAATCTCGAACCATTTTAGCAATAGTTGCGCATATTCTTTTACCCTCCTTAAAAATGTATATAATTGAGTTCCGCTTCCTCTTGTTTTCACCTTTATTCTTCTTTGTTCTGCCCTTTCTACTTCCATCTCTTGTTCTTTCTTTTGCTTGTGAATAGCACTTGCTATCTAAACCAGCGATGATATCTACTACATGATAATATGACTTGCCTTTCGAGCCATATTTCGCTTGAATAAACGTTCTTGTCTAAAATCATTTGCCATCCATTTTACTTCCTCCAGAAGATAATCCCAATGAGTTTTATTTCTTGACGGTTCGACACATAAAGGCAATCTACTTTGAGTCCACAACCCAGCACGACGCAATTCAGCTATCCTAGCCATCACTTGCGCCTCCTGAATTTTCTTCAATGTAACAGATGATCAGAGAGCTTATAACCTGTTTAGCAGCTTTTTCAACGTTAGTTTCACCCGTATTAACAGACAACAACGAATGAGACTCAGTGACAGAACCCTAATAGATAAAACATATATTTTCATATTAGCAAACTGAGCATACCAAAGAATTGTTCTCTTCCACCTTGATTTCTATTGGAGCCAAGGCTTTAACAGGCGAACATACCCTACTCAACGCTAAATCAACTGATTATTATCCCAATATCCTAACACTAATCACCTCTAACAGATTTTACAGGCTGCACCGTTGGGTGCCAAACTCGTTCATTTGTATATTTACTATTGGCTAAGATATCTTCAAGCAGTATCCCGGTTGTTCTGAACCAAATAATTTATGCTCTTTTTCAATTTTAAAGTGTAAACCGTTTCTCTAATTCTTCCACATGGCTATTCATGCCCATTAACTTAGCGCTAATATACTGATTAATCTTCTCTTCTGTCCATGCACTGTTCTCTCTGCGAAGACTCCTCCGGACTTGTGCTTCCCTATATTCATCGAGTGTAAGAAGACTCATGAATGATACTCTTACCGTCGATCGCGGACTGCTCTAATTTGGCGTAAAAGCCTGGCCACGAGTTCAATCTTCTGTTCATCAACATCTTTGATTTTAGACTACAACACAATATATTGCGACCTCGTGACTAAAACTTACATCTGAACTAGTAGACGGACCATCATCCAAAACTGTTTTACTCGTGTGCCTGCGCGAGGCACGCATACCTCTCCCTTGAAGGTAAACTCAGTATAAAAATTTGAAAGATTGTCAATGAGTCGAATTGAACACCATAGAGAACATAAATACAATTAGGAATTTAAGTCCTAAAATAATTTCAAGTTAGAAAACACTATTTTCACTTGAAAGAAGATCCATATTGAAACCAAGAAGAGTAAAAAAAATGCGAAAAACTAGGAAAACGGCATTATAGCTATTCAAATCACGTAGACAAAAAAAAAGCTTGACCTAGCAATGTGGGCGCCATTCTTCATCATTCAAAGTAACGCGCACGCGTCTGGGCCGCGTAGCGGTTAACACTGCACGGTCGCAGCCCGCGAAATTTGAATTTGACATACGGTTTCCTTTAGGGACGGAGAATCTGCTGCAGACAATGGTGAGAACAAACGAAAAAGTTATATTACGATAAGTTATTTATGAAGTGTTCAAAATAGTAAAGCATATGCTTCTAATAGTATTGTAACAGTTATATAATACAATATTCAAATATAAGAATAGATAGTCGAAACGAGCCTGATATAATAAATAAACCCAGCAATAAATACAATAACTAACAATTACTTTTTCTTATTTTTTGAAAATTTACTATCAATAGCATCGCATATGAGTCCGCCGAATACTAGTGCGGTTCCTATTACCTGTCGTTGGCTCAAAGGATGGTTCATGAAAATCACAGAGATGATGATAGTGAAAAGTTTCCTGGTTGTTGTGATGATTGAGCAGGTGAGTGGAGAAAATTCATTGATCGTTTTGAAGATGAAATACTAAAAATGTAAGTAAAGTTTGTTTATGTTTCCTTAAGAAAACCTGTCCTCCACAGCTGGAAATAGCCAGCAAGCTCAAATCGCTTACAATAGTTGGGTGGCGATTAACAAATCCTATGAAGCTGAAGAGTTCTCCAGTGACGATCAGTCTGGAATACGTAGACAATAGAGTCTAACAGTCTACTATCACTTGCCCAATAAGTAAATAAAAGGATGAATACAAATTCATATAATACATCATACTAAGGGGACTCTTGCGATGGCTTTGGTTCATTATTTCTTGGAGAGAAGTTGTAGCTCCATCCATAATCAAAGAGGTTAACTGTAAGTTCACCCATTTTAGTCTCGAAGAACGAAAGCCTCTCACCAATAAAATTTCTCCTTGCCCGTAACCATTGCTACTATCTTTTGCATTATCTTTGAAGAGGAAGAGAGCAACACCAGCTACAATGATAAGTACGAAAAAATACTTTCGTAGGCTGTACTTCTTGGCTGCAAAAAAAACGCCAAAGAGCATAACCGGAATTGGTTTACAGGATTTCGCTAAGACCTTAACATGCTGTTCTTGTCACACAAAGAAGGCACACGAACAAACCTGAGTTGGATATGAAAGATATTGTAAAGCCTGATTACTAGAGATCATAGCAGCAAGATAACTAAAAGCGCACATGCCATACATTTTTGTAGGAATATTATCCACATCAGTGGGGTTTCGAAGTAATTTAGCAAAAATAGTGTTAGCTGTGCACATAAAAAATACTAAAGCTAAGGTATAAGTGAACTTCTCATCATTTGCATACTTTCCTTGAACACTGAAAGATTAGAAAACAGGAATTGCCAGCTTTGCTAATGAAGAAACTTACATTCGTTCTTGTTGTATTCCAAAATAGAAATAGCATGATAAAATACCACCAGCACAAATCAAAAAGTGAAAGGCTTCATTCAAGAATGATCGATGTGTCACAACCTGGCCACCCATCCTGAATAAAAAAAAGTGTTGAAAAAGCAAAAAAACAACGGAGAAATGACGCCACAAGGAAAAGGATTGCCCAAATTTATAAGTTCATAAGCTCATCTTTTTTTTCTAGACAGTCGCGCTAAAAGGACAAGGCAAATAAAGAGACGCAGAGAAAAATTGGCATTGGAGCAGGGTATCGACCAATGAGTTGGCCGTAATTTTGTTAAAAAAGATTACGATACCTATAGAGTTTGGCTTCCATGGTGTTTATTTTAGCGAATGATGATAGCGACAGGAAGTGAAACAGAAGTTTAAAACGGACTAGAAATACTTTATCGAATATGTGCAGTTTAAGACAAATATTGTCAAAAATTTGGTTCAGTTTTTGTTGTTATGTTTTCAGTAGGGCACCACACATCTTTCTGAAAACCGACAGGTCCGCGAGATGATTCATGAATCGCACCAAATTCGTCAGAGTTTTTTTTCCAGCTGATCATATAAATTGAGGGCGGATCTGAAACAATCAATTTTGTAAAAGGAATTACGAATTAAACTCACTCTCTGATTGATTGCTTTCTACAAAAATTTTTTGCTGGCTCGTATTAGGGAGGTTCAAGTTGGTGTTTCGGTTGTTTTCGTTCTCTTCAAGCATTGATTTCAATTGTTGAATGTACTTCATAGCTTGACGTAAAGTATCAACCTGAAAAAAGTTGGAATATATTTCGATCAGAGCTATGCAATGCACTTTGGATAATTTTTTTTCACAGTTAGCCGTTGGGAGCCTTCCTCGTAAACTATTGAATCCTTGGTTAATACTAGAGATATATAACAAATTAAAATAGTTGGAAAAAAGTAAAACCTATTCATTCGTTTCCTCTCTCTTTCATTTGCTGCTTGCCTTTGTTTTCCTGTAACTTTTTGCTTAGAATGCTTCCTGTTGGGATCACTGTCGAACGACAGTCTCGAGAATGCGTTGAAGTTCGGGGAGAACTCGAAATCCATTTCTGAAAAACTGGTGATGAAACAATCTTTGGCAGGAAATTGAAAGTGTGAGTGAACAATATGTGCCACTAATGAAGACACATGTAATGTTGAGTAACATAGGTCCAACCTCTCAGAAGCGTTGAGTGGCTATTTAAGGGTTGTCCGTTGATAGCCAGATGTGTTTGAGGACTTCTAGTAATATGTGTCTAACGGATTACAACCAGCCCACTACCCCCAGAATTGACAAGCAGATTCGATTACATGAAATACTCTGTTTGGTATTATATCTTGTGTAATTATCCAATTACCTTCATTAGCCGAGGTGAAATTATGGTTTGGCTGAACAATTTAATAAATGGTTCCTTTATTTTGCTCGGCTTTGTGGCTTAGTCTCAACATCATTAGCATATTGAGGTTTAGTATAATCATTTCCTAATCGATTTAGCTCACGAATAGTTGCATTAATAATAAACTCAGACTAGGTAAGCCGTAAGAATGATTTTCATATTCAATTGACAAAAGCTTTGAAGCAAGATTTCGCTCAGATCATATCTAGCCGATATCTATTCATTGTGTGCTAAAGGGATCAAGACGATAGGGCACGTGTGTTTCTATTCTCTCTTATCCAGCAGATGATGCAAGCGATACTTGACCGTCCTGAAGACATTAGAAGACAAATGGCCTTTGTATGGTTTTGAATGCAAGCAGAGAAATAGAATAAAAAGTTCTTTTTTCCCCAGAAGAAAATAAAATTTGAAGATTCATTAGGCACTAGAAGTAACAACAAGGTATTCAACAATTACAACAATTAACAACATGACCAATAACGTGTGTGTTTGAACAAAAAACAACGAAGTAACAAAAAACACTTACAAACATAGTCTCTTATAATAGTTTGATTATGGAGTTGATATACGGGAGAGGATTCTTTCCACACAACTGAAAAGGTACATTCAGAAACTCATTCCCAGATGTAGTACTTACTTGTATGCAGGCAGAGTTGCATTTCTTCAAATTTGCTTTCCAAACTTTCTCGTCTTCTGTGAAAGTTTCGAGTGTGGACAACAGTTGCTTTGATACTTTTTCCTAAAACATATGTTTTGCCTATAAATAGAGCTGGCTAAATTTACCTTTAAGTCTTCATCATTTTTATTGGCAAGAGTGAGCAGAAGTTTAAGAACAGAAGCGAAGAATCTTGGTTTGATTGTGTCTTTCTCGGCGATGTTACTGATGAAGTGGGATAAGAAAGTTTTCACGTTCTTCAACAATTTTTTAATGGCATTTTTGTCAATTTTATCGGAGGCTTTAAGAATAGCAGTCAAACAGGACACAGTTTCAGTCTGAATTGAAATATGGGTTGCGAAGGTTGATTGACAACTTACTCTTCTGAAAATTCTGTACTTCTCATCAAAAGCAAAATCAACGAAATTTGGAACCTCATCCACGAAGAAACTCTGTCAAAGAAAATAAATCAGTTTTTGGCTAGATAGTATGTTGCTTACTGGATACTTATAAATAGTGGCAGTTGCAAATTCGTTATTAATATTTCCTTCTTCCTGACAAACGAAGTTGGTGAACAATTCTACATAAACCTTCTTGAGTGATGCAGGCACTTTAGTTCCAGATGTACAAACAGAAAACTGTAGTCAAAAATTTAGATTGATTGAATAAATAGCAAACGAACCAAGAAAGAAATGACGGCGCTGATTCCTTTGACGAATTCAGGGTTGGCAACTTCAGAAGATTCCTTGATTATCTCGTCCACTAATTTCAACACTTCCTTTTCAGTAGAAGTAACTTTCTTCAGCTTTGAAATGATTTCGAGAAGTTCTACTGTCTTCTTGGCAGCTGGTCCTTCTGTTGGTCTTTTTGTTTGGACTTTGATCAGTTTGATTAGTGGAAGAATAAGGTTCAATTTAACATTTTGTGGTGTATTAGCAGAGGATACTGTAAACAACAAGAAATCTGTAACCTTCGAGCGGAATGTTTGCATATTAACAGAAGCTTCCTTCCTGAAAAGAAGATTCATTTTGAAAACGTCAAGTAGTAGGGACGTACTTTGATTGACCAGGAGCTGCGATATTTTTGAAAACAGCGGAGAGTTTTTCATCCATAGCGAACATGGCAGCATCATCCCAATCAGGAGTGTCAACCTGAGAAATTGTTTTAGAATAGTATCAAATAAGGACAAACCTCTTCATCGTCGGCTGCCGCTGCTCCTAAGGCCTGTTTGAGTTTGCCTACTAAATCGGCATCGACTTCTCCTTCTTCGTCTGACTCTTCGGAGACATTCTCTTCTTCTGATTTCTCGGCTTCATCATTATCATCATTATCATCCATATCTATTGAACTGAGTTTAATATACGGACACATGGTAGATATACCTTCATCCTCTTCGTCATCACTGTCCTCGTTCTTTCCACTCAACTCATTATCACTTAACATGAGAGTCTGAACAGTATAGATACTTTTAACATATGAAGCTGTAGCCTTACATTGAAGATATGCAATACATCCTCATCCTTGATTGTTGGTAGGATGTCAACAAACACATAATAAGCAACAGCACGATGGAATTTGGCTGTTTGCCCGAGTAGAGCAATTAACAAATCGATAAGAACCTGGATGTCAAAAGTATTCAAAATGACTTGTACAAGAATACTAACCGTGTTATTGATAGCATCCTTTGACTCTGCAATTTGAATGACTTCCTTAGCGGTTTCCGTATAATACTCTTTCTTCTCGTTATCACAGGAGATGTGAGCCCAAATGTTCAGACTGAGCCACAAAACAGTGAGAGGTCTGAAACAAACACATGCATTTTTTCAATGATATTAAACATACTTAGACAGTGGGCTCTTCTTCAATGCTTTGTCTGCTTTCTTGACTGTGGAACCGGGTATAGCTTCAACCAATTGTCTCAAGATAGCTTCATTCTCAGTAGGGAAACTGATGGCGACTGATTCTCCGGGTCTCACCTTAAACGATTGTTTTCACTACACTAAACAGAAGTTGGATGCCTTAATCTTGTACAAAGAATCCAAGCAGTTGGAAATAGTGTAGAGGATATCTTCACAAGCCGGTCTTTTTATAAGATGCAGCAAAGCAGCCGATTTTGCATCAGTCGACCATGCTGGGAAAGCAGAAATAATTCTTCGGACAGCAGATGCGGTAGTGACAGTCTAAATATACTCAATCATATCAGAAAATTTTTGTTTCCACCTCAATCCATTTAGTTACAGCGTTCTTATCCAACTTCGCAAGTAAAGTGGAAGTGATATTTCCCAAGGAAAGAGCCTCCAAATTTCCTAAAGCGAAGTATATACTTGATATGTCGTCACAGTCATTATTCTTACCCAATTTCTCGAACGTGCTTAAAACATCCAAGGCAGCTTCGGTATTGTCAACGGTTTTGTTCAGTTTTTCGGCGAATACAGTACAGAATGCTGTGATCTGAAAAGGAAAGTTGTCAGTCTCTCAAAATTTAAAACACTTTTTTCTTTTTGAATCTGTTCATCATTTCCCCAAAAGCATTTAGAAGTTATTAGAAAAGGTCACCAATTAGTTGTTCCTTTTTCTCACTTTACGACATAACAAAGCGACTGCCCTGTACACGATGTAAAACATACATCCTTCAAAACAGGAAAAACTACACCATCAATGGTGAACGAGTGTATGAATGCCCAACTTCTCTCTCATGATTCGAGATTACACTAGCTAAGCTCTTGTACAAAAGATAAGTCATCAGTGCCCGCAGGCAATCATTCTGATAGTTCGAACACTAGTGCTTCCTACTCCTATCTTTCAGATGTTCGCCAAGTTCTTATATCTCTTCTTTCTTGTATCATTACTCAATGCAAAGTCCATCAAAAAAGAGAAATTCATTGATACAGCTCAAATACTCTTCGACAACCCAATGATTTGTATAACAATATCGCAACATACATGCATTCATTATTCATGTTTAGGTGGTAACCCATTCTCAGACCCTATATGGATACCAGTTCTTGACTTGTGTTCCATAGAATGTGACTCTATGACAGAATATTGCGTCGAAAATGAAGAACTTGCACAACAATGCAAACCACGTGAGTTTATGAGCATCGTTCTTCATTTTAATGATTTCTATTCAGTACCCCAGGAATGTCAAGACTTAATCAAGAAGTATACCAGTCCTGTGGCATTGAAAAGGTGAGACTCTGTCCTTTCCGTCTTTTCGACGTTACTCTTTTCAGAAAGTCATCAAAAGCTGAGAATTGATTAAACTCCCACCCTACACGAATATTTGTAAATAAAGATGAATACCTTTGCTTTTGAGAAACGTTTTTCCAATCCTTGTCTACCAAGTAACACGCTTGTGATTTTTGAAACTAAGAGAGGACTGAAGACGGCCATAACCTGGAAAAAAGATTTCAGTTTTTTTCTTAATTTTGGCCTCCTACATCCTTGTAACCATTCGTATATTCGAGAGAAGTATCAGCTGTGCGGAAAATGCGTTCCAAAACTTTTGACTCGTCTCCACTAGAAGCCCACTTCTCGAGTACTCCTTAAAAGTCTATGTTATGACATAAAACATGTTTATCTTACGGCAATACATGTCCACAAACTGATCAGACTTCTGTGCACATTGTAAAAGCTTCACAACAAACGTCTTGACAGCACTAGCCTCACATTTCTGAATTGCATATTATAAGTACTCATCCAAAGAACAAGCCTACTTTCAATGCTAATAGAATTCTGGGAAAATCTTTCTGTTCGAAATGGATTGTGCCATCTTTTTTTACGAACGAAAGAGTATCAGCGAGAACGGCCTAAAAGCACAGTTTATATTTGTCGGAACTTGAATTCTTACTGCATGTTCTTGATAAACCTCGAGTACAAAGAAGAAGAATTCTGGCAGTGGGGTTCTGATAGCGTTCTCAACGTAGTCTTTAATGAGAGCGTAAATACCCTATAATGAAACAATTAGCTAGTTCAAACTAGATCGTTTTACCTTTTTGAATTTTTTTGAGTCCATTCCCACCGACATATCGGCGAAGGTTTGGCAAATACTCATTTTCAAGAAAGGGAAATTTCTATACAGCTGACATAACTTTTCCGCGATTTGGATAATATTCTTAAATAATAAATGTTTTCATATAATTAATATTCTTATTACTGCTTGATAAGAAGGTGCACATATGAGTGAAGAACAGATGAGGTATTGACCTATGGCGAATTTGGGATTTTCCTGAATAAGCATATCTGGATTAGCGATTTGACCACAACGGACTAACCTTGAGTAAATCAAGTTTACTGTCTGCTAACTGAAAAACTTTATCTAAGGGCCACCTGGAAGCATGCTTTTCTAATATCAAGGAAAGAGTAGTCGAAAATCTGAAATTCAAATTTGAATTGCCTCAATAGCAGAACGGCAAACCCAATTCGAGTAGCGTAACGGGGTGAAGATATTCCGCCGATGATTCTCTCTACGCAGTAATCGGCTATCCTTTCATCAGAATTCTATAGCAAATAGTTAGATCATCATTATTATAAATGAATTTTACAGTTATTTCTATTAGGGAAGCAACAGAATTTATCCTGGCAGTATTCTGCAATTCAGCAAGCCCATAAAACAAATCTAAGACTTCAGCGTCTGGCCTCATTTCTATAAAAAAGAATTAAATCGCAATTAACTAATTTTAATCAGAAACAATGGCCTCATGCAAATTTTAGTTAAAAAAAAAAAAGAATTTCGAAGTCGTAAAAGTTGCGAATGTAAGCTTTGTCAACGAAGAATTGCGTACGAAAAAATCAAATTTGAAATTGGAAATTGATATTCGAGCTAGGAATATAGTACTCGCATGGTGACATTTATGTTTTCCGGAAAAAAATATTTGCTTTATCGAATCAGTTTGCTAATTGAAAAGTAGCTTTGTCACGCAAATTTTTTTCTGCATTGCTTTGTTTTTTGTTCCATGAAGTTGATCTTGAGTTATCTGATCTTATCAGAGACTAGCTTGAATCTGAGGAAAGCATTGGTTAGAAATTGAAAAGAAAACTATTACCACAGTCTAGTCAAAAAAAGTTGAATAAACCTTGGATTCAAACTTTAAACGCTTCGAAGAACTCTTTTCTTTATTGATGTTTATAAACACTCGAATACTTGAGGCTTACTTGGGGGAAAAGATTCAATAAATCGTTGTGCTCGTACCAATTTTGATTATTTCAGTACTTATGGTTTAACATACTACATCTTGCATGCTTTACTAAACTAGGTGTTTGAAATGACCCAACGACGTGATAGAAATGGTCGTCGAAAGAGTGACCCTGGTACAGTTACTTATAGAACAAATCAAGAAAGAACGTAATAGCAGTCCTAAGATATTCTTGAGAATTCTGTTATTTCAGTATGGTTGCTGCAGAGCTTCCGTGGGGTGCCCCTAAAGTTGTTCCTCTTTCCCAGATAGATTATAGTATCCCAACTGGCATATTTGCCGGGAAGTCACTCCTTCTTGACTTGTTTAACTTGTTCGAAAGGAAGTTGAGCACAGTAATCGATGAAGAACCTATCGTGAGTCTAAGAACTAGCGTGTTGTCGACAAGAACATATTACAGGAGAAACTTCTCAATAAATCATTGCAAAGGGGTGGAGATGCATACATGGATAATTTGTGCAGAAGCTTAACAGGAGTTTGTGAATCAAGCTTACCATCTTTTTTGAAAGCTTTGATTGACTGGCATGCACGTACAGAGAGGTCCATCACTGAAAAAATCAATCCAGCGTAAATTATATGCGCTCAATCACAAGCTAAATTTACTTTCTCAGAAATGAAAATCGATTCTTACTCAACAAGAAGTTGTTGGCTATCAATTATTTGTTTTGTCTGGTGCTCATAGAGATTCTACCAACATTGGAATTACATGGAAACTCCTGCGAAGTGTATATTATGGAGTTGCTTGATTTAGCTTTCAAACAAGTTCAGTATAAAGATCCGTATGTTGCTTTTCTTCGCCTCAGTTATGAGAATGTATCCCAGAACTACTCTTGGAGTTAATCACACCAACAGCCTCGTTGTTGCTGAAACATATGCTGAAGTCATAGGGAGCTTATCAGAGTCTCGTTTCTCTTACATACATCGAAGATTTGTGTCTTTCCTGAGTAAGTAACTATTCGTTGAACAGTTTATGCTCAAATACTTAAGCCGATTTCCGTAAGGACAATTCCCCATCATCTTCACATCAGATTGTTTCTTTGTTGATGGCGATGAAATTCGTCAAAATCAGGGTGAATAACTTTGGAGGATTCTCTGTAAACTTCTTACCTTTCAGACCACAGTTGTCGAAGACTTTGAATCTGGCATTTCATTTTTAGATGATTTGGGTTCTTTGTTCCTTGAAGTGAAAGATAAGGTGATTGTTCCCCACACGACTTCTCTGTTACATTGTATTTCAGGATGTGAAACATGCTGTGGCAGGTTTACTTGTAGAGATTTTACTTCCCGTCGCTGCAGTAAGTATGCAATCTTATGACCTGAAAACGCAATTCTTCTTCAGCAAATCAAGCGAGAGACAAACATCCCTGCTCTCATCGCCTTTGTTGGCAAGTTATACAGTCCTACAAATGAGTTGGTATCGAAAAAACAACATAAATTGGTAATGTTCATGACTCATAAGCTAGTATTTGTAATTATTCAGGCTGCTTATCCTCTCTTAACTTGTCTCCTTTGTGTTAGTCAAAGACAGTTCTTTTTAACCAATTGGGTTCCGTTTTTGAATAATGCTCTAGCAAATCTCAAGAACAGAGATTCTCGAATATCACGAGTAGCACTGGAATCGTTATACCGACTTCTTTGGTACACTGATACTTTGATTAATCTTAATTCTTCTCTATTCAAGGGTTTATATGATTAGAAACAATATGGATAGTAACACATCCACTCGGACGCGTTTAGAATCCATTTGTGGCTCCCTCTTCCCGAAAGGAAACAGGTAAGGTGTACAATTCAAAACTATCATCAAATTAATTGTCAGAGGAATCGTTCCTCGTGATGCTCCACTTAATATCTTCGTCAAGATTATTCATTTCATCGCTCAACAGAAGCTGGACTTCGCTTTCAAGGTGCTCGATTTTTTTTATTTTTGTCCTATCTTTCTTGTAGGATGTCATCTTCGATCTTCTGTGTTGCAATCGAACTCAGAGATCTCTATATCCTGAGAGGATGAATATTGGAATCAGGGCTGTTATGGTTATAGCTGATGGACTTCTACAAAAAGACGATCCTCCTGCAATGCCTAAATCCATGGGTTCGTTGAAATTTCTTTTTTATCCAAACTTTTGCGGTTGCAGGTCCATCTGCCTCAGGAACCATCCAAAGAATGAAAAAGAAAACCTATGTTGCCAAACCTTTGACTGTTGATGTCGCGAGATCTATTGGATTGGAGCAGTATTACCTTCCATGTAGAAAAGCGTTTGATAGTATTCTGAGAATTTTAGACGTGCAGGTTCGTAGTCTACTTAGAACTAATTTATCTATCAAGATATGCTTAGGTCGGAAAGCCTCTGATGCTTACAGCTATACAGAAAGGAAAAGAGCCTGAAGAACTCCTTGGGTATGTGTAGCAGAATTTTGTTCAAATAATTCTTCAATACAGAGGTGATGTCAAGCCTAAGTTGGACTTGTTCCGGACTTGTGTTGCTGCTGTGAGACGCCTGTTGCCAGAACCAATGAGCCATACAGTAAACAATTTATCTGAAAGTTTCAAAAAATTTCTGTTTTTTAGGAACTTATCGAGATTTTGACAAGAGTCACTATTCATTTAGATGACGAACTCAGAAACTTGGCAGGGAATACTCTTCAAACTCTAATGGACGAGTTCCCCGAATGGAGGGAACACATTATTTCCGCTTTCTTGCAACTTATCCATCAGCATTTAACAGTATCAACTCTTCTCAGAGAATTTGCAAATTGAAACATTTAGGACTTCTATCCCAATGTTCTAGATGAGACGCTCAGACTTCTTCTTCAACTAGTCAGCACATGGAGGACTGCTGTATCTACAGGGAAGAAGAAGGACCCTGAGGCTCCAGTTCGTATGCTTCTGTGAAACAGATATATCTCATGTTTTAGCCTGCTCCTGGACATTTGCGTTCGGCGGACACTGTTACTCCTCCACCATTGTATTATATAAACTATACCAATACTTTACATTCTATAGAAGGACTTGCATTAGTGATGTTATGTCAAATAAGGTAAGAAATCGTTCTATCCCCCTAGGCAAGTTGATCTATTTCAGAACTCAGCCCCGAAAAATAGCCATTTCTCTACTACGCGAAGTGAAACAGCTTTTTGTGATACTCAATATTGAAGTAGAAACATGTACACTTTTGATTTCACAGTTTATCACATTTCAGATGAATGGAACACCGGTGATAACCGTTCTGGATGAGGCAACTCCATATGTTGTAAAGAAATATATTGAACATGTTCCTATGAGTGAAAGAATGAGTTGGAATCTTGACTTTGGTTCTGTTTGCGACAAAATATCTGTGCTGGAAACAGATAATTGCTTGGTAAACTAATAAATCATTGTAGTAATCAAACAAGTCGATGTTAGGTTAACAGTGACCGCGGAAACGAGTACCTCCAGTGGGATCCGTGGGCCTGCGCATTGGCCGGATATACAGAAAAGAAGTATCTTCTTTCTAGGTAATCTTGCTGATAGTTGTTTCTGTTACATTTTTTATCTCTAAGGTGTCCTGCTGCAGTGAATGCTGCCTGGCCGGGTTTATTCTCGAGACTCAATGCTGTTAATGGATATGTTGATCCTAAGTAATCTTGTGTTCACACACGTTTTGTAAAGCTATTCCTTTCAGCAACCCCCAAAATGAATCGAGAGCTTCACTTTTGCGGGGAAGTAAAAGTAAGGCTTCATCCATATGTGGAGAGGTTTTGAGCGTTGATGGATGTCTTTCTCTGTGGCAGAAATACCTTTTAATGTGTTGTGCCTTCGCTCCTGCTTCTATGACTATTTCTAGTTTAGCATCTCGAAGTTTCAGCCCTACGTCCTCGTTGGTGTATTTCAATATTCTAAACTAATCTTTCATTTTATCAGAATGGAATCCGACGTTCTTCGAAGTGTCTCTTCTTCTATTCGTGGTTCTCGAGCTCCTATAGCTTTATCGCTCTCACAACTCATAACGAAAGTTGCGGCCATGCTCAAATGGGAGAACATGACAGATATCAGGGATAGTGTTGTGCTAGGTAATAATTTTGGTCATCATTCAGCATAATTATTTTTGATTAGGAGTTGGATGTTTGAACCCGTTTGTTTTTGACAATTTCTTGGATGAGCTGAATCAAAGAGGAATCTTGAGAGAAGCGTTAGAGAAAAAAGTAAGTTAAGCAGATAAGCTCAATTTATCTCTTCATTCAGATCGAAAACAACGTTCGACGCAAAAAAAGAAAAGACCTCCTTCGATTACAATTGGTTCGATTGTTCGAGGTACGGTTCAGTTCAAGTTTTATTCGGATGAGTTTTTTTCCAGGTAGCAGTAATGAGAGGATTGCTCCAATCTGCTCTCATTGATTCTACCGGAAGTCTCAACACACTATTAATAGATTTTGTAGATGCTATGAGAATCAATCTCGAATCCGATCAGGTATTTAGGGAATCTTGTACAGAAAACGTACAATTATACAATAGGATCGTGACATGGCTATTATCACTTCATTACGTCTTCACTTTGCGAAATTAGTTGCTCTTCTGATCGATAGCGTTGCTCCAGAATATCGTGCAAATTTGATACCGGATGATAGGAAACAAAGTCTTTTTTATTTATTCATTGGATGGTGTAGTAGAACAATTGCTGCTGAGAAAAAAAGCAGAGAGAAGGATGTAGGATTATTTTGGTTCTTCAGTCAGTTATTATCTTGAGATACAGGTTGGATCATATGTTGAGCAGAAAGCCGTTCTTGCCATGACGCGCTTACTCTGTTGTGGACCTATATTTGAAGCATCTAAGTCCATTGGTGAAGATGGATATCTCTATGGATGGTTAGAGAAACTCGTTGCTAGTCCTAATCCCACAGTGAGTAACCCAACTTTCACAAATTTCTCAGTGAAGTTTCTTCAGATGCAAGTTGAAGTAGAAGAGATGTTAGCTTGGATGTTAGAGCTAAATGAATCGAGTTTCCTACTAGACTGGTTGATGCAGCAATGCTATTCTCAGGTAGTGTATCATTTTGATATTTTTCGATTTGCTGGAACTATTGTGTTTGATGTTTTCCTATAACATAGCGGGACGGTAGTGCAGTCAGTGATATGCTAATTTCACGTGGCTTCGTACTTGACGCCTATTGGTTGATAATTCACGTGATTAGTTCCACGTGGATTGTCTTGTTCCTGAATTCAGATACATTATTTCAAAATTCAACACAGTTTGAACAGTCAACTTTTGGAATAGTGAGTTATAAGAATTAATTATGTCTTCTTGCAGCCATGCTCTGTCGCAGCAAGATGCTTCTGTGCTCTTGTTCGTGTATTCAGTAAACGCGACTTCCCATGTGAATTCGTTTCACTGTTCGTTCTTTGCCAAACCATGTGTGGTAATCCAACGGTGACTGATGCTGCTGTTCATATGATAGAAATTTTACGTCGGCAGTTCTTAGAAAAGTTTGATATTGAAAATGTTCCTGAATTAACGAAACTTGCAGCAATGCTAGTGTTTGCTCTCCATTGGCTGGCAATACTTCGTCTCCAACTTCAGTAGTTTTTCGTTCTGTTCCTGAACAGCAAATGTTGACATCCATTGACGGTCATTGTTATCCTATTGAACAGTTAATCGTATGCAAGCAGCTCGCGAAACATTACCCACATCTTACAATAACAATATTCAGCGGTTTGCGCAGTTAAACTTTACAAGAAACATGCTTAATTTTTCAGAAGTTTCATGCCGACTTGATAATGCTCGTAGTCAAACGCGGTCTTACCTTTTATCGTTATTATTACCTTGGATTGAGAACTTGGAGTTGGTTGATCCAGTTGCTGGCGAGGATGCTTGTGAAGGTATCAAACACTGATGTCTCTTCATAATGCTTCGATTAGGACCTCGCGGATGGGGATCAGAAGAAGCTACTCAATTGTTGCTTAATAACCTAATGTACTTAACAGCTACACTGTTAGTAGAGCATGAGCATGAGTTGGCTGAGCTTTGGAGAGCTTTAGCCGTTTCATTCCCTGCGAATTTACCAGTTATACTGAATTATTTGTATGTCATAACTGTACTCTCCCACGAAGCCCTTCTTCCCCACGTAAGAAAATCTTTTATGTCGATCTTACACTGAATTTAGACAAAAAGAATTGCTGTGATGCTAGCTGGAGCTGTTGGGAATAGATTGGCTGCTCTTCTATTAGAACAATTAACAACGTCAGCTGATTATTCAAAACTGACATTGGAAAGATCTGAAATACCGCCGTATTATCGCTGGAAAGAAGAAAACGCTGGCGATAGAAAGGTACAACGAAAATTATTCCGGCTTTTGAAAGTTTTTCCATCAGCAACTCTCTGCTGAGCGCAAACAAAGTTTGGGCGATGTAGATAATCTCGAAGAAGAGAGTAGGCAAGAAGGAGTTCGTTTACTTCCAATGCCAGCTTATGGTGGTCATTATTCTCCATTATCTGGCTTTTTACCTCCAACAACGCAACCAGTACAGTTCTTCACAAGGTTCTTATCAGACTAATTTATTATGGTTCATTGAATATTTCAAGAAGTCAAGTTGCTCTAATGTTGATTTGTGACACTGTAAGAGCTTCATCAGATGTGGATTGGACGGAAGCAACTCCTAGGTTGTTGCATTCCGGCATACTAGGGTTGGATTCATTACGTCCTGCACTCTGTAGGCATGCACGCCAAGTAATTTTTAGAATAGTTTCTAGAGTTAATTATTTTGTTTTCAGACCATTATCAACGTTTGCCTTATATATGCTGATCAAGCTTGCTTGGCTCAAGTTTCCGCTTTGTTATTGAAAAACCAGGTTGACGAAGCGATAAAATGTGGAAACATTTCCAATTTTTTCCAGCTTTGTCGAGTTACCGTCGAGCCATTCCTCTCAGATGCTTGGCAACTGCGTCGTGGATCTTCACGAGATGTGAATAGAGGAGAATCCCCAAGTTTCACTAGGGCGACAGAAGAAGAATATAGACAGATGCTACTACATAGCAATGCTATATTTTCATGTAAAGCTGATCTAATCAAGTCTATAGTTTTCTGCTTGAGCGAGGAGTAATTCATTCCCGAATTTCGTTTATAATTTTTTCAAATTTAAGCTTGGATCAACCGTTATGGCCAAATGAAGATGCTACACCTAGGAATTGGAAAGTGGCTAGCGCCGCACAGCTAACTTATTTGGTTTTGTGAACTTATAATGGTTTATATAACTTTTTTTGTTAGGTTCGTCATTTGGCTGAGTTACTGCTCTATCGCATGCCTCTCCTACCTGTGGTTTGGACACAAATATCAATGAGGATGGCTTTGGCTACTCAACAGAGACATTCGGCTGGAAGATGTTTCCAGGTTATTTATTTTTCCGGAATCACCTGATTTGTTCCCTTTTTCCAGATTGTTTCAGCTTTATGCCAGCCTTTGTGTGCCTGGGTACCTTCACTTATAAGTAGGCTAGTAGAGACTGCCGGGGAAGCTCATGAAGATACACAAGTATAGAACCATAATTTTTTCTTTAATATCCATATGCAGGCTTATGTCACGGATCTTCTTTACTGTATTCTGAACAGTGCTCCACACCTAAGCCCTGTTGTACCTGAGCCACCTCCTATACCATGTGCTTCTCCTACGCATGCCCGGAGCACGTCTTACACTCCAGCACTTCTGAGACAATCAGTAATGAATCAACGATTCAATCCTGAGAAGGAACAGAAAGGTTTTCCTTAGAGTGTTGAAGTTTCTGATATTCATATTTCTAAGATGCTCGCTTCTCTATGCTTGTCGCTGAAGAGGAACCTTGGGTAGGTGCTGCTTTGATGCGTTCAAAATCTGCTGATCAACTCAAAACGGATGGAGAAGGAGATGAGGTGTTCAATATTCAGCTTTCAATAAATACAGAACGAATTCTTAGGAAGCCACCGCTAGAATGCAAATTTGTGCGGTAGCTGTTTCATTGTTGGATTCCGGAATGGAGAACGAGTTTTTATTGGCAGTTCATTTACTTGAAAAGGTATCACTTTTTTTATGCAACATCCGCGGCAAGATCAAAGAGACAATGAATTATCATATCTTTTGAAAAAACTAGTGAATGGAGTTAATGACCCAATATGGACGCATTATAATCTTTACGAGTTTATTGACAATACTTGACCGCTATGTTTACGACTGTCATATCCGATTTTCTCGAATTGAAATTGGTCACAGGTGGCTTCTGCTTCGTATACGGTTCAGAACTGTTGTGCTGTTAACATACGTCATTCTCCTTCATAGACAAAACAAGAGCAGATGGAACATTAGAATAAATAAAATATATTTTTTATAGATTCTGGATACTGCCGGAGCTCATAAACTACAATGTCTGCAAAAATTAGAGAAAACCATCGGTCAATTAGAATGGAAGAGTTTCCAAGGAATAGTTCGCCTTGTTGTAAGAGGTATGGTGTGTAGTAAATTGAATTATTTGAACAACCTGGGAGAGTTAAAAGTCATAAATATCAGTCCCTCAGATAAATTTCGAAAAGATGTTCGAATGTCACTTTCTGAGATGAATATTTATCAATGTGTTCAATCTTAAAAAGTTTCACACACTTTTCGCTGTAAATTTTCATGACTGAGCGTGAATGATGTTCGTACTATTTTATTAATTTGAACTGACATTTGAACAACGATCAGGTTATCTGATCATTTTCATTAGTTCTAGGGCAATAGATAGTTTTTCAGGAATTGTTATACCTAATGCATATGAGCCTACTATACAAGCACTCATTCGTTTACTTGATGTACTAGATGAACCTGTTGTAGGTGGAAGAGATTCTTTGGGTGATATAAATAGAAATGGAATTCTTAGTTACTTGAAGGTTTCTTTTAGGTTTCGTCCTCTGCCACATTCTTCCATATTTATTGGTTAACTATGAAGCTCCTACACCGTTATGTGTAGCAGCTAGTACAGCTATAAGACAGGTAGCATAGAGAGAGAATCTGAATAATAATATCAAAATTACAGTATTGCCTAAAAACAATAGATAATGAAGTTGTTAAAGCTGATCATCCCTTCAACCATCTCGCTACTGTAATGAGATCTTTCTCATTTCTTTTTATATAAGTTTTTTACTTGTCAGATTATGGCTCATTATAATGCTAAGACGTTCACCAAAGATAGATGGCAATGGACCAAATGTGTCTTACAGTATCTTGTAGAAGGAATTGACAACAGCTATATCTCTCCTCAATTGGTATTACTAGCTGAAGTAAGTAGCTTTGATTGTTTTTTCTTGAAACGAACACGAAGTTCGTTGCTGCGTGTGCGAGAAGTCCCCAGTGTTGTGTGAGAAATAAACTTTTTTTTTGTGACTTGTCTGATGACTCTAGATGTGTCAGATGAATCACAAGATAAGAGGAAACTTTTTAATGAGTGTTGAACTTGGCTGACATTACGTAACGCTAATTGAAGATGACATGCGGTTCAATCATTGATAATTGGTCTTATCCACTTCCGAGTCATCTCAACTTTTGTGTAAGAATTTAGAAAAGAAAGAAAAAAGTATTTTATTTAAGCAGTGCTAAAAATAGCAAAATACTTCTTAAAGTGCAATATAAGAACAATAGAATAAATAGTGATAAAATGCGCTTTATGCCATATATAGCGTGCAGATGAAACTCATATCCATGTCAGTAATTCTGTAATATTAAGCTGCGAAGTACATACAGTTTGCAACTAGAAATTTTTTAATTACAATGCGGAGTATATGACACTTTCCATGACAATAATATAAACTTTATAGCCGCATATATAGTTAAAGAATAATAACCAATGAATTATATAGTTGCCAATGTCTTAATGAATTACCCAAAACATTTTTCATCATTTCTAGAAGTTAATTATTCATATATATATATGAAGATATGTAATGTCTACACAGATGAAGAAGTTAAAATGGAAAATGTAAATCTGATTGTTTAGATGCTTGAACGAGGTCCACAATCCACAAATACCTATGTGTTGCATATGATATATCTACTGCTGCTTCATCGAGACCTTTCTGATAGTCCATTGAGCATTAATGCACAGGTAAGTCTTCATTTTATTTTTTTAAATGCATTTGCTGGTCCCTGCTCTTGCTTGACATGATTTCAATATCAATAAGTTAGCCATTATGCGTTGGGGTGGCGGATTGCTTTTATGTAACACCTGCTTTCCGACCTTTCTTAAAGAAAGTCAAAGTCGTTTTCTTAATCCCATGATAGGTGGTTGTGAAAGTAAAGTGGCAGAAACAGAATGCCGGCCATCTTGCACCAATTAGGATCAGATTGCGTTTGTATTAAATTCTAAAGATGTGCTATGACGCGTGATTAGCGTTAACCTGCAAGTAAATAACTCATTTAATCGCTCGAACAGCGATAATTGCTCCAAACTCACCTTTCCTTAGCGCCCCCCCCCCCCCCCCCCCCTACTTCACTGCTATCGTAAGATTTTTCGAAAAAAATAGGAGAGAAAGATGCCATTGCTTCATTACGGTGACATGAAAAGCTTTATAATACCAATTATTCGAAGTTTTTGAACATTAAAATGATTCTTTTTAATGATTTTACAAATCCCTGTGTTAGTTTTGAAATTTTATTATAACAGCTGCCAGATTTAACGATAAATCGGAGGTTATAAGAGAAGTTTTGACAGCACCTTAAGCACAATGTTTGTGTAAGTGGGATAATAAAACAAGTCATTCAATGTTTAAGCTTTCCTTTAATGATAATCGAGAAATGAGCATGACGTGAATGAACACATAAATTATGGTTCCGTTGATTGATCAAAGCCCTCTACTATGAGTTTTTTCACAAATGCAAATGATTTAAGATTATTTTATATAAAATAAAAAAAAAATCTTAGTCCCTTCTGAAATTTTTTTTTCTTCCCAAAATTCAATGTTTAGACCCTCTTCACGAAGGTTATAATCGTGGTCGGTCGCCCTTTTTCTGTAGTTTACGACATTTTGATAGGCGAAGACCATATTGCATTGGGTTTCAAAGCGTACTACTCTTCTTTTTGATTATTCATGTACATTTGGTTATAGACAAGAAATGAGAATATAAAACAAAAGAGCACTTGAAAGAGAAAAGTTATAAATTTTTACTATTTACAGGTGATTCGTGTTGTTGGCAGACATGTTCAGGTAAAAAATCGCCGGTCCATCTGTTGCACAGTTTTTCTCTTTTATAGGGCAGTAACTGGAGAGAAGCTTCGCGAGTTTATAAAGCAATCCTCGAGCAATGGCATACTACAGATGGAGATAAAACTACGGTTGGTATTACTTCTTCTTTGTAACCTACCTGCCGTTCTGCTATAATTTGAACGGCAGGAGATTAAAACGGCCGTAACTGTGTCGGAATTGTCTGTTCGTCTCAAATTTTTGGCGTAATCGTTAATTTGTGACCTCAGCAACAACATATTGAGTAAAGGAGTATGTAGAGGAACACCGATTCAGATTGCTCTATCCCAAGTTGTTAAAATTGTCGGAACTACTTTTGTGTATGAGATAACATCATACAGTTACTGACAATTCCGCTTTGCTTAGCACCTGTTCATCTGTAATCTGAGCTGCTGCTAACAAAGGAAATAACGTTAACGAGATCGTTGTGCTTGTGAGATCAATCGTTATGCCATTGAGGAATTGTATAATAGTTAATTTACTTATTGATGAGCTCCAACGTTTCATGTGTGCGACATTTGAGTACGCCAGACTTCTGTCACATTTCATCCTAAAGATCCATACGGTAGCTGTTCATTATCTGGCGTGCCATGTATCTGATGTATGAAACACAAAGAAACAATTTGAAGCAGTGCACGGCATATGTTTGAAATAGCTGTGACATGCGTATCATCAATCATAATAGGCCTGAGTATAAAGGTTATTTTTCGAAAATTGTGACACATCTGGATGGTCAGTTACACACAATTATTAATGAATACAGTAGCATGATTACGGCTGAAACTGATATATTCAGTATTCAACACAACTCGAATGCAATATTGAAATGGGAATTTTATAGGATGAAAGTAGCTTGAGCTTAACACTTGATTTGAATATGGTTGGCGAAAGAAGAAGTCCACCAAGTCCACGGAAGACATTAGATACCACATTGAAAAGGCAGCCACCTCCACACGTAAGCAAGCAAAAACATCCTTCAAGAAAAAAACGTTGATTTTTTTAAAGATTAGAGTGAGAGACAGGTTGGTTGGTTTGTTATCAGCTTCCGGTCTACGTGTTGGACTCCCGTCCGCGCAGTCTGTTGTGTTCTCGCAAAGTGAACTGGGAAGCACTGCTTCGTCCACTGAAAGAATCTGTGCATCTTCACAGGTATTGGTAAAGGAACATTTTCGTAACCATGATAATTAAATAGGAAGTTGCTTCAACTGGCTCATTACCTGATCCATCGGCGTCAATCACAGACTCATTCCCAAGAGTGTTCAAGGTATCACTGTGTATAATTTTTTTAACCAACATATTCGATTTAGGAGTTTGACTTCTTGGAAGCTGAGCATGACACTGTTTCGGAAACTGCCGAAAGCTGCTTCGGCTGGCTCTCGACAATGCGTCCCCGTTCTATCGGGGAGAGCGAGAAGGATTATGATCTTGATGCTGATGACGATGAAGTAATTTATCTTCAATATCTGTTTCAATCAGTTTTGCTTTTCAGGATTCGGAATCTGCTCAAGCTAGATCAGAGGCAGGAGATAACAATTCTCGCTTATCGAGAGCAAGTGAGAACAGCTCTGAAGAACGAACTCCTTGTCCATCTGAAGGAGAGGAAGATGATGAGGATGATGAAGGTGAAATTTTTGTCTCTTTTGTTCATCAGAATGCTTTTTTTAGCTGAAGATGGTTTTGATGAGCTTTCCGCTCGAATGAACGGCAGTGAACTTCAAGATAGACTGAGCCCACGGACGTCTTCTTCACGTGAAGGCTTCGAACGAGGCTTCACTAACGAAGAAGTTCCGGAAGTGGAGTCAGTCGATGGTTCATCGTTCTGCTGTCGCTCGCAAACTTCAGTCAGTTATTATGGCAACATAGTGCAACAGCAGCCTTTCTTTGTACAATGTTCACATCACTGTGATGGAAAAGTAATTGATACAAGAAAGATTTTTCTTCACTTCAGTATTATAGATCGAGCAACAATGGCTCAGCGTAATGAGTGAGGTTGGAGATGATTCTGATGGAGAATTAACTGCCCTGGCGACACTTCTTTTAACACAATTGTTCAGGGTGAGTAATTTTCTGTCAGTCCCTTGGGAGATTTTCTAGAATTATCTTGAGTCATGGATGGTGCTTCATAGCTCAGTCCTCGCGCTATTTTCGTCACTTCGTCACCCGATAGCTAGCGCACTAATCTTACCAACCAAGCCCCTTCCACAGTCTCGTATTTCACAATTCATTGGTAGCAGAAGTCGCTTATTTGGAAAACAAATAGTTCCCACCGCGATTGCATGGCCTAATCTGAATCTCTGCATAGCAATGTTCTTCTGTAGTACTCAAAATATTAAGTTTATATATACAGTACCTTGAAGAACTTTTCGAAACGCATGTGGAGAACAAACAAAGATACAATGTGAAGAAAGTTAATCACTTAATTACTTTTTCAGACGTGTTGCAGTAGTGTGGTAGCTCTTCTTCGAGATGCTGCTCATCTTTTTACCTCCCGAACTTTGGCCAGAGCTTTTACAACTTCACAAGATGTACTTGCCAAAGTTGTGGATTGTCCATTCCTCTTTGTAACGCCTCTATATGTAAGAAGATATATCATTTTCAAAACATTCTCATAAATGTTTTCAGGTTCGTGGGAATAATCTGCTTCAACGTTTGAAATGCTCCTTGTATGAAATGCGTGAACATGTAGAAACGTTCAATGAGCGGAAAGAACAGAGTGTTCGGGTTAGTTTTGTCATAATCAAATTAAATCGTGAAATGGTGACCATATGCTGTTTGAGTCAATAGCTTCATCCGGATATGTAAATTCTGTGAAAGTGAAGAAGCTTAGAACAAATTCGTTGCACAAATTAGAGTTGGCTTCACGAATTGGAGAGTGAGGAAATTGACGAAACTCGAGAAGGATGTATGTCCAAATAGCTGATCAAGTAAATAACATTATGCAATCGGATCATCTATATTCCAATAAAAAAAATAGATGGATTATCAAATAATTATTTAACTTAGTTGTTTTTTAGGTACTCAATTCAGTTCGCTCAGCATATAAACTAACTGCTCTTGGAGGATCAACATCATCACTCAGTGCTCACAGTGTATGTTTCATTACCTATGCACCCCAAAGTGTTTAGATAGCGATTTTGATGGAAATTTAAGCAAATAGTCGCAGGTTACTTATATGGGGATATTAGAGGCTCTTTTGGGATCATATGCGGACACGTTTACATTGAGATAGTCATATAATATATCGTCTCCATACACACATATATGGGCCTAAATGTGAATGCGATTGATGCGTATCAGTTTCCATGGGAATCAAATGGAGAAGTTAATGACCTCTTATTATTTCTTTTCTGTAACCTGGTCGCGTTTCCACTAACAATCGTTTCACCCAATTACTTTCTTGATATAAGAAGGCTTCTCTCTCTCCATATGCGAAGTGGCTCACATTGTATCTGATGGAGAAAATGGCAATGTAGATGGAAATATTATCAAGCGCAAAGATTTAGTACTTAGACCCTGGGCGAGCTGTTTGATTTTACAGTCTATTCTGTGTCACCGATAATGATCAGTAGACGAGTTATGAGTTTAGAAGTGACTGGGTTTGGTCATTTTAACGGTTCGCAAACCTAAAAAGAACTGAACGTGACAGTCTATCGTTCAGACTGAAATAGTTTGACGAACGCTTGACAGTCAATTAAATGTGTGTTCTGTAAGAATCTGTAGATGCTCGGCCTTGTCTTCAAAATATATAATAGCTTCCGTTTTAATGAGCTCTAGAAAATTGGCTGACATAAATTGACTACCATTGAAAGCGCCTATGCCGACTGCCGGTAGTCTCTTTCGTGCTATTATTTTATGAGTAGGGTTTATGGGATGCAAGAAATAGGTGGAACGGCTTATTCAACATTTACGATTTTTCAGTGATTAACTTTTTGATGAGAAATTTGTCAGAGAAAGCCGTATTTCTCACATTCATAAAAGTGTGCTGATTTATATCATTTGCTGAACTATAGCTTGAGATAATTCGTATCAAATGAAGTTAACGATCCTGATCGTTAATTGTATGAGACAAGCGTCGAGCGCTCACATTCTGTTCCGATCATAGTTTAAAAATGAAATAAGTGTTGGGTATCTTGGGTGTGTATGTGTGTTTTTCAAATCTAGTCCCATCTTTATGCTTCAAGCATTATGATATGGTAGGTGAGCAAATGCAGAAGATAATGTTTTAATTGAGGAACAAGTTTACGATGAGATTAGTGTTGCGCCAAAGTGATTAGAACATGGTTCTGTGCTTCTTTATGTGTCGCACATGACGGGCTCGTCAATAAGATAAATATCAGAATCAAAGTTTATAAATGTGTTTAAAAATAGAATCATTATTCTGCAGAAGAAGAAAATAATGAAACTTTATTGAACTGTTACAGGAAACTGATCTGGCTAAGCATCTATCTAAGATGTTCTTCCAATTGATGCAAATGAATGATGCTCTTCATCAGATGATACAGCTCATACAAGAATCACCTGGATCTCATGTAAGTTTTGAATTATTAGCATGAAAATGATTTTTCTGCTGGCCCCTCAATCACCATTGTGTGCAGTTTTTCGTTCGCAAATCATTCGCCTTCCTATTTTCGCCAATCAGTTGTTGCATCTTATGGACTGTCTTCGCGAGCTCTTGCACATGTCATGCCAAGTCATACTGACAATCGCTTAAATAATCTAGCGGGCTGTTTTAATGCGGAAACGGGAAGTTGCTCTTCATTGTATTTCAAGCATTTTTATGATTACAACAGAAACTTCTGGGAAAAGTCTTACATAAACGAACATCCATTGATACATGCTGCTCGACAACAAGTGTACGACAGCAGCAGATCAAGTGTCATGTGTACCAGTTTGTCTTTGATTTTTCCCAGTGATTGTTTTGTGACGAATGGGAGAATAAGTAACATGTTGGAGGAAGGAATAACGAGAAGGCGAAACTCTTTGCACATGCAAGCTTCTGATGTTCCCTTGCGCATAGATTATTAAGCTACTATGTTTTTGGCTTACCAGAAAGAGAGATAGTACTCTTTTTTATATATACTTTTTTTGGTTAGAAAAAAAAAGTTACTTCTTTGTATAATATGGAAAATGGGGGAAAAGATAGATTGAACAATGGAAACGACTGAACAGCCATATTGACATGTATTACTGTAGCCGGGTGACATAAATCACGACCCGAAATGGACTGAATAGAATCGCCTCGTTTTATGCTGCTAGTGGCTCATAATTGTCGACAGCTTTGGCGACGTCAATGACAGTATTGGCAATAGATGATCTTGACTTCTGGTTTTTCATATTTATGATTAAATATCATACAGATAGTCTGATATCTGAGTCAGGTTGGATAAGATAATCATGTGTGGGAGTAAGATGAAACATACATAAACCCCTCGCATATATCAAAAATCATGAATTGCATCTAACAGACTTAACAAGTTGACTTTGATCACTCGTTAAAATTCTTTGAATCAAAATGAAATTCGTAATTTATGGCGCGCCACAGACACAATAATCCAACAATCTCAGGGCAGCTAAGCTATGTAAATGCTCTGTTCATGATCCCCCACCCTTCTACAGTATCCTATGTAATATTTAACGGTTCGATATGTATCTATGTGTGTGTGTGTGTGTGTCATATGTTTTAATGTTTTTAGAGCTATTTGCTTGACAAGGCAAGAGATTGTCAGCAACTTTGATTTGTCGCACTTGCGACATGTTGAAAAGCAAAACTGGCAGTTGAGCTGTAATAATTGTCAAATGACATCCGGGCCGTATAGTCTAGTCAATTTTGGAGTTTGATGTCAAATTGATAGTCTATAGCATATAGCTCGGAAGCATTGAAACGTTTTTTACAGCTTCAGACACATAGCTAAGACACGCGCGTGCATGACTGCCTTTCAAGCCATTATGAGCTCTAAGACGATGTATCAACTTATGTAGCAATTGGTGCAATATTTCAGTATAATATGTTATATATTACTTCCGATAGCAGTTAAATAGTAATGTCATAGTATTAACATATTGCTTCTCAGTCATTATAAGGAAAAGGCATGTTCAGTTTATAAGTTGTAATTGTTACAATTGTTGTCAGAAACAATTACCCTATATGGTCCCTACTGCCAGCTCACCCCCCACCCCTTATTGTGTGACTTTTTATTCCAAAAATAAGAAATGGCTCATTAATGGCATTTTGTTGGGAAAAAGTTGCTATATGAAATAGCATATATGGAATTGTTTCTATTCAGTCAATTGGCAGGTTTCTGAATTTGATGAAATAATGTCGGTGAGCTTTCTGCATCGTTCACGTCTGATTAGATATATTGTGAAAGTTATGAAGCACACAAGAGACACAAGTTCTTCTAAGTCTCTTAAATGCTTTCTGAATGTTGCTCAACGGGATTGTGTCATGTGGTAGGCTAACCAGCCTGTCTGCAGCCAAAACTAATGTGATGGTGGTCATTTCCGCACATTTTGTCTCATTGCATTGTGATGGTGGTGGCATTCTTAATGTGCGATGACGATTTACATTACCGTTGCGTCTAATGAAATAGCTGCTCATCCATTCGAACAGCTTTTTCTTGTCTTTGAGCAATATGCCGTAAAATGGCAGCCACAAAAGTGCCGTAGATTGTACTAAAAGCCGTTAAAAAGGTAAAATGTAAAGAAAAGCTTCTCAACACAACTGCCAACGGAATTGAACATTGTCAGGATCTCTCTTTATTATGCTTCACAGACACACACTTGAGCTCCTTCAGCAGCAGTTACCGCTTATAGTGGCTGCGTAAAGCCCATTACCGTATCCTTATGTATAAGATGATGACTCTCAATATAATTTGAACATCATATCACTTGTTGCATACGTGAGCGCAAACTAGAACACGAAATTGATGAACTGTGCGATTCGTGATTTCTGTCGGTCCCTCTGTTGGTCATATGAAAAATCTTGATTTTTTCAATTTATGATAGGAGGACGCTTTTTTTTGTGACTGCTAACGGTGCGGATGATGGTGCAGTTTGTCCGAACCTGCATGTTGTGTCTTTCTCTCTGCCTCTCTCACTCTTTATATCTATTTTTATCTTCTCTTCTCTCTCTCTCTCTCTCATTCATTCTACCCCCTCTCTATCATCTATGAATTTGCTCACAGTTGTTTTCTAATTTATTTGCTCATGACTGATTATACATGTATATATTAAATATATACAATAACGAAACGAATCAAGTAGCAGCAAGTGTCTGTAGCAGGTGTGCAATATGTAGACGGCTGTGTATGTTGTGTATCCAATCGGCTCCTCTTCTTCATTCTCTTGATGTTACTGTCAATCGGCGTTGCTTTTTGATTGAAATTCGTGTAATGACAGATTAGAGTGATGTATGTGCAATACACATGATAAATGATCAAAGGAAAAACAACAAAACACAAATTGTTCTATGCACAAGAATGAATGATATGAAAATGAAAATCTGTTGTTGAACCTCAGCTAACGAGGTGTTCAGGAGATATCTGATTGATGACATCACAATGTTCTTTAATCAAATGGTTATGCGTATGTGCAGATGGATAGGCTATATGATATTGCTTGGCAAGCTATATGATTATCAATTGAATGATATCATGAAAAGAGACAAGACATTAATAATTAGTTTTAATTGACTCATAAAAATGGTCAATCTGAGGATAGACTGACGATAATCTTTATCCGCGGATTATGGAATTGGATAGTTGAATAGGTTGTCTGTCGTCGGTGATGTCGTTGTCTTCAACATCATGATGGTTGTTATGAGTGTGATGATTGTCAACGAGAACGACATCGTCATCGCATCGTCTGAATTAATGCTTATTTTATCTTTTCGTCGTCATCATAATCTTGATGAATGACCATGAAGGCTATAAGTATTTTCATCTTAATATACTCATTGAAAGCAGCATGCGCTCGTTTTATGACATGGCGATCATAAAATTTATATGTTATAATATACATATCTTTCTTCATCCTCATCCTCATCAACAATGCTTCTTCTTCTACACATAAATGGAATTTATAATTATAATTATCCTTTTCAGGCTTACTCATTATCACCAGCTGTGTTAGAGCATCAACGTGAGCTTCTGCTATGTGTATCAGATTTACCTACAGCCGAAATACTGCCAACACGGTCAGCTTGCTTTCCCAATGTTCCCATTTCAACTGTTGAACTTGTTTAGATCCGAAGTCTCAGGTGATTCGTTAGTTCTATTGATGGCTAATCGAAATTATGCTCAAGCCCTGATATCTGTTCGGATGTTACGGTATGTTTTCAATGGTTTGAAGAATTCAATCAAAATAACAGATATGAGGAAGAGAGAAAGAGATAGAGAGAGAGAATGAGAGAGATTGAGATGATGCTGATTGAACGCATGAAGTTGAAGTTCAAAGCTACTGTTCTTTCAAAATCTTGAGAAAATATTTTTTTTTCTGTTCTCTCGATTAAGTGCATCCCTTCTCCGCATCTATGTCGGATTTCTATGTTTTTCTGTTATTTTTATGCTCATATTTGTTTAAGACTAGAGCTACTGATCTATCTAATATGTAAATTTGTCTGGTCGATTAGCTTTAGCTCTCTTGGTGGCGGCATCAGTGACGATGTCTATGTTTGGAGTTGTTTTACTTGTCTTATCCTCTCATTTGATGTTAAACCTCTAGCTTGTCTGCTCATCCTAACTGACTCAATTCTGCTTAATGGGTCAAGTGGATCAAGCTGAAGATCAACTGACACGATCTGTAGCTACTCGATAATGGTAAAGATGATATGGACAAATTGAGAGAAAGATGTCATATATGTGATTGCTTGTTTAGTTAGATATATAGGACTTAAGATTACTTTAAAGCTTTACCGGCGCTTATTTAATATTAAAAGGAAAGTACACGTGAAGTACAAGACGGAAAGTTCCAGCTCAAGGCGCTGTTTTCTCTTCTTCTTTTTTTTCTCTTTGTCCCTCTATCTGTCCCCCGACTTTTCCGCTCTTTCACATTTTTTTTTCTGCACAAGACCCACCACCCACCTATCCCAGTGTTGGTTTTCACCCATTCCTTTGCTCAGGAATCTAAAGTCTAAAGATATTACCTTGCGACGACTGAAACTGAGATAGTTGATACATACATATGGTTGATGCAGAAATCTTAAAGAATCAAAGAATATGCATATATCCATATAAAGAAATATATAAACAGTGCGGTCCCCTCCCTTTCTCTTAATTACTTTTTTTTTATTTTCACCATTTTCTTTCCTTTGAACGTTGAGAAGACGGCTAGCTATCCGTCTATTCAAACACAGTCAATTGCTGACGATTTGATCGCCTTTCTTGGCGCCTTAGATACGATAATTGCTCTACTCCTTTCACTCCTTTTTGGAGGTTTCTGATTGTTATGCTAGTAGGCCTGTCGTGCATCTCCGTTTCGGTTCATTGTCATATATAGTCCGGATACAGATATTGTTATAAGACAGTTTATGGGACAAATTACCTGGCTAAGCATATAACCCTGTTGATCGCATTATGCTGGACGCTCTTCAGACAACTGAATGCATTGTAGAATTATCCATAAAGTTCGTTATTACAACGTTATTGACGGATACATATATGGATTTATATGAACACATGTGTCTGAAGATGAATGTCACAGGTTGCAATTTAAAGATTTGCCTCAAGGATTATAATTGAGTATGTGAATGAATTACATTTCCCAAGACGTTGTCTGTTACCTTCTTCTATAATAGCTGTCATCAAAATGACTAGATGAGGCGATGTGTTTGGCCGTCACACCGTTGCCGTTGACAGCCTTCCGTACTAAGCAAAATACAATATGAATCTAGAGTATTCAGTTTTTTTTCTTCTGTCTTCATAGTGATTCTTCTTATGATTCCTTAAAAACAAAAATTTCGTGACAATTGTGGGTTTTTTTCTCTTCGTCTTTTCAAAACCATATAATGACCGGCATAGGCGATTCATTTTTATTTTTCATTCATTATGACTGACTGATTGACTACTCTTACTGCCCCTTCACCCCTTCACCCCTATACTATGCTGACTCAATGCTGTTCTAATTCATGTAGGCTTGTTTTAGATCCTACCGCTCTATCAAATTCATGACATTCATACGGTATCTTCCTTGTCATCGTTGTCGTCGACCCCTTCAACCCCCCCCCCCTCTATAACACCCCCAAACGAATATACCGTCACTACCAATTTTTCGGTGCTTTTCTTTAACAGACACACAGAACGGTTGCATTATCTCTTCTTCTCTATTTCGTTCTTTTTTTCTCTTTTCCTCCTCTCTTCAATGTGTCCGTCTCTCTATTTTTCGAAATCTTTCTTCTTGCTTCCTCTTCTCTGAATTCTTGTGTTCTTACACTCTTGATCGCTACAGACTTCTTGTGCGATCATGTCGCTTCTCTTGTCAAATTTCACGGATCGCCGAGGCGACGACACACACTCTGTGTCCACGCTACTTCTAGCACCCCAAAAGCTGCATGTAGAGTTTGTAATGACGGTAGATACACGATGAGCGAATAACACACAGAGAAAAATGACGATGGTAATATACTTTAGTCAATGAAACTGTCAAGTGACTGTTCTCTCCTTCTCCCTGTGATATTCTCACAGTTTGACAGTGTCATAAATCTGCTTTCGGTAATATTTTTCGCCTTGTTTTTCTCAAAGTTCCTCTTGGAGAGTTTGTTATCCAGCCTCATGATCTGACAAACGCTCAAACATGACTATAGAATGAATCAAACTACAAGCAAGCTGAAGCCTATCTAACTTATTCCTTTAACTACTCTTTCTCTTTTTCCCTCTCTCTTCGTTCACTCATCCGATTACCTTCTCTTAACTCTCGTGATTTTACTCCTCATTAACACTCGTTTCTGTTGTTAAAAAGCAAATAAAAGGAATGAAGAGTCGACCAAATTGTCCTATCATCATCCATCAGCTTCGGAACAATTTACTTTTTGTCTTTTCGCTTTTCTCCATCGTTTCATTGTAATCATCAACACGTTGCTCTTCTCATCACATGATTATTTATTTTTGTCATTAAGATACACAACTTATACATACTTCTCGTTCTAGGACAACATTCGGTGGTGAATTCGGATGCTGCGAGCAATCAGACATCGATGTGCTACTTCTGCTATTCTGTCGTAGCCATACCTTGAAAGCATGGGCGTTAGCTGGAGCTGCACCAGATGCTATGCAACGACAATCACAAGCATTGCGTGAAGCAAATGCTGATATGGCATCTGCTGTCAGACGTGCTGGTAATGAAGGAAATTCAGTTCAAGGAACATCACAACCGCAACGTACATCAACAGTTAGCTCTTTGAATGATTCATTTGCCAAACTCAGTTACCATACGGATATGTAGCCATTAAGATTGTATTATTTATTAAATATTTTATTTCAAGTTCAAGATATTTGATAAAACCGATTCCCAAGTTTCATTACAGTAAAGCTGTATGCTATTTAAACCTTGAAGAGATCTAATGACGTGATATGTAATCCGTTTGTTGACCGCCTAGCATACGGTTATGGAAAACTGTATGTTGTTTCGAAATGCATTAGTAACTTGCACTCTTAAATAGATCTATTACCAAAATTAAAATTTCGTCGTAATGTACACAATTTGAAAGCTTACATGTTTATTTCATTAAAAATTTGTTTCAATCGAAGATTTTGTTTTAAAAAAAAGTTGAAATCACTGGGAATGATGTGGGGGGATGGTAGTCTGTACAATAAATTGGAAACACAAAGCAATATATAAATATATAATATATAAATGAATAAACCTACACATACACACACACACACACACACAGACATACACAATGGACATGGATGGCAAAGCGGAGAACATGATGTTTTTAACTTCTCAAACAACTTATTTACATTTTGTTACAATTATACTCAATAATATGTAACGGATGCTAGAAATAATAGTTTGGGATGCGAAAGACATGAGGTAGCCTGAGATATAATCAATCTTGTCAAGGAGGAGAGTAAGAAAAAAAATGTTGTTGTGTTGCTATACGATGAAGCTGTGAGACATACATGTCTTCATGTCTCGAGTAGTTAGTCTAAAGCTTGGGAGGCATGTTTAGTTATAAATAGTAAAAGGAACACTTTTTTTGTATAATAATGCTCCTTTGAGGGAAGAGGAAGAAAGAGAGAGAGAGAGAGAAGGAGGTGAAATGACTGGAAATTTTTGTGGTTCGAGGGACGGCTTATAGACAGAGAAGGAGAAAAGATGAATAAATACAACTTATACATAGAAATAATGTAATAATTATAATAAAATTAAGGTATTGTTAAGCATACATGCGAACACTGATTGAAGAAGCCCGAAACGTTGTCATAGATCAGATTTTTCAAAGAAAAGCTTCAACTTCTCAACGTCTCCCACAAATGGATGTCATTGCGAAGCATAAAGCTTTCCTTTTCATAAAATTTTTTTTTTGTGAGAGAATAAGAAAACAATAAAACACACACAAAGTTAGTTAAGCGAACATATGTTCAAATAAATATGTTTTTTTTTTAGAATTGTAAAAAAAAATTATTTGAATGAACTAAGGACTAGTATTTTGCAGAGCGATAGTTAGATGATGATGACCCTTTGATTGAGAAATGATTTTCATGGAAATTGTATTTTGAAAAATGTTAAGAAGTTCGCGTTTCACTTTAACTATCCCGTTCACACAGAATGAGTTACAGAAAAACATGCGAACGGAAGAAGGGTTGCATAGAGAGAGAGAAGGATTGAGAGAGAGAAGATCGAGAGAAAACGACATGTACATCTGTCGAAACGAAACTCTTTTAGGGAAACACACATGTAGATTATGAAATAACAAAGTTATGCTGAAAGAGATAGAAGATATAGAAGTCACAACCATAGAGGGAGCTTTCAGACATCAACTTTGCTATTCTTGGTAATCTCCATCCATTCCCTGTTGAAGTTTGTTGCGAAACCATGACGTTTGAGAAGAGATGTTTTTTCTTCTCTTACCATTGTTTTCTCTCAATCTTTGTCTCATATAGAGAGGTCTTATGGCTTAGACAAGAGATCGCAAACGTCAAAACCGCCTTTACGAGTATTTGACGGTACTAGTGAGACAGGTAATTGAGGTATCATCTGCGGTCGGAACATTGCTTGCCATTGAGTTAATAAATCAGCTGTGTACATTTCGGGTTGAAAGAAAGGAAACGGAAAGAGCGGCGGTCTTCCCATTGCAGCTACTGCTGCAGCACCGGGTGTTGTTGTTACGACTGCTGGACTGCTTCCAGATGAAGCGGCTGAGCTAGTCGTCGGTGTCGTTGGCGTAGGCGTTGTCGAGTTCGTTGTCGTTGATGAACAGGATGTTGGACTGATAGTGCCAGATGCCGTCACGACAGCCGATGTTGCTGCTAACAGTGGACTCGATAACGTTGGACTAGATGTCAGCACAGAGCTGAGAGATGAATCTTCAGGTCGAACTTTCTTGATGCTTGGTTCTTCCTCATCTTGTTCACTATCTGTGTGATTTGATGTTCGACTAGCTGCTGGTGAGCATTGTTCAGCTCGCTGCTGCATTAAGCGTTTCTTTTCTCTTTTTCCGGCACCAGATTCTCGGAAACCTTTAGCAAATGGATTGTGATCTATCTTGAGCTGCGTAACCTGAAAATATAAGAATGAATGAATAATTATGATATCTAGACTATAACTATATGATGGAAGGTTCAAACGACATAATATAGCAATAAATTCTATTCTTCAGGGCTGTTGTAATAATCTGTCCCCCCAAGTCTATTCTCTCCCCCCCTACTCATAACCCAAATAATTTGCATGACTTTCTTGATTCTCACACATGAACATGTCAGTCAATAAACTGAAGGAATTATCATGTCGTTGAGACAAACGACCAAAACCTCTCTCACAAAACAGTTAATTGGGCTATGTGGGCTGACAGCTAAATTAGCTTGAAACTGCCCTTCATAGTAATACTTGACCTAACATCATAACGAAAAGCTGTTAGACATCCACGAATTGAAAGTAGCCCAAAAGTAAAAAACAGATTGCCAAATCAAATGCTAATGAATAGCTCTTGAAATCTCTATCAAATCATCATTGTGTCATCATTCATTAAAGCTTTTGACCTTGTTAGAGCATGAATTGAATTAAAAATGATTAAATTGATAAAAGTGTCAGATGAGCAAGTGATGTAATTGATATTATGTTGTTGGGGGCCATTCAACTTCAGTTTTCTCATGTTTTTTGTTGATTTCTCTATCTCTCTCTCTCTATCTTTTCCTCTCTTTACAGATAGACTTCTCAGTTTCTCTTTCATTACTTGTTCCTTAGAGTATAGAAGGAGAATGAGAGAGATAGATAGATAGAGAGAGCGAGAAAGGGTGAGAGAAACAAACGAAGCAGTAGCGTAGTACGGTAACCACAAACTCTTCCCAACAAGAGACGAAAAAATTGTGAGAGAGATAAAGGTATAGAGAGAGAGAGAGCAATGGAAAAGGTTAACTGAAGAATATTTTCACACACACGTACACATACACAAGCCCCATACTGTCACATCACATTTGATGTTTCTAATTAGGTGATGAAAGAAGAAGTAATTTAAATGATAGGAAATCGTTTGAGAATAAATTTTTTTCTTCAATAATATGGAGAATGGAAGGATGGGAGAAAAAAAAACGAAAAAATAAGAAATGAACGAACCTTTTCATTTTGATAAGCTGTGACAGCAATGAATTCTGTCTCCTTGAAGACGAAAGTGCGGAATGTAGAGAAAGGTAATTGGATAAGTTCATTGCATCGAACAACATGAAGCCGTGGCTGATACTTGTGCATGGAGTTAAGAATTGTCTGTAAACAAAATGAATTAATATATATATATATACACATATGTATGTATAGATGAGATAGAAGCTCAGAATCGTTTTTCTCTCTCTTTTTCTTGTTGTTGGTCAGATGAAGAAGTCAAAACATATTTTTTGTCTTTGCCCCCTCTTTGCCTTCCTTCTCCCTTCTCATGTTAACAAGAAATATTTGCTCAAATAAACTTTTGATCAAAGCATTGTTTGTAAGCTTAATTCAAGCTTTAAAAATCATATTCTATCTATTCGCTTTGAAGCCTTTTTTTGCTCCGTTACATTCTATTGGGGGGGCATCATGTTACATGAAGGTGGTTGTGATCGGCTTTGTTCCAGCTTAAAGATTATTCGAGTGCGATGTTTGACTTAATTCAAACATCTTACATAATATTTCGGTTTTTGTTACGTTCAAAGCTTTTCTCTGACGTTTCCATGTCGCATAGTAAAATCTATGAGAGAAGTCGAACATTATAGGCGATTGTCGCCACTATATTGTTGCCCCGGGCGATCTGTCAGTCTCTGACCCAAAGCCCACCTCGACGAATGCATTATACGCTCTTTGTGTGATGTGCTAAAGTTGTCACAAAAATGAAAAAGGTGGACACTTGCGATGTCTTCTTTAGCTCTTCGTCTCATCTACCTTCTTTTTTTCCTTATTATTTTGTGTTGGCATACTGTATGAGTGCGAGGAAAAAGGGAAGAAAAAACGAGAGCAAAGGAGACGATCTAAAGCCTTCGTTCTTATCAAATCGATACATCTATGAGGGTTATGGTGGTTATTACATAAAGCCCATATTGTATGTGAAAGGAAACAGGTGAAGACGGATATCACACAAAGACAGAAGGTTCAGAAGACAATAAGCTTAAGCAAGGATAACATATGTGCTTGAAGGAAAGTCCTCTTTGTCGGATATAGCGCAAAAGGTTCAGCTCAACAGAGCTACTAATTATGTCTCTCTTGATACACGGGTTGAGAGACTGATAAAATCTTTCTTCACACGCATAAAGTTTACTTTCGTTATCTATACTTTGAGAGAGCAGAGAGAAAACGAGACAGAGAGATAGCGAAAGAGAGAGAGAAAGAGAGATGGGTATACCTTGTACTTGTTCAATAGCAAAGCTTTACGATCTCAATTAGTCTAGTTACGCTTATAATTACTGTGTGAAAATGACTAGATGATGTGCAGATAATCTTGATTAATCTTCAACATATTACTTGCTTATCTCTAACACATCACACACATACACAGACACTCATCAACATCTACATCCGCTTAGAAGGGTGTTGCCTTCACTCACTTTCTCTCCGTCTATAGGCTCGATTGATGACAACATACACACAATCACAAGTTGCTTAAGGCTATCATCTGTTATGTTGATGTGTTGTTGTTCGCATCAGAGCTCATCATCATCCTAACCCTATCGTTTTTGCATTCATTCGCCACCACCACCGCCGCCGCCCAATCCTCAGCTAGCAGCTTGTTTCTCATTAAATTTACTTTTGCACACATCCACCTGATGAAGAAAAATGTGAAGATTGAGGGTAAAAATGGTGAAGATGAGATGAGAAAAGAAATTAGATGATTGCTAAAAGCTCAGACAGATAGATTAAGAAAGAAGTGGAGAGAAGGGAAGAAAAGCAAATGAACAGGCCGTTATCTTGTCATATCACTTGTAGCTCATCTATCTTCATTCTTCGCTTTTTCTTTTCGTTAACTTCAAAAATTAACAATCGTTTATTTGTTAAATTCTAAGAACATGACAACTGACGTTAAGTGCCAGATTTCACGCGTTTATCGTCAAAATGGGCTATGGTAATGAAATATATAATTTGATCTCAATTCACATACACACACACATCTCCTTATATGTGAGGAATAGAGAAATGCGTTATCGTTTTCTCGAAATTAAGGCTCGTAATATGTGAATGTGAAAGAAAAATTAAGCAAAAAGAACTGTTCCATCTTTTCTTGTTCAATTGGTCTGCTTTCTCTCACACTCTCTTCAAATCATATACTCTCTAACACCAACTAATACCGTATCCATGTCATGCCTTTTTCGGTCGTGTTCATTTCAACAGTTAGGCTGTCGTGGTTGTCGCGTTTGAAGGCGAAACGGACGTCTGATGATGAGAACGATTTAGATGTCGCTAAACGATAAGACCCCAAAAAACGAGGACCCCGAGGTCTTTTTCGGCTGTCAAAATGCTTCATAGCCCTTTCGTCCTCACTCCTCTCCTCCCCAACCAACTTCATCATATTGTCTCGTCATCGGGGCCGTTAAGTGTTCTAAGCTGAGACAAGAAGGAACAATAATGAAGAGCGAGAAAATTGGCAAGCTCGGCGTCGCTATCAACGCTTGAAGCGTTTTCTTCGTATTGGCCAAGGATACTGCCAGTTATTCGGCATGTATTTTTCGCGGAAATCGTTTTTAGGATAGGGGAAACAAGTCGAAAAGTTGAGGACGATGTGCCGAAGTTAGCAAAACAACGCTGAAGTACGGCACAACGATAGATCGAACATTCGGCGAGCTATATCTTTTGCTTCGATTTTAGGCTAGTGAGAAAATATAAAATCAAAATGGTTTAATTAACATCTTAGTTTTCATGGTCATTAAGACATCTGTTAAGGAACAGACCAAGCAAGACACATGTGTTGCGCATTTCAAATAATCAAGTGAAGCGTGAAAATGATGAACATTATTAGATTGGGGGGTGATGATTTGAAATTTCGATAAGTCATCATGCTTCCTATTGTCGTCGTCGTTTTTTCATATTTCACTTCCATATTTCTGCAGCTTCACACACACACACACACACACGACCATGTACAAGCCCAATTTGATTGTGTTTAAGATGAGACTGAGAAGGAGAAACAACGAGATTCTGACACGTTTCAGGTCTTGGCTTTGTTGACAAAATTTGAAGCGAATGGTATACGGTTTTTGTGAATCTTTTGAAGAATAATATATTCAACTGCGATCATGCTATTCTACATGTGAATGATACTTACGTAGCCATGCTTGTCCGAAATGTTATTTGTTAGCTTGAGCTTATGAAAATTGGCTCCTTTAGCCATCCAATGCTCTCCGGTTGCTGGTGAATCAGGATGTACATATAGCCGTTTAGGCATTTCAGGATCAGCTTTACCAGCTACCATCCATCTGCAAAAAGAATGTTCAAATAGGGTTAAGCTAACTAATACAGTAATCAGGTGTAGATAGATGAGGAAAAAGGAGAGTGAAAGAGTGAGAGGTAATGAGATAGAGAGAGAGAGAGAGGAAAGGAGAAGTTGATATAAACTGTCTGATATTATTAGTGACATTGTAGTAGTCAAATATTTATTTTTTGCTTTTTTTGGAAGACAAAAAGAAAAAGGAGAGAAAAACGATGGAAAAGCTGAGATAGAGCTCTATTCAAATTGCTATGGAGCCTAACATGGTTTGTGGCTTTTTCAGTTCATTTCAAACGACCTCATGTTATTTTGATTTGATTATTTCATCAAGCAACTATGTTTTGAAGTCAATTTGGACACCAAAAAATAGATTACAAACTGATGGTTAGCCAGTTAACGCTTCAATCTTAAAGAGTGTCGAAAGTTGATGATTTGCTAGAGAACAAACGGATTAGAGGATTAGAACAATGTGCCAGACGAGACACAATTGAAGCGTAAAGACAGAAAAAGAAGGGTCGAAAAGAAACACGTAGAAATCAAAGTTTCAAATTCGTACGTCTTTTTTCTGTGACGTCTCTTACTCATTATACTTTGGGTCTCAATCGAGGCTACTAGCTATAACCTACAGCTCTATTATCTTGTCTAATGATGTGATGCTGAAGCTTATGGCGCTTCAAACAAAAATCTATTTTTTTTCTTTTTCTCTTCATATTGTCAACGGAACACCATGTACGGGGAAGAGCATTGTAAAGCCTTATTTCTCCGCCTACCTATTGTCAGTAAGCTCAGTTAAGCGTTATCTAAACTATTAGAATATGAAGTTGAGATGGAATTAATTGGGAAATTCAGATGCAAACAATCAGAAAAGAAGTGTAGAATGATAACGAAACTAATCACATTATGGGTCTTGTCGCGTTTCCTTTTGAAGTAGCATGAGGACGAAATATTATCAATTCTTTAAACGGATTAACTAACTAAGAGTTATGATTTAAGACTGTGTGAAGAGAACAAAACAGGTAAAAGAATCATTCTTGCTAACAGAGAGAGAGAGAAAGAGAAAGAGAGAGAGAGATTGATGTATTTCAATCACATATTGGAGAAAAGGAAATTACAAAACATTTTCAGAACATGAGCTGGCCGAAAGATGAAATAAAGTGTGAAAAGTTCTTCTCCGTTCTATCCTCACTCACTCATTCACTCACACACTGTTTTTTGATCAAAAAAAATCATAGAAAGAAGATAGAGAGAGAGAAAGAGAAAAAAGAATAAGAGAGAGAAAGGGGGAAGTGAGAAAGGAGGGAATTGAGACGCAAAATCTAAAAAATGCTCAACGAAACTCATCCATGCAATGAGACGAATAATAAGAATGAGGAATTTTTGAGAAAAGAATCTTGTTTTTTTTTGTTCTCGACCGGGGCAGCAAGGATGAAGCAATAAAAATCACAAGAAAACGCAATAAACTATGAGAAATGAATAAAAACAGTTCAGAAACTCACCGGCTATTATTAAACTTATACCGACACTCATCTGCTGGAACTAAGTCCATTAGAAGGAAGTACTTGCTTTTCTTGTCTAATCCACTAATTTTTACTCGAAAAGCTGGGAATATCCGTCTACAAAATGATTTCAATCACTATCTATACTATGCTCATGATGCTATATACCTTCCTGATTTAGTTATGACCATTTCTGTACCGCATTCATTGAATCGCGTCCATAGCTCTTGATCATCAAGCTCTACTTTTGGATCATCTATTACTCCATCATCTTCTGGAGGCTGAACTTGACGTTGAGCTGCTGCTGCAGCAAGGGTAGCCATATCACCAGCTGTAGCTGCTGCTGACGGCGGTAGTGATGGAAAAAATCCGGGAGGTAATAGGCCGGGAGTCATGAACGGTAATCGGCCGGTGAAGTCGGTAGCACGATTTAAAAAAGGATTGAATGCCATGCTGGCTGTCTGTAACAGATCAGTCGCTAAGCTCGTTGAAGGAAACGTGATTGCAGAAAGTTGAACGGAAAACCGTTGACGACGACAGAATATAGTTGAAAAGACGGTGAATGACGAGGGATGATCTTAAGCAATATGATTGAGTGAGTATAAACGATTACAATAAATATAAAGTTATTAGCGAATAATATGAGAACACGAACACTTATGAATGAAAACAATGTTGAAGTATCGACATGAGTTACATTGAAAGTATGCGAGAAAAGACTGATACGCATATGGGCTTCAAATATTTCATCAATGATGTATAATAGGTGTTCAAACGTATTAAAGTAGCCAGAATTATCAAATCGTACATGATCAGGTTAAAAGCATAGTCTATGAACAAGACAACAACTGTGTGCCGAAATTGACACCTCACACACACACACACAAGTTACTGGCAGACTCTTCGTCAGCTTGTACCGCCCCTTCCTCTCTTGCTGCATGTTGATTGGCTGACTCTGTTGGCTCCGCCCACTTGTTAGACTGCGGTTCTGCCTGCCCCCTTTTCTCTCTGCCCCCAGCTAGGAGGCCATGGTCCACGAGTCTGCCAGCAAAAACGTTTCGTCTCCTCCCCTTTCGATCGTCCACATAGATTTGTTCTTTTCATATTATTAACATCCAAGCAATGAGTGATAACCTTAAATGGAGTAAAGTTTAAATTTCTAAGCACATCTCTTGCTATGCGCAGTACGGTAGTCGTTTTACTGTGTAAGTTCTCACGAACATCAATTTTCGTTCATCGTTTACAGTGTGTTTAAAAATTTTTGTCTTTTTCCATCCTTTTACTATTTTCCCGTCATGTTCTCGAGAGCAGATTACTCGTAAATCTTTCCATAAATTTGATACTTAATTGTCATCCGAAATTAGCGGATGTTGTCATACGGCGTGCGTCGTCACCTTCTTTTCCTTGTTTGGGAATAAGAAGAAGAAGAAGCAAAATTATTCATCTGCTGTCGTGCCCCTAGACACTCACGTATACCCACACACCACACAGATACATATAATACCTGTTTCTATTTTTATATTCTCCACTTCCAAGATTTGCAAGATCTATCTGTCCATTAAGCTTTTTCACTTTGCGTATTCCATTTTATCTCAATTCTGATGTAAGCTTCAACAATGATGACAACGACATTGCCCTGAGCTGCTCTTGAGGAATACCGTAAGAAAGGTGTGAGTACCGCACTGCTACTTGAGATAACCACCCTTTATTCTCTCACATAACAATGTCAACATCGTCTTTAACCAAGAGCTCATGTTGTTGCTTTTCATTTAGACAGTTCATCAACGACCGCCTCAGGCTTTCATTTGCTCAATCAAACATTTATATAAACTCTCTTCATTTGGCCAACAAAATGAAAAATCTAAAAATCATAATAACAACAATGGAAATGATAATTGAACGGTATAACAAGACCTAGACGACAACCCAATGCTGACAAGGGCGAATGAGGAAGGTAGAGATGGGGGCAGAAGAAATCACAATTAGAAGATGAATGGTTACAAAGTTTTGCTATATATTTTACGGCACGATTGACAGCTACAAGAGTGCGGAGGAATATGACATATAACATGATTTGGCGGAAAGATAACAGAACAAACAATTGAGACATTAAGACATGCTTGCCATGCGCTTCTACATATGTCAAAATTAGATGAAAAAAGTGAAGAGACACTTGTTGCGCTGGTGGTTTAAGCTACGCAACTAATCGATTATCACACCTCTCATCAGCAAATGAATCGTGAAATTAAGCGTCAAAATGCTTAAAATAGACATTTTCTGCCATCGACTTCGTCCATGTCGATTGTACGTTGTCGTCAAGGTCGTCAGCATCAACAAAAACAAAGAGGCTAAGGAAACAGACAACAAAAACAAATCGTCTTGTATGTGGAATACACGCGAATCTCAAAAGTAGAAGAAAAAGAAGAGAAAAGAAGACCGTATCATCAACAAGAGGTGACGGCTTGGAGAGGTGAGTCTGCTCGCATCAAAAACGAAGTTTGTGAGCTAACAAGCGAATTTCAAAGAAACATTCTCTTTCTCTCCCTTGCTCACGTACTATATTGGATGACATCTTTCTCGGATTCCACGTAACAAAGATGTGAATTATAAACTGATAGGAAAATGAGGCATTATTCATATGAAAAAAAAAGGTTCAAAGTATGAAACATCTAGTCAAGGTGTTTAAGAGATGACAAGCCTTCTTCGACACCCATCTCTTCTTCGTATCTGATTAAAATTCCTATCAAAGCATGAAGAGTATGTTCTTCCTGTGCCAGCAGACATAATGGCTTCAATTTTGGTGCCTCCTAAACAAATATGACCTAATTAACATCAAAACGCCAAAGCATGGTAGCAGCATTGCTGTGATTGAGGAGATTCGGTTATCAATCGACCGTAATTTCCAAATGGTAAGGGCCCAATATATTCTGATTTATGACAGTTCCTTCTTGTGTTGAACTTTCAATTTCATCATAAAATGTACATCAAAAATTGAAGGAAGGCCTCTGATTACTTTCCTCTAATCAGCTGCTACCTGCTTCATTCTACTAATGACGAACAACTCACTTTCGACTCATCCTTTTCAGTAGTGGCCTTGTCTAATTCCCGAAGAATGTAATATGCGCCAATGGTTCTCAATTTTTCACGCCCGATTCTCGTTGCACAGAGCTGGAATATAGAAATTGAAGACTTCTTCTTCATTTTTTTCATCTCAATTTTTGTTTCAGTCAATTCAATTTCTCGTACTAAATCGTCTAGTTTTCTCTCCAATGTCCGGAAGTATCATCACCTTTTCATCTCCGATAAGCAATGATGATGAGGTGGTGAGTGACTAGAAAAACTCCAGCAATCTGTTAGAAGAAACAGAAGAGAAACTCAGAAGCCGATTCCGTTTCGTGTTTGCCGTAGAATTGTCAACGCATTAGAGCGAATTAGTACATAGAGCGCAGAGACGACACCGCCAAAATTCGCGGTAGGTTGAGGCTTCTGCTTCTCATTTTGTTTCACTAAGTATCGAAGCAAAACATTTCATTGGAGAGGGAATGCAAGACGGATAGACGAGAATTCGCGAAAGAGGTAACTATCACATTTGAAATCAAAAAGTGTACCTGATAAAGCGCTTCTATCAGCTTTTGGCGAGTATGAGGAGACTTTTCACGCTTTCCTTCAAAGTATTGCAAGACCAAAGGTAGTTTCTGCATCTCATCGTCATCATAATCATCCTCAGCATCACATAATGGTCTCAAGATAGAAACAACATAGCCATCATCCTTCAATAGTGTCTCGTGAAGAGCTGAAAATTAGAAAAATATGAAATGAAAGATCACTACGAAGTATATATTGGGCCAAAAGATTGTGAGAGGAACCTAATATGGTATAAGGCATGGAATCCAAGCAGAATATGTTGTTTACAAAGATTAACGCTCTAGAATTTCAAGACATGGACACTACTACTCCCTAGTTTTCTTTAATAAACATAGATTTTTTCATAAAAATACAGAAAAAAGCGAGTTGACGAGCCGCAATAAGGGGAAATTTGGAAGACTTCAAGACCATGTGGTTGCAACAAGGCCAGAAAGAAAAACCGTGGAGGTCTGATAAATGTCAACTTTTCTGTAGCATAGAAGGTCACACTCCGTACACATAGATCTCCAGTGAACTGTACAGAGGCAACTTTGGTATCCATTTCTCAGCTTTTACACTTTTCCCACCACAAAATTTCATTGAAATGATTGTCTTGTAGAGAATGTGAGCAGACGGTATAGAAAACCCTTCGAAAGTTGTCAGGTACAAAGGTCCGCTCTTCATTCTTTTCGGCATTCTGTTTCTTTCTATTTTTCTGATGTATAACTAATAGTGTGACATCAACCTGTCAGCTACTCCCCTCGCAAACTAATCTACCAGACAGATAGGAACCACAAAAACTGTATAGTGCCTAGAAGAGTTGAATATGGGATCTTGTGTAGATTATATCATTACAGTCGTTTCAATTCAGAGCATCATTCCATCCCATTCATTGATTCTTTCAGTCAACACATGTAGCTCCGGCTGAACAATGAGTTGTCCAAGACTCAATTACCGTATATGGATGTCAGGGAAAAGAAGAAAAGCAGGAGGGAAAAATGTGAGTACTGAACGCATCAACTTCGGGGGTACAAATAGGTCCCAGACGACAACTTGTTTTTCGCAGCCCAAAAGCACAGTGAAATGTGAATAGAAATTCATGAAAGACAATAGACTGAATGAGAGAGAGGGAGAGAAACGATAGTAGGTTTCCTTACAAGAACAATTCAGTATTCAACAAAAAAGGATACGAAGAGAGATCAACGAATAGCGTCTTCTTTCGCTCCTTCAAATTCGCAAAGACGACGTCGGTATGTTGACAAATACTTCTTTAGATTCAGTTGAAGCTGTTGCTACTAGTAGATTCTATTCAAACTAATCCTTTTCATTTGTGCAACTATCGGCGCCCAAGCTTTTTAAATGGCTCTAACGAATACGGTAGGTGTTTCTCACTCTTCCTCTCATTCTCTCCCTCCCTCACTCCTCTCTCTCATCATCTTTTATTTTTAAGATCTCCTAACCACAACTAACAGGATACATTTAAAAAAAAAAAGAAAAATAAGCAACGACCAACATGATGGAGCCATACAACAAGACATCACAGCCAGTCAGCAATCGCAGCAAATGCTGGCGGCGGGGTGTGGAATGATGGGACTGCTGACACCTATGCTGCGGAAATTTGAGCATAGACTAAATCATACGGTAACTTATGTGAAAAGATGCTTTAACAAAAGATCATCATGTCAATTTGATCTTGTATAATATGTTTCTGTCTTGTTAGTGGAGTGAATATGTGCCAACGACAACAGGTGCCAGGCTGGGATCGGCGTTATTCTCGCACCCAACAACTTAGATTGTTATCATCATCTCTGAAGATAGGGGAAGAGAA